CTTGCGAATCCCAAAGTTCCCAAAATCTTCATCCACGGCACCCGGATGGAAAGGAGCCGATGTTCGTGAAAGGTCCAATATCCTGGTCCTGGCGTTCAACTGACCCATCTTGTTTAAAACCTGGAATCAATTTAAAATCTACAGGAAACCATGGATTTTCCCATGAAATGTAGGGATGTCCTGTAAATGTTCCATTGATGGGAAAATGTTGGCCATGGTATGAACCTCTATAAGCCCCATCAACCTAGGAAATGATCGGCTATCGAGGGTATTCAACATTATTCAACCATCGATTTTTGGGGGGATTACCTCCAAGACATGTTCCAATCGGAAAGGCCGGATTTTCGGGTGGTTCCAGGATTTTCGGGAGTCCAGCTTGAAAGCAGATCAGAATTGGGGAACCGTTGCGGGTTGATGCCTGCACGGAGATGCCACCCAAGGTGGCGCAGCCCACATAGCATCCAGTGTTGGAGTTGGAGAGCTGCTCCTGTGACGCTGTTGTTTTGGAAGCCATGGTGACTTGGGGATCTCCGAGATCTCCCATTTCAAGAAACCCTCAGAATGTAGAAATCCGACGACTGAATGATGTATATTATTTATGTAAATGTATAGTCCTTTTGTATGTCTATGTCGAGTCTATGTGTGAATATAATTCATGTGTGTAATTATATGTGTATACGCAGAATTGTGCAAACAATGTCAGGAGCCTTGATGTCCGATCACTCCCACTATCGGCAAAGTCCAGTGGTAGTCCAAGGGGGTGTGTCGACAGTGGCCAATGAACATGGCTCCGCTCTCAATGCGTACTGTATGCATTCGAAAAAGTTCAGAGACGCTGGCCAAAGATATGACTCATACTTGAGATCACCTTGCCCAGCATGGAAACAGAACACCCACGGCTTTCCAGCCCAACCTTCCCAACTTTGGGGGACCTGATACCCCCTCTATTGAAAAATCCAACCTTGTCCAGGCCGCCATTCCAGAAGGATTCATAGGCCACTTCCAACCTTCAGAGCATTGTTTGAGTCGAGTTGGATGCAACTGGGCACTTGTTGCCACGACTTAAAAAGCAAACAGGTTGGGGATCCGTTTGCACAGTTTAAACCTTACAGTGATGTGAAGCAAGCGATGCAAGTGGTTGTCCATACCTATTTCAAACAACGAAAAGAAAACGAGACTTCACAAATGTAGAAACATATAAAATATCATAACATCATTAAACATTGAATACCGAAGTTCTTGAGGTTCCGCTTAAAACAGCCCGTTCAGAAGTTGTGTCCCAGGCTTGAAACCACTCATCCGGTGGCAAGACGCAGGATTCGCTGGTGCGGATCCATGGCTTGAGCTTCTGCTTCTGCGATGCCAAACATCTTGTTGTCAAAGCCCTGGGGACCCGCTGGGTCGGGTGCTGCCCAAGCGGGACCGAAGGATAAGAGTGCTGGGAAATCCACATTTTAGAGAGCCAAAGATGTTTCGCTGCAGATACTTCAAGTCAGAAGGTTCTGTAAAAGGCTCTTGTAAATGTCTTCTTTGACCTGCATATCAACGACATCTTCCAGCCTCCAGGCCAAAGATGAAGCCGCCGAAGCGTGCGTACCTGGGATGGTCTGAGATGGCCCCATGTTTGAAGATTGACCGTTTATTGCCCCAGTGTACTTTGGCGGTCTCAAACTTTGGGTGACCTACCAAAGTCTTGGTGTCAGAATGGGGGTCCCTTGTCCTCACCAAATCCCAAAAAACATCGTATTTTGCGGTTTCTGGCTTGGAAGTTACAGGCCCATGTGCAGTACCGTATGTACCCATAGATCCCATCATGGAGCCCAGCGGCATCTTTCCAGGCGCTGAGGTGTCAGGGTCGTAGTAGAGCTCGTTGTCCCAACGCTCGATGGGCACGGGAGTGATCATATCAAGGCCAGCGCAAATCATGGCCCAATACCTGGCGCGTATCACTGAACATGCCAGGACTGTGCCATGGGTCATGCCACACCTACGACTCAATGGAGTCAATGGATTGCTTTCTGCGATTTTCTACATGAAATCATGGCTATTATCCTCGAAAAATAGAGGGTTGCTCCAAATGTTGCCTTGCGAATTCCTTGCGATAAGTATCCAATCCACCACTAATGCTGGCATAGCCATCCCGAATATGGGTACGTGAAAGCATGTGAAACCGCAGTTCTGACCATGGCGCATATTATGGCATCAACCCCAAGTCAGGGGATGGGTGTGGGATATCCCATGGAGATGCATCCTTACTGTAGTTCACGTGGGACCTACAGTAGCAACCACATCATCTCGCAACCAAATGTTCCCAGTACATACAGAAATATATACCCTCTAGTTATTTAACATAGCCATGGAAAATGGCCCTTAAAAATAGATGGTTTACCTATTAAATAGCATGGGGGTTTTCTATAGCTACGTTAAATAACCAGAGGGTACTTCAAATAGCTTCAAATTTTCCAGTTGAGCCTCCCAAATCTCCCAAGCAAACCCTAGCGGCTTCCTGCGGCCCACCGTGCCCAACGTCGTGCCAAGGTTCTCATTCGATCCGTTCCCATGACATCCTGGGAATCGCGCAGCCATGCCGATGGTCGCCATTGGCTCGTTGGCATTCAGATCCCTCACACCTGCAAAAAGGTCGGAGTTGAAACAGGGAGGGGCCACGGGGCCGCGATCTCAAATTGGTTTGTAATAGGGTAAAGTACCTAAAGTACCCCCCAGAAACATTTAGAAAAGTGATCTACCACTGTTCTAATAGGCGTCTACTTTTCTATCTTTTCTAGGTTGCTCCACCTGTAAATCAACGGGTGAATCACAATTGTCCTATTGAAATTTTAGAAATGGCCATTTGGAGGGCATACCCCAATTCAGACACAACCATACGTATATATATCCGCCGACCCCGGCAGACGCAAGGGGGAGCGCGCCAGGGAATAAGACATGTTCCACCGACCCGGCCAGACGCAAAAGGGGGAGCGTTTTCCCATCCTGGGGCTGTCTGTCGAACAGGCAGCAGCAGTAGCAGCAGCAGCAGCAGGAACAGCAGCCATCACCAGCAGCACCAGCAGCAGCACCAGGGAATCCGCCAGCTGCGCAAGGGGGAGCGCGCTCTTCTGTCAGCAGCAACACCAGTCCTCTCACGTTTCCTCTCAATTTTAGTAGGGTTTGCTTTAGAGGCTCGTTGATTGTAGCAGCAGCAGCAGCAGCAGCAATCAACCAGCAGTTTCCCTGCCGGGAGGTGATTTTTTCGAAGCTGTTTTACTGCTAGCAGCCGCAGGCAACAGAATCTGTCGAAAAATGCTGTTTTTCTAGGATTTCAGACGACACGTTAGGCACTTTTTTGGCGTGGTTTTGGAACTAGCTCGTCCTTCAGAGGCATGGTGTTTTCCCCCCCGGGAGGTGATATTTTCGAAGCTGTTTTACTGCTAGCAGCCGCAGGCAACAGAATCTGTCGAAAAATGCTGTTTTTCTAAGATTTCAGACGACACGTTAGGCAGTTTTTTGGCGTGGTTTTGGAACTAGGTCGTCCTTCAGAGGCATGGTGTTTTCCCTGCCGGGAGGTGATTTTTTCGAAGCTGTTTTACTGCTAGCAGCCGCAGGCAACAGAATCTGTCGAAAAATGCTGTTTTCCTTGGATTTCAGACGACACGTTAGGGAGTTCTTGGGCGTGGTTTCGGAACTAGCTCGTCCTTCAGAGGCATGGTGTTTCCCTGCCGGGAGGTGATTTTTTCGAAGCTGTTTTACTGCTAGCAGCCGCAGGCAACAGAATCTGTCGAAAAATGCTGTTTTTCTACGATTTCAGACGACACGTTAGGCAGTCTTTTGGCGTGGTTTTGGAACTAGCTCGTCCTTCAGAGGCATGGTGTTTCCCTGCCGGGAGGTGATTTTTTCGAAGCTGTTTTACTGCTAGCAGCCGCAGGCAACAGAATCTGTCGAAAAACGCTGTTTTTCTAAGATTTCAGACGACACGTTAGGGAGTTTTTTGGCGTGGTTTTGGAACTAGCTCGTCCTTCAGAGGCATGGTGTTCCCCCCCGGGAGGTGATTTTTTCGAAGCTGTTTTACTGCTAGCAGCCACAGGCAACAGAATCTGTCGAAAAATGTTGTTTTCCTTGGATTTCAGACGACACGTTAGGGAGTTTTTTGGCGTGGTTTTGGAACTAGCTCGTCCTTCAGAGGCATGGTGTTTTCCCTGCCGGGAGGTGATTTTTTCGAAGCTGTTTTACTGCTAGCAGCCGCAGGCAACAGAATCTGTCGAAAAATGCTGTTTTCCTTGGATTTCAGGCGACACGTTAGGGAGTTTTTTGGCGTGGTTTTGGAACTAGCTCGTCCTTCAGAGGCATGGTGTTTTCCCTGCCGGGAGGTGATATTTTCGAAGCTGTTTTACTGCTAGCAGCCGCAGGCAACAGAATCTGTCGAAAAATGCTGTTTTTCTAGGATTTCAGACGACACGTTAGGCAGTCTTTTGGCGTGGTTTTGGAACTAGCTCGTCCTTCAGAGGCATGGTGTTTCCCCCCTCGGGAAGTCAATGAACATTTAAAATGATCTAAAATGTCCTGAATGCCTTCAATGTCCTGGATGCCAGGGACATATCACCTTTTTCTGGGATGGTCAATCGATATAAAATAAAAACGCCCTGGATGCAAGGGACAAAACATAACACGGAAGATTGCACTAGTGCCCATACCTATCTGACCTAGAAAGCTGTTCCACACTGGTCCTTTTTCCGGGGTCGGCGGCAGGGGCGGCAGCCCTTAATATATATATATACCATCCTCTGGTTATTTAACATAGCCATGGTATAGATGGCCCATAAAAATAGATGATGTTCCCAGCTATAAACCTCCATTTATGGTTGGGATTTTCCATGGCTATGTTAGTCATAACCAGATGGTATATGGGTTAGAATGCCCCTAGAGCTTTTCCCTGAAAGGGATGACCACAATGATATGTAGCTGCAGCGAAAAAAACCATGGTGTATGTGTCCATTCTCCATTTTCCATGGCAATAGTCCGTCTTCGGTAGCAAACTAAAACAAAGAAAACACAACGAAACTACGAAACTAGCTGGATTTATGATTTGAAGTATTTCCCAGTCCCTAAAACCTCCATAAGGTTCCACCCCTCAGTTGCTTCCACCATGGTTCCCCCACCCACCGGAGCACCTCCCAGGACCCCTTCCGCGTCATCCTCGCCCTCGCTGAACTGGGCCACGATGAAGTCGGTCAAGTCCGCCACCGTGGGGTAGTCGAACATCACCTGGGCTGCTACTGGCTGGCCGTTGGAGAGGTGATTTCATGTGATTTCGCCATGAATGGCCCACTTTTTTTGAATGAGTTACCAATGTACCTATTGAATTGGTGATGTTCCACTGCTGTGGGGATTTCAGGCGTTGATCATCCCACTTGGTGGTTTTTATCTCAGTTAGGATCCATGATTAGGTCGATGATAGGCCATCAGATCCCCCTACATGCCATATCATACCATCATATCTCGTTATATTCCAGTCATGAAGGGTGTAAAATCCACTTGTCAACAAATCTCCCAACCTCCCATCCGTTTTTTCACCCAGACACTGTGGATGCCAAGTGGAGGCCATCAAAAGAGGCCTCGCATATGGAGCTGACTCACTGGGTTTCCACATGCTGGGGAAAAACTTCAGCACTCTGTAAGATTGGTGTGCCTGAAAATTGGTATGCCCAGAATATGGCCAGGGAAAATGACTGTTGAAATGATGATAAAGCATGGGAAAATATCCATGTGCGACGTGCTCTAGGCGTGTATGTGCGATGCTCCAAACTGTATTGTTTTTTCAGATACGATGGTGAAAAGCTCGTCATGTTACGGTTTGCTGTCTATACTTTGTCAACACATGTTTTGCAAATTTCATTGACTCATCTTTGTATGACTCAAAGTCCTAGACCTACTTAGACCTACTTGTACTGTCCTAGTTCAGAACCAACTTTGAACGCCGCACCTGCACACGATTCCTGAACTCCACAGCCGACAAGGAATCCAGCCCCATGTCCATCAATGGCACGGAGAAATCCGAGAGGTCTGGATCACCTGTCCACTGGGATCCAAATGGGCTGGACTTTGCCTTTGAGCAGGTCAGGGTGAGTTATGACAAATTGAAAGCTCCTTGGACCACTGAAAAATACTGAAAACATCTTGTGAACTAGCAAAATCAACCAAAATCCAAAAACCTACTGTACTCATACCCGAAGAATGCTAACTGCTCAAATCCCAGAGCGGATAATTCGACCAGAGGATCCAGTGCGTTTGGAAGTGCTAAGTGCTTGGACAAAGCCCAGCAGTATTGTTGGCCAATGTTGGCCAAGATCAGAAGCTTTCAGTATTGTTAGTACTAGACCCCCATTTCTATCAGCTTCCAGCCAACAACAAGACTGTTGTACCTTCTGGCTTTTCCATGCTTTTCCCCGTTTGTTTCTCAGTTTCTCCAGCTATTTCCGCCCCGGAAACCAGGACATCTGCCCGCCTAAGACGTCGCAGAGAACGTTGATGATGGTTGAGTTCACCAAGTCCTGCGAGTCCACCGGCTGCTGCGAAGTCAACTTCTTCCGTAGGGACCTATGTTAAACGTCAAAAAAAAGACAGAAACGAATAGCATTCTGATGTCAGAAAAGCCATGGAATATCTAACATAGATGATTTAAGTATAATACATGATGTGAACATCATTAATAAAATTGACAACCTTTCAAGAGAAACTGCCGATCCAAAGCTAAACCAGCCATTTTTGTTCAACACTTGGTGGATTTGTTCCAGGTGCGGCAAGTCCTTGGGCACACCACCACTCATCTTGACTCCTGGCATGGCAGGTACTTTTTCTCTGCTAAGAATGGATTGTGATGTGGGATGCACCCAATGCCATAAGCCTACCATGACTGGGGACGAGAGCTACCACCCATAAAAATGGTGATGACTTGGGGATGATTTATGGCTTTTTGGGTTTACCACATGATAGGTCAGTATCTATCCTCTATTTCTGGCGATTCTAGGTGGCCTGGGTGGAGCGGAAATCCGAAAGATTGCTGTTCGGCAAGAACTTTGGACCCAACTGCGAGGGGTCAAAAAGCTGGTGCTTGACCGGAGATATCATACGGTTAGGGAAATGAAATCTCCGCATTGACTCCACAAAGAAAGCACGAACTGGTGGATGACTTTGGAGCTGCCCCATTTTTCCCAAATCAAGTCACCTGGTTTGACTGCAGATTCGTGACTTCATCCTCACATCTCAGCTAGTGGCACCACCCCAATCTACTGCTGGCCTGAGGATTTCTTGTGATGCTGGAAGTTCTCCAGGAAGCAAGGCACCTACCACCATCATCAAAGGTGAGATCTGGGTTACAAACTTCCGCCAGGTTGATTCATTTGGGATGGCATGTTCAGAGAGAATCACGACGAAAGATCAGGGTTCCCCCTTTGTAGTCAAACCCACAACTTTCAGGTATTCCATCATCCATGAAATTGTTTGGGAAAAATAAGGCCCCTGAAAATTTAGGCTTCTGATGCTCCGAAACAAGGGAAAGCCAAACCAATCACCAAAAAGAACACAAGAGAAGCCTCGGAAAATCCAAAAGTCCAAAAATCCTCATGGTGTTTTTCCCGAGAATCCTCAACCCAAATCCCAAAAAAAAATCACCAAAATCTCTCCTATCCCCCCCGCCTTGGGCTGGGCCGCCAAGAAGGCAGACCAATTGAGGCGCGCCACACCCACCAGAGCGGTGTTGGGCAGTGACAGGATGGCCGCCATAGCCTGGCCCATCAGAAAATGGCGACCAGAATTGATGCTACCAGGCTTGTAGATTGGACCAAAATGATGCTTTGATGTTGATGTTGATGTTGATGTTGATGTTGATGTTGATGCTGCATTGATGCTTTAGGATTTATGACAAACTCCAAAACTTGGTGGATGTTGACTCCAACAAGAGGATGAAAAACATGATTTAACCATCAGAAATTGGGAAGTCTGAAGTAAATCTGAGCAATTCTCATTCAACCCATCTTGCAACATCATCCCCAGATATCTGCTGGATTTTGCCAGATCAGCCCAGCAAACAGTTGCTGTACTTGGGCCCCCTTTCCAGCCTGCAGGCTGGCAGTGGGGTCCAAGCGCAAATATCCACCGCTCTCAGTGGTGCCAGCCCGAGCCGCCATGCCAACTTCCGCCCAGGGGCCCCATTGCACTGAGACAGCAGGGAGGCCTGGCTGTAACATGTGGAGTCACATGGCTTGAAAATGGCATAGAATCCGGGGAGAATATGGGAAATGGTAATCTTATGTAATCTGGTGTGTTGGGTATTTCCAAATCTTCTTCCATGTACAGAGGAGCTGCGTTCAGTTCACCTAGTCCCAGGATGTCTGCAGTGGGGCAAAATGGGCAAATGATCATAGACCAGAGGATTTGGGGGTCAAAACCTTACACAACATTTCTAGACAGACCCACATGGTTGAACTGCAACTGGTGTTTCAACATCGATGGAAGGCATCCTGCCAGGTTTACCCTAACGTGTCTTTGTCCACGTTCAACCCTGACACCAGGTAGCCACCTTGACCGCGGCGGTGCAACGCAAAGGCATCCAGGAAGGTGTTTGCAGAGCAATAGTTCGCCTGGCAGGCAAGACATACCTTGTCTTGGTCGTTCATGATGCAGACTTGTCAATTTTTTTTTTGAGCTTGGTCCACAAATGAGGGAATGCCGCAAAGTCATGCAATCTTTCATCGGAACAAATGAGGAAAACCGCCGGAGTTGGGGGGCACCCTGTTTTTAGACAGATCCGGGTTCAAAGACAACACAACTCGCCACAAGGAGCAACCCCCCGCTCCGAGCGTACTGTGCAGGCTAAAGAGGCTCCCCAAGGCTTCTAGATCATTCATCAGAATCAAACACCCAATCAAAATCATGGATTCCTCATCTCGTTGGTGGTTTCAACCCCTCTGAAAAGTATTATTAGTCAGTTGGGACTATTATTCCCAATATATGGAAAAATAAAAAATGTATAAAAATGTTCCAAACCACCAACCAGGCATTGACAAATTGAACAAGTAAAATCCAAAAAGTCAATGAGCCGATAACCATTGACCAATTAGCCAACATCTCTACCGCCCAGAAATTCACCCGTCGGGAAAAACCACCTGTCCAGGAGATCCCAGCATGGCAGCCACAGAGGAAAAGAGCGCGAACATGTTCACCTGCGCGATGTCGAAGCGTGACTTCGACAGGAATCTCGAAGAAATTCCAAATTGGATCAAAAAGAAAACGGATTCTGAAATTCCCCAAAATAAAGATAAAGTTTGTTGAGATCAGAAAAATTAGGCATGGTCAGTGTGATAATGATGGTGGTATTTTCAGGAGACTGGTGAAGACAGTGATGTTGGTGCTGCGGGTGGGCCTTGTTATCGCCCTCCAAGCCCAACTCCTTCAATGCATTGTGCAGGTTCCTCGGCAATCATAGACCCATCGGCGAATCCAGTGTGGAAACGCCGGGAAGATTCGATTTCTCCACTTTTGCAGAACGCCACGGTCGGGTGCCCCGGCAGTGTGCCGTCGATCTTGGGCTTCAGAACAGGCACAAAGTGCGAAGGCTGAAGGTCCATAATGAGATGATCATCCAGGACCTCGGAAAGGACATCCAAATGTGGCTGTCTGACTTGGATAGGGGCTACCAGTGGGTAAAAATTGGTGATTTCAGGTAGCTGTTTTTTGTTGCCTCCCAAACTTCGATTACCTCAGCCATCTTCATCTTCAATGTTTAAAAGGAACGAATAGAATAGTTGCAGGAAATTCATGGTTTTTAGCCCGCGGAAACGTTCTGTAGATACAGTATCCAGTATCACATTAAAAGCAATTTTGAGGACACAAAAATAGGCGATGGCTCAAAAATAGGGTAGCAGGGTGGGCCTAATTTCCATATGGACTTCATGCCTCGATCCAGCAGCTGAAAATGAGCAGGGGAACAGCCACAAATTTGCTGAGTCCGAATGGCGCCGTGATCAATTTCTGCACGAGCTCAGCAAGAATGATGTGTGGGTATGGTTGGATGCTGAATACTGAAAATGCCCCAGAAATTGGGGGTGCCCCAGTGTCTCACTTAGAGGGCCACCACTGCCGAAATCTGCTTCATACTGGGCCTCCCTGGCACCGGCAGCATGCAGCAGACCCTTCAAGGGCTTCTGCGATGTCCTTGGGCGGTGCCAAAGGGTGATGTGGTCCGCTGGCAAACTTGGTATCCAAAAAGTTTCCGCAAACCAAAAGGGACAGAAAATAAAAGGAGCTGCGCAGCGTTGGAGTGGATTTTACATCCTCCCAAGAAAGACAGTACCTGCATGGAGAGCATGTAACACCTGCCCTCGTCTTTGCAGTCAAGCAGCAAATCCTTCAAGCAGTTTGTCACCGCCTGGACTCCCCAAGGTTTTGGAAGTGCATCGTTGAGGGAAAAGAATCTGACAAAATATCACAAGTCATGTCTCAAGAAATCTAACGCCTGTCACCTGCCCTCGGATTTTTTCTTCCTCGTCTTTGGGACGTACGAAAAACATCACCAGTTGATGCCAAAATTGAACCCCGACGGGAGGCACCTTAAATTATGTTCATCAGGTGATATCAAGTTGCAGCACACTCTCGCAGACATGGCAGAAATTCTCCATTTCAAGATGTCAGAAATCGAAAAATGTGGCTGTTCCACTGCCATCTTCAATGACCAGAGGTTCAAAAATAGGCTGACCCAAAATGGAGTGACATCCCGCGTTTCTGAACAATTTCATCTTGCATTGTTGGTTATGTCAAATTATTCCCATCATATCCACATTATTATATTCCTACTCTATCATATGATATGCCCATATATTAGTGGATGTTATATAGATATATCGTACCAGTATTGTATATTCATGATTAACAAGTGTTCTTGTTTAAATGCGGATGTCAATTGTACCATATCATGTTTAAGCATGCATATGGAAATTAACCACTGTTACTTCTTGTTTGAATATAACCATTAGAACTTTTAACATGTATTAACCATGCTGTAATTAATGTTATTCCCATATATATTCACATTCTATCCGCATTGTATCCATCGTATCCCCATCATATCCCATTATATCCAATTTATGATTGATTTTGGAATATATATATATATGTGTGTGTTAGTGTTATAGATATATATATAATCATATGTTAAGCATATGGCAATGAATATCATATGATTGGCCATTGGGGTTCAACCATATGGGTGTGATAAATATCAGCCAGTAATTATTGGCCATATCAAACATTCTCCTATGACCCGTGGGTCCCTGAGTATCATTATAACTACTAACCATATTATAGAACCCAATGGTTAACATATATGCTGTAATATTGTAGACCACTAACAAATATCAACAATATGGTATTTAATATCATGCAAACCCAATTATCGATCCTATTAAACATTGTCATGCAACATCATATAACCATTGGGTATCATTATAACTATTAAGACTAACCATATTAATCCACTTAACCCAAATAATTATCATATATATATACAATTATTAACCTCTGTAACTATAATTATTAACCATACCATATGGCAATTTAGTTATATCATATTAACCCAATGATTAACCATTGGGGTTATACAACCCATTGAACAACCCCAAGTCGTTCCCGTCGTCCCGCCTCTGGCACTGCGCTGTCGCACGCCTTCAGCGACACGGCAGCCTTCGTCTGCGTCAAGCGTTCGTAGGTAGCCAAGGACGCGGGGTCCTAGCGCGGCGCGGTGTCACTGGATGAGTTCAAGGGAGTATTGAACTACGATTTCTACAAGAGATAGGAAAACCACGATTTTTACCCGAAATAGGGATTTCCTGCAGATTTGTCGATAAACCAATTCTCAAAGTGTCACAGACAATTTCAATTGCCTTTGTTTAAGTCTGTTTGATGGTTTGATGTATGTGGTGTGGCTCCATCGTGCAAGAACTTGCATGGTTCAAATCGGAGTACATTCAAATATATGTCGGCGGTTTCCTCAACTCCCTCGTATCATCTTGACCCAGTCGCAGAGATCAGAAAGGCAGCCACAAACAGAAACCCACCCCAAAAGAACCCACCCAACCCTCTTCAGATAGGCAAAAAAAACCGCCTCCAGTTTTTCACTCTCTCACCATCCAGTTGTGGCCTTTACCAGTTACAACTGGCTAATGATATATTATATAACCTTAGTCACAGGAGTTCTAATCCCATTTAAGGCCCATTTGTAAGGGCCATTTATATGTGGTCTTTCCCCCACTCTCCTCCCACCGCAGCCCCCACGAAACGCTCCTGTGCCACCTTGCCACTGCGCGAAATGAGCCCCAGATGCGTGGCACCTCTCTCCGCGAAGAAGGCCGCGAAGAGCAGCCCCAGCCCGGCCGTGCCGCCGGTGACGCCGTAGCTGCCATCCTCCAAACCTGGGAATAGGAAAATGGTGGGAAAATGGTGGGAAAATGATGGGAAATGGATGGAAATGTCCTGGATTCTATATGGAAAATGGGTGGAGAGATAGTTTTACCATGTTTTACCTCTGAGAACTGGGATGCGATATGGGAGATACGAGGCAAATATACCATTCAAATGTCCTTCTCTTTGGGGACGAGAAATTGCGGGATTTTTCACCTTGGATTACCGGAGGGTAAATGGTTGGGAAGTGGGATCTTTCGGCACGAAGGTGTACGAGGATATACCGCAGTTGCGTTTTCGTGGATCCCAAATGCAGCGTAGCTGATGCTGTGCTAAACAGGCCCATGAAAAATGCAGAGGTGCGGCACGAGATGCACTTAGGATGGTGTGATGAATCTGAAAAATCATAGCTGCCCGGCATTCAATGCTGTGTATACGCATCATTTCGCGCTGTTCTGCACAATTCCGTGCCAGCACTTGCTGTTTTGTAGACCGTTGCAGCACCCTTCCCCACTCGAAACTGACCAAGAATACAATACGATACGATACGATATGATATCACTCTAAACATTTTCTTTCCAGAACGGGCACCAAAAGATGGCTATCCCAACTTCCCCAGATATCGCACCACCAAATCCTGGTGTAATTTTTCCGAGGAGCTGTAGCTCTCAAGATCCACCTCTTGGAATTTGCTGGTCGTCTCTTCCAGTCGCGAAACCAACAAGTTTTTGCTCAGCAAAAGCTCCGGTTCCACTTCCTGGGATGGTGTTGAGCTTTGACTTCTGTCCTTGTTCAGGACGCCCATCCGAGGATATCTGATCAAAAAAAACATGTGGAGTATGCATGCGTGTGCGGAGAATCAGAGCGGAGAGTGCAAACAACACTGGATGCTACATTTCAACCGTTTAGACTAGACTAGACAGAGAAGAAATAAACCAATGCATGACTGCATGCTTTGGTTGCTTTTCAAATACAATTCCCGGAATGTAGGTGCGTGGTTGTAAGTTATTTCATTTGCAGGTCGTCTCTGACCACAACCTGACATCACTCTTCTTTTTTGCTGTTTCCACTCAATAGATCAAAGTTGTGAATACTGTACGTATCTAGCTGCACTACCTGCATGTTCCAGCTGTTCCAAACCAGTAACCGGTAACTTTGAAGGAAATTTTGCCCCCTACGTGAACCATGCCTTCGGGCCATATGCACATGCCTGCAAATTCCTGTCGAAGCAGACACCACCTGGGAGTCTTTAGAATATTTTACAATACTATTCGGGTATCACTTATCACCATCATCAACAAATGTTAACCATCACTATATAACCATCATTAACCATATTCAAACATTATTAACCATATTTGACCATATTTGACCATTATTTACCATTTTTAACCACCATTAAGCATGAATAACCTTGGTTATATTGAAATCCTGCAGCCAACAATGGTCCAACCTGTCAGCTGAAGGATTAAACTCTCCAGCTTCGATCGCCCAGCGTCCACTGCATCCTTCCCGCTGCGGCGGGTCTTCAGCGAATGCAGCCTGCCAAACTGTTCATGAGGCCCCTGGACTCGTGGACTAGTGGACTGATATATGTTACAACTCGGAATCATCGTTGATATAGATAAATACACTAGATCTATAGCTATTGAGAGATATTGAGAGTCATATGCCATTTTGGGGACACACCCAAATGCAGGTCAAGCTCGTGTCATCCCCAGGGTCTGAATTCCTTTACCCACGTTGCAGACCTGGACAGTATGTAAATACAATCTACAAGGCCGCCTAAAAGTGGGGGAATACCCCCCAAAATTGCAGGAAATTAATGAGAAGATCGTGATTCAATCCAGATTTTGGGAGGCCCTACCATGGTATCCCCCAGTTTGAGATCCTCGAAAGACTTCCAGCTCCAGCCAGGGCCCGAAGTCTCACCTCTTCAGCACCTCTGCAGCCGGGGCGTCCTTAGGCATGTCACTTCCCAGGTCCACGCAGCCGCAAACCGCATTGGGCACCTGTCGTTCAAGGCTAAGGCTAAGATGGCCTTGCACCAGAAATCGTTGGCGCCCCAAAATCCCAAGTGGTTTTTGAAAACCGTGAAATTTTGCCATTGAATTGCGCGATAAATTGGGGTCCCATCGCCCGTTTTGATCCATTTTGACCGAAAAGTGGGAGATTGTGATCTAAAGCGGTGGTTAAAATAGCTGTACACAAGTAAGTCAGGTGTGTCCAAAACTTGAGAGGGAACTCCAACCAGCACGCGGAAGCCGCTGCTCACTTTTGGGACAACCGAAATTCGTACAGCACTGTATGGATCCAAATCTTGAAACCAGGGCGCACAGCCGAACCAGGGATGACCGAAAAAGTCACGTGTGTCCCTCAATATTTCTGTGATACCAGAGCAGTTCAAACCCATGTTGCTTAATTGTACATGTCTGGTGCCTGGTATCTCCCTTTTATTGTTGTTCCATGTTGCTTGTCTCTCATCTTTGTTGAGAATGTTCACCATGTTCACCCAGGATGAATTTAACCCCATATTGCTGAACCAAGTTTAATATTAATACATTCCACCATTTTGGTTTGGATAATGTCAATACATCACTAAGTAGCAATCTTAACAGTAGTTTAAGATTAGTTTAAACAGTCCTATTAGTGATGAAATTATAGAATTTACCGATAGCATTCACAAAACCATTCAATGTCAGTGAATTTCAATCATTCACCAACACTTCACTCATTCACTAGGTAATTCACTAAGTAACCACCGCTTAATTTTGATGACACCCCCCACTCAATTCACCCCAGCCTCCAAGCGCAGACACCGGGCCAGGCCCCACAGGCCCGCGTGCAGCGGCACATCCTGGCCCTTCAGGGCTGAAGCCTCGCTCGCCTGTGCGAAGTTGGTGGTTTTTGTCTGCAAAAATTGGTGGTTCAAGAGTTTAAACCTGGGAAATCTTGGATGTTGAGGTATAACCCCCAAAAAAACAGATTCAGAACAGCTTAAGTTGACCATTCTTTGAGGATTTTACTTATGGGCATCTTTTCGGGGGGTGCTAAATTTCATGGGTTCATTCTAGAGTATGGGTCATGTCATTCTTCACGCATCCTGGGAACCCAAGCTGCACCTCTGCTTTTCGGTGAGGGAATGGAATGGACCTACATCTTGATTGATGATGGAGACTTGAGGAATGGGATTAGATTGGCTGCCAGCCACATGAAAAGCGCCTGTGTTCCGCGCAGCACGAACCACACTTCTGGTGGGGAATCTGCTCTTTGGGCCTTGGCATGAAGGTCAAAGTGCTCCACATTTTTTAAGGGAAGTTGGAACCTCTTTGAACAAGCAACAGATCTTTGGGTATGTTACCGATCCACCGAACTGAGGGGTCTGTAGATGCCCTGGACCTTTCAATTTCTTGCACCATTTCATGCTCTGTTTTGGGCCAAAGCCTTGCTCCTGCCCTATGGAACAAACTCTTGGTGGCAGGTTGACGGCTCCACCCACCGCCAAGCTGCCTTCTGGATCAAGTTCAAGCCATGGCAAAGGACCTGAGGCGCTAACACTTGAGTGACTGGCATTGCAGCACATGGCAGAAACATATACAAATATTACAATCCACTTTGTAGTACAGTGTACAGTGTATCTCAAACAATGTGTATACCAATCATTACGGATGTTTGAAACTGTGGTTTTCAACAACACAAAAGACACGTCTCCGGCGTGCCTCCATGGGTTTCTCCTTGGCCGTGGGCACATAGATTACCCGCTCGAAGCCAGTCAGGTCCTCCTCCTTTCCAGGCTCCAGGTAGGCATGGTGATCACCTGAGGAAATGCCAGGCCCGACCTGCGACCTGGGGGCGTTCCCCTCCATGGTTTCCCGTCAAAAATATATACTGTAGGTATATACACTGTAAACTGGGGGAGGATTTGGGGACCCAACCCATTTTGGGGAAGGTAAACCCACCTGGGAAGTTTAACATCGTTTTGGTCTCAAAATATGTTTTTCAAGAGCTCCAAAAACGCTGAATTTCTGCTCGGATGGTGAAGGAAAAGGAATGGGTTTCACGAACTTTTTGCTTAACCAACGGACCAAAGATCCTTTACCCATCTGATACACAGATTATTGGCCTTAGACACGTTGACTCATAACCCGACCACTATTTCCTGGCATATCACATCCCCTGAACTAGTACCAGTTGCCCAGCTAGACTCCACAGCCAAGGAGTTTCGATCTGCTGCCCAAGTGACCCAAGTCTTCTTTCAAGGCTTTCACCAGTGGAGCATCGGCCTGTCTGTACAGCAGAGTGTGTTCATCCACATCATGGATATCAGCTTGCCATTACCCTCTGGTTATGTCAAAATAGCTATGGAAAATGACAATTTATAGTGGATTTACCCATTGAAAATGGTGATTTTCCATGGTTATGTTAGTTTACCAGAGGGTAATTACCAAGAGGCACAGTTAACAAACATCCAACAAACAGCTGATGTTCATAACAGCTGATCTGTTGATTGGGTGAAAGGAATCGCCAGTGACAACTCAGCTCCAATTTCAACAGTTGTTTCAAGCTGGTTGCCGTTTCGCATGTTCACTTCTATGTATGTTCTATCAAAATTCAGTCCATGTTTTTTCCCAATGCCGTGTATTCAACAGCTCGTGGCTCTCAAATCTCAGGATCAATCCATTGCCACCTTCCCTCGTCTCCACCTGGAAGAGCCATCGCCCCTCCGCAGTGGTGGGCAACAAGGCTTGCTCCTCCACCTCGACCGTCTCCGGGAAGTCTTTCCAGGTGGTCTCGAAGTAACTCACGGCATCCTTCGCCTGGCAGTGAATCCCATGCCGCCTCCCGAGTCCCCGAGTTCAGAGCGAGCGAGTGTTCAAAAAAAAAACAAGCGACACTGCCTTGCTTGCCGGGCTAGGGTCTCAAAATTGGGTACACTAAATTCCCGCAAGTCATCATTTTTTCCGAATGAAAATGGCCAAATGGCCACATATACAACCTTGTTGATTCGATCCCTGTCATATAGTTTGATCTTCGTTATATCCCAATGAAATACATCAGTTCATATCCCTATGACCCTATGACATCCCGTTGTCCCAATGAATGATATTCATATCATTTCCAAGAGATTGGTGAGATGTATTCCCATAGCGTTCCAGTTTATAGTCCCAATGAAGTATTCTGTTCCCAATAGATTATTCCCATTACCCTTCGGTGCTCAAACATGGCAAGCTGGGAATTCACCAAACTAAATGGAGCTTCTGATGGGAAAATCATCTAAAAAATCGAGGAATTTTCCAGCAAACCATGTTTGATTACCACAAGGTAAATGGATCAGAATCTCCATTGATAGTTAAATCCCGATGAAATCCCAGTTAAATCCCCATTATAGTCCCGATAAAAATCCCCATGAAAATCCCTGTTAAATCCAGAAATCCCGGAAAAAAAAAACTTGAAATCCCCGTTGAATATGATGATATATGATGATATATGATGATATCTTATGATATATGTATTATGATTCTATATGATTCTCATTTGATTCTATATGATTCTCATTTGATTCTCATATCTCATCCCCTCATCGCGCCTTGGTGGCCGCCAAAGCTTTCTGGATCTGCTCTGGTAAGACCTCAGCCAGGCGCTGAAGCCCCAATTTCCAAACAAACAAGTGGAAAATGGAGATTTCACAAACACAAATTGGTGAAATTTCACTAACAAAAAGTTGTATTCAACTGTGGAACATGTAGGGTGTTTTCCAACAAAATGGTAACTTCGCTGGGGAAATTCGGGAGACAACGGGTATCATGGGGCGTCGACCCACACAAATGAGACAAGACCGATTTAACCATATCTATATGATGTTGGCTGTCTGAAAATGAGGTGCAGTCTGACTGGAGGGGCAATGATGATAAACCGCTGGAATACCTCTCCCCATGTTCAGAAGCAATGGGCAGTTCAACACCAGCAATCTGAGCCACAGAATCTCGAGAAGATGGGTCAATATACCCTCTGGTAATTTAAAATAGCTATTGAACATGGCCATTTACAGTTCATTTGCCTATTTGACATGGTGATTTTCCATAGCTATGTTAGTTTCCCAGAGGGTACCCCATCTGCCGGCACAAGAACTTGGAACAGCTTGGTTTGGCTCGATGCTCCTGTAACAACGCCATGGAGCCTTACGGAAGATGACATCTTCCAGGCGCCACAGAAGAGCGCCCTGCTCGGTGAAGACTTGACAGGTGAAGATTTGCTGCCTGGGTAGGAGAGGGACCGACAAGAGAATGGGGGATATCATGGATATCAGGACATTTGGCTACTTGGCTTTGTCTGAAAATAGGGTATATTCCCAAACAAATAGCCATTTAATATCATTTAATAGGGATAATGATTATTAACCATTGGGAAAATGGGGTACACTATTTTCAGACACACCCATATCAGGACATTTGGCTACTTAAAACTTAGGAGAGTGCTCATGGTTGTTGCATTCAGAATATGAAATTGTGCATTTTGCCCTGGGAGCAAGTATCTCCCACAATCGTATATCTCAATTTATTTCTGAGAGATAAGTTGTATAGTTGCTAACTCCAGATCTAGGTTGTGAGAGTCGCAACCTCTAGAACTCTCTGAACACTATGAGCATCGTCGCACCGCAAGGCCTAAAAAAGCCCACCTTCATGCCGCCTCTGAAGGCAATGTTAGGTCCCAGTCCAAGGTGCTGATCAGTCTTCTCGTTGATGCTCAAATGCAGAATCACGGCCTCATCTTTGGGTGCCTGGCGTTCGGAAATCTTTTCTGGCCATCCCTTGGAATTCACCAGCCTGGTCAAACTTCACATGGCGAACCTCACCCCTTTAAAATCCCTTAAAATCCCTTAGAGACATCAACTCCCAGGTAGGAATATGGTATTCCTACCTCCATGGTTCTTGTCTAAAAATGGACCAGTCAACCAACCACACCAGGCTTGAAGCGAGCTGAGGGCCAAGATGCTATTGTAGGAACGAGTAGGATACTCCAAGTGAGGCTAGAATTGATGGATGCTCACTGAGTTAGAAAAGAAAAACATCATTTATCCCAAGTGGACGGGGCTATAACCCAGTTTCAATCCATTTACTGTAGAAGAAATCCACATCTTCAATCCACGTCTTCAATCCCCACCCGCTGGCGGCCTCCTTGGTGACCACAGTGACCTTGCCAACGCCCGCGAAGATCTTCAGGAAGGGCGGGTCTTGATCAAACATCGTGGCACAGACCGCGTGGATGGTACCATCGAAGAGAGATGGATGGATGATGTATCCTGGCGCATCGAAAAAACTGCGGGTTCGGAACTGCTGGGGATGGATCAAAGCCTCGGGTGATTTACCCTCTGGTAAACTAACATAACTATGGAAAAAAAAAATCACCATTTTTAATGGGAAAATCCACTACAAATGGGCATGTTCAATAGCTACGTTAAATTACCAGAGGGTAACTCTTTTAACCATCAAGAATGTTGGTTTGATGCGTGTTTAATGAGCGTTTAACGATGATTATAAATGATGATTACACCATATCTGGGGGAAATGAACATCCATTTAACAGCTAGTTTGGCGTTAGGGCACCACATTTTTGAGCCATAGCCAAATCTCGCAAGTGGGAGGTTGAGTTGGAAAAGGACATTCTGAAAAACTCACATATCATCATCTATATAGTTGATTTACCTATTATATATAAATGGTGATTTTCTATTACTATAGTTTTTTGTATGTTTGCCAGAGGGTATCTCCGACATATCTCTGACAAAGTTGGCGAGCCCAGGATCATCCCAAGCCTTGGTTTGGAACGTCAGAGTTCAGCTTCATGCGGCACGAGATTTCATCGGGATTGCGACGCATGTCGTAGCAGACCTGGCGCGGAATTCTGCAACCGCGGCGAAAAAAATATATTACCCATATATTTTCCGATGTGTTTGTTTTTGCCACAATTCTGCATGGATGCCAAAACTAGCTGGTGGTTTCAACCTCCTTGAAAAATAGGACGGTCAATGACGGATCAGCATCCCGTTTCTATGCTTGAAATCCAGGAACATCAAATAATATATTATGTATATATATATACTTCAAAATCCAGTAAAGATCATCAAGAATCCCAGAAAAAAATCAGAAAAATAGTGGAAACCACCAACCAGAAAAAAACTTACTTTACTTCGTGTGATCCCCACCATGACATTTATACATTTTCTTACTGGCAAATCTTCTGGCATTCTATCTGACATATCTTCTGACATTCTATTTGGCATTCTATCTGGCATATCTTCTGGCATATGATCTGGCATCTCTTCTGGCATATCTTCTGGCATTCTATCTGGCAAATCTTCTGGCATTCTATCTGGCATATCTTCTGGCATTCTCTCTGACATATCTTCTGGCATTCTATCTGGCATTCTATCTTATCTGGCATATATTCTGACATATCTTCTGGCATTCTATCTGATCTGGCATATATTCTTCTGGCATATATTCTGACATATCTTCTGGCATTCTATCTGACATATCTTCTGGCATATCTTCTGGCATATCTTCTGGCATATCTTCTGACATATCTATCTGGCATATCTTCTGGCATATTTTCTGGCATTCTATCTGGCAAATCTTCTGGCATTCTATCTGGCAAATCTTCTGGCATTCTATCTGGCATTCTATCTGGCATATCTTCTGGCATATTATCTGGCATTCTATCTGGCATATCTTCTGGCATATCTTCTGGCATATCTTCTGACATTCTTTGTGACATTCTTTCTAACTTTCTTCTGCACATTCTTTGTCCCATATCTTCCTACATGAGGTCCGGCAGGGAACACTTGGCGTGGATACTCGCGGTTGAGGTCCGGCAGGGAACACTGGGCGTGGATGGTCGTGGTTGAGGTCCGGCAGGGAACACTGGGCGAGGATGGTCGTGGTTGAGGTCCGGCAGGGAACATTGGGCGTGGATGGTCGTGGTTGAGGTCCGGCAGGGAACACTGGGCGTGGATGGTCGTGGTTGAGGTCCGGCAGAGAACACTGTGGATCGCGGGTCGCAGTTGAGCAAGGACGACGAGGACGACGAGGACGACGAGGAGGACGAGGAGGAGGAGGAGAGGAGGACGAGGCAGGAGGAGGCGGAGGAGGAGGAGAAGGAGGAGGAGGAGGAGAAGGAGAAGGAGGAGGAGGAGGCAACTGACATAAAATCTAACAACCCTCACCTGGCAGGTGGGGAACAAAACAGGTCATCTCCAATGAGAAAAGCCGCACCACACCTGGAATTTCGGTCCCAGCCAAAGTCCGGTGCTGTCCACCAAGGGATACCTGAGATTTTTGGTGCGTTTTTTTTGGGGCCACGGACCAAGAAAATGTGTCAAAGGTTCGGATTGAACAAAAAAAAACAACTCTTTAAGATTCCGAGGGTGCCAAGAAATGCCTGTAAACATGCAGAGTTGAAGGGTTTGCCAATCTAAAATTTGTCAACAGGTTACTTGACACCAAAAGGCACTGGGCGGTTAGCTCCTTTTGAGCTTCGATACACAAGTTTGGGTTCGTTCTAAACCCCCAAGTTGTTTGGTTCAGAAGTTTCAAGCATTGCTGTACCTAAAGTTCTGTGAATTTTTGAGTTGCCAAATCTAAAGAAGCGACCATTTTGGGGGATGCTCATCGACATTGAGTAAATTCTTCGACTGGTGATATAAATCCGTCTTCATGGATCTTAATGGAGTCATGACCATTCCCCAATCCTGGATTTTTTGTATGGAATACTGGATTATTCATGCAGATTCTTCCATGGATGAATGGATAACGGTGATGAAAACACCCCAAACAACTCATGTTTTGAACACAGAAAACACAGATCAAGCAGATCCATCGTTTTCTCTTCAAGCTGCAACTTCTTTGGGTCAACTTGTTCCGGACATCGCGAGGCGCACGCCGACAAGGACAGCCTGGGATGGGAGATCAAGCTCCCAGGATTTTTTAGTGAGGCCCAGGGTTGCATAATTTTGCTGGGGAAGATGATGATAAACCATGATAAGCCATGATAAACCATTGGATTCTAGGGATTTCTGGTGCCCTTTTGATTTCTGGTGCAAACGTGCATTTGGTGCATTTTGGTCCATCCAGTCGGACATGCCTTCAAGAGTGGCTGATCTGATTCAACAAGAATGTGGGTAAAGCAATAGGATCCACCATTCCCACTTTTACCATAAATGGTTGGTATATGTGGTATAAATCATCACCATATGGGTGGTAAATAAAAGTGCTTTACTAACAATAGAGCTTAATTATTCACCATCAATATAAGCACACAACACCCAGCTCAAGCCAAAGAAAGACCAGGAAGATAATCTACTCAGCCTCTGCATTGTTCACATGCGTCGAGATGAGCCATTGTCTAACCCCGCCGTGAATCGCTCTAATACTTACACCTATAAGCCCTTTGAAATGAAAACTTGAAGCCAACCGGAAGCCAGAGATCCTGCCAATGAAGCGGAGACTCAATGAGACTAGCAGAATGGACTTCCAATGCACCCCCACTGAGTAATAGCTGCTAGGACCTTGTGAATCCTTGCGCAAAATGTAAGCCCGCACCCAGCTCCCACCCCTCCTTCAGAGTTTCCACCGGCTTGATCTCTGAGAGTGGATAATGTCTGGTAAGAGACTTCGAACACTTACAAAACTTACAACCACCAAGAAACACCAAATAAAGTGGATTCTTGCCACAAAAAAAAATAGAAAATCCAGCATCAAAAACTAGAAAGCGGACCTCATAATAACCTTGCCAATCCTTCTAACCACCTCAAAACTCATGGTTTTCCAGAACCAAGTTTGATGACTGGAAGACCTATCCACCTCAACTAGCAAATTCATAAACTCAACCTTCACGAAGTATGAAGATATTGCACCTCACCATTTATAAGCCAAAACTTTCAGAACTCCTAAAGGTTTTGCCACCTTCAAATTAACCCTACCTCCCAACCACCAGGTCACTCAATCCAGGCCCCCAGTTAGAAGTTTAGAACCTCATCTTACTAGTTGGAGATATCCACCATAACCCTATCCGTTCATCTACATTAGCCTACATATGGAGGTTTCCTAAAATGATGGTACCCCCAAATCATTCATTTTAGTAGCTTTTCCAACTATATATAAACCAACCATTTTTGGGGGTATCCCCCATTTCAGGAAACCCCAAAAAAGCCAACTTTTGCGGTGCGGAATGGGGGCCCCCTTTCCACCCCCAGTTCGCGTTTCCAAACGCCGAGCCGCTGTGGATTCACTTCCTCCGCCGCCCGTGCGCCGCCGCCGCTGGACTCCACCTTGCCCTCGCAGTGCGTGGTCCAGGCGTCGTCCCCCGCGCCCTGTGAGCGGAGCTCGAAGCGCTTGTTGCCTCGAGCCACGGGGCGATGGTAAAACCAACGAACACCGGGTAAAGACAACAAAAAGAGGGGGATAAAGTGGTATGACCAACCCAAAGAATTGAATTTAACATGATTTAACCATCTAAAATGATGGAAATCTCGAGTATGAGTTCTGGAATTCTGGGCGTTAATGTATATTGTTGCACATTTGCAGTTGAATATGGGTAGACATTAACCAAGGAATAGAACAGTTAAATGTGGTATACATCAACCAAGGAATAGGTCTGCAGGAAAATGTCCAAGTTGGATGTTCGGAATCCAGGTGGTATAATATGATTACAGCACCTCAGTAATAGCCAAAACAAAGGATGCATATCACATATCCGAGATTAATCAAGATCAGGAGAGTTGTGTGAGGAATCTAGTGGCAGTGGCTAATCTGTCAACCGTCGCCTCGAGGAAGGCAATGGGTCTAGCAGTGTTTTTGAGTTTTAAAATACCAGTACTAATAACTATAATCTACGCCTCAAGTGCTCAAAAGTTCGGAATCCTCTTGGTGGGTCTTCTGAATTACTCAGCTGTAAAAGCTATCCACAGCAACCAGACGCCCAAGAACTCCGTGGAAGATACCCGGCCTGGTAAACATACTAACATAGCTATTGAACATGGCTATTTTAATAGTGAGTTTTCCCATGAAAAATGGTGGATCTTTCCATAGTTATGTTAGTTTACCAGAGGGTATATAGTAGGATAGTATCCTGTTTCACTGATTCTTCACGGATTCTTTACAGAATTTCCATGCGCATTTCTCCAAACTCATGGTGGGACTGGCATTTCTCCAAAACAGAGCTATTAGCGACAGCCAAGTGGCCAATGATTGCCAAGCGCATCATCATCTGCTTGGCATCACTGTCTCCATCCTGCTTCTGCGTTTCCCGATGGTTCTAACGGAAATGTTTCTGAGAAGGCGGGCTGATTTCAAGGTTTTCTACCAGCGATATTCTCTATGGGTGAAGCCACTGCATACCAATGAGACCCATAAAATTGCTCATGCCTCATCTGGGGATGGGTCAAAACCTTGTACCCCTGGTGAACATCAAAATAGCTGGTAAATGGATGTTCATCCCACTAAAAATGTATCTATAGGTATTGACCCATAGCCATCTCAGACCTTTTCAGGGTGGTTTCCCCAAGAGTGACGATCCTTCATGGCCGACAATCGCCCTACGGTCGGTATCAATCCTCCAGATTCTTCCTGAAATCCCCAGGTTTCTTGGTGAAATCGATGTGGTAAACCCAACGCTATAAACCATGTCCAAAATCACCATAAATGATGGTATAAACATGGTAGTTTTCTTATTGGGTTTCCCACATTGAAATCCTATTTTTGCTATGAGATTTTGCACCATGCCCATCATGTGACTTAATTTTCTCATCCCCTCAGCCAAAAGTCCATCCCAGCCCATCTGCATATGTGTGGATATATCTGGATCTAACCTAAACCCCAAACCTCAGTTAAGACCAACCACCTCTCCTCTCCAAAAGGGAAGAAAGAATCCCAAACCTAATTCTTAGACCATTCTGGAATGGTTTCCCCATGTTTCCCCACCATTTCCGGAAAATCCATGGAAATTCTCCAGAGATCAACATCAACATCCATTTCATATCATATTTTACTAGAAATAACACGACATAACCATCCCCATCCCCATGGCCCATGGCCACACCTTAGGCACCACGAAGGGCCACACCATCTGCACGTCGCGCAGCTGCGCCTCTGGGCCCAGGTGCTGTCTGGCAGCCTCCATGGCCATCTCCACGAAGACCACTCCTGGCGCCGGGACGATTTGCCTGAGTACATCCACATCTTGGTGGTAAAAATCATGGTGATCCTGTAGATTTCATGGCCTATATGCCCCAAAAAAATCATGGGGAAAACCACCATGGTCCAGTGAGTATCCCCTGGATGTTTTGGTGCTATGGAAACAAAAACCACCTACTGGGATGATCCTCCAAGTGGATGGTATGGCAGGCTTTCCATTGTAGATCTTTATAAACAGATGGCCCTCTCTAACCACCAATAATGGATGATCTGATTTTATGGGAAATGAAGCATATTTAACCAGCAAAACTTGGGAACTTGGGGTATCAACCATTTTATGGACGTAATGTCATGGGATGTATTGGATTATCCCAGTGCTCAATGGGGGCGATCAATTGCTGACCGTTTTCCTCTCGAACTTTAGGAATCATCCCAGGAAGAAAGCACCAAGACAGAGGTGGTGTTCTGACCCAAAATTGATGAGAGACATTTACCCTCTGGTAATTTAACATAGCTATGGAAAATCACCATTTTTAATGGGAAAATCCACTATAAATGGCCATTTTCAATAGCTATGTTAAATTACCGGAGGGTATTCACTTCTTCTCAGAATCCTCCCCATCTTCATTGCATCACCTGGACACGTTTGGAAGTGGCAAAAAAACCCTGGTACTTGGATGCGACTGAAGTAGCACCTGGCACAACGATCTCGTTGTAGACCACGTGTTCGGCGGCCACGGCAAAGACATCGGCACGCACGGGAACGTCGAAGTACACCTGCAGACCATGGGGACTTTCCGCTGTAGCACGAGGGCCAAGATGCATGCTTCCTCATGGAACTAAGCATCATTCTCATACCTGAATCCAAAGCTCGCCACTTGAACAGGACCACAGGATATATATATATATACACATATATATATATACATATATATATACATAGAATGCAGAATGCATTTCATTAGAAGGCAGTAAAAATCCAGTAATCCGGCATTCCCAAACTTCTCGTGGTTTTTCTAATCTTCATTTCCTCCACCCACCCCGCTCCCCGCGCCTCGCCCTTCGCTTCGCTCTTTTTGCGCAGCAGCCGTGGCCCCGCATCCCGCCAGGGGAAGGCTTGACGCTTGAAAGCCAAAGGTGCCAGGCCGCCCTGCCCAGCAGCGTCAAGCAGAAACATCTACTATATGGGTATGTCTGAAAATCGGGTATACCCCCAATTATAGCCATTTAGTAGGGATAATGATCATTAACCATTGGGTGTAGGGGTACACTATTTTCAGACAAACCCATATATATCAACGGGATCCTATTAGGAAAATAATGACTTCACCACGAAAAACGGAGACATCATGGCGATTCAATGGGATAGAAGCAATTTCACAATACTTGGGGGTGGAGTTCCAGTTATAACTGGATGGAGTTCACCATGATCTATGGGGCATAGGCATATCCCAGTTCATCGGGGTTAGAATCCAATGGTTATCGCCTGCAACATCACCAGGGCAGTGGAGACACTGGCAGTTTCATCTTGGCCGGGCTCCATAGAGTGAAGCCATGGCCACTCCTTCTGTGCCGCTTTGCCGCTGACACAACGCTTGCCTTGGTGGTTCAAACGCTCCCAAGGCCCCAGGACAGGATGATGATAGTGCAACCATTGCAGTGTGGATCCAAGCGGCCCATCTTCACCAGGGTGGGTTCAGGGCCCACCTCCAAAAAGGCATCAAGCTCCAGGTTCTCCAGTCCTCGAGTTGCTGGAGGCCCCAGGAGCCCCATGATAGAGGTGAACAAAAAAAATCTTCGGAACTCAAGACGTCTTCGAGTCACTAGAAAATTCATTGTGTCAAAAAAAAAATCACCAGAGTTGGTTTTATTGTCTTAAAATCACCAGGAATTCAAGAAAATGGACCCCAAAACATATCAGCTAGCAGTTGGCATTACTCCACTCTTCATATCCGCCGATCCCGGCCGACAGCAAGGGGGAGCGCGCCACAAAATAAGAGTTTCTTTGCACCACCACCACTACCACAACCCCGACCCCCACCACCACCACTACCACCACCAGCAGCAGCAACAACAACAACAACAACAACCACAACGACAACGACAACGACAACGACAACGACGACAACGACAACAACGACAACAACCACAACAACCACAACAACCACAACAACCACAACAACCACAACAACGACGACGACGACGACGACGACGACAACAACAACAACAACAGCAACAACAGCAGCAACAGCAACAACAACCAGCAAAAAAATTGGACAAAAAAGATGTGTTACAAGCTGCGGTATGAAAAGCACATCATACTGTGCTCTGCACCTGCGCGCACGTGCCGAGCACATGAACAACACCAACGCTCACACTACTAGACATAACCCTTATGGCATCCCCAGTGTGCGAAGCTCTACAATTTGAACCATCTTGCTCTTCCAAGTGGCGATTGTCGCCAGGTTTGAATGACACATCATCTGAAATTAAAGGATTTTAGCCTTGAAACCCATCAACTTGGCGCCATTTTGGGAACTACCCACACTTTGGAACTACCCAAAGTGTGGTAGTTTCACAGTTTGCCTATGAAAGCCATGGCCCATTCAGTTCGATGATTTAACTGACTAAAATGTCTACCCTCTGGCAATCAAACATGGCATTTGAAAATCCTGCATGAATGGCATGAACACGCCTAACCTTTATAATTATTGTATATGCTTTCTTACCTCTATGTTGACAAGATCTAAGTCTTCTCAAAGCCAACCATTGTCGCTTATACTCTGCTAACTCTTGTGCTTGATGAATTAAAGTTAAAGGTAGCAAAGATGCAATATATCATTTGCTGGTTACCAATATGTCAAGATTACCAGAATATGGAATTCCAAGGTTGGCAAAAATATCAAGGCTATTCAAAACATGGAAGTTCAGGTTAGAGAAAAACTAAGGTGAGTATGTTTGCGCAAATGGAAGTTAGAAAATCTGAGGTTGAGGTTAGTACTGGGGCATGTAAGGGTTAGAAGCAGCTCTCCTATAAATGGAGGTTTATCACGGGGAAAATCATCTATAAACATCTATAAATGGCTGATTTTCCATAGCAAGACCCACCTTGTCCCCGTGACCGAGTTGCCCTTCATGGCATCGAAGAAGCGCACGGTCTGCGCCACGTGGCGGACCCAGTACTCCGCCTCGGTCAGGGCCTCGGTCTCCTGAAGGTTTCGAGCTCGGGATCAAAGCATTTGGTGGGAAAAACCCATGGCGTTTTGAAGGGGAAAAACCAGGGAAGCTCTTACTGGAAACAACTGGTGGTTCTCCTAAAAATATCCGGGGGTTCTGGTGTCAATTGTCTCTACAAACCAATCCATTGAGGGGAAAAAACTCAATTTTGAGGGGAAAAAGTGTCTGTGAGTGATGGAATTGTCCATTGCCAAGCTATATGGATTGCTGAAGGGGTGGTTTTGGCGTGAAGATTTGCAGGAGATGTTCGGTAAACCCATCTGACCCGAAAAGGCGATAATATAACAATCTTAATTAGATCGATTTGGCTACTCCAGATATACCAATGGCCCCAGTCTATCAAATATTGCTGGACATGGGCACCCAATTCAATTATGTCACTATGTCATTCTGCGCAAAATGGAGGGGGTTGGTCCACCAGTGAAACTCATTTGGCCAAGAACCTAATTGTTCAATGGGGGTGGCCCCTCAATTAATTAATCAACCGGTGGCAAAAGGACAAGGTATCCCGGACAATTTGGAACACACAAATTCGGGTAATTTGGAACACATATTGCAGTCAACCACGATATTCTTGGTTACATCATAGTCTGTCTATTTCATTACATCACCACGATATTTCACTTCTGATATACCATTTCCAGGCAAACCCATGCGGCAACCTAATGAATCCATTACATACTCAACTATACCCCACTATATTCTGCCGTGATTCTCCAATTTGTATCCCCATGACATAGCCACTCAAATCCGCTGGGATCCCCTGGAAATTCCCCACATTGAGTCCCCATGCAATTGTCCCATTGAAAGTTCCATGAAATCTCCATGACATCCCCATCACATCTCAGGTGCCTAGCCACATCACTTCACAATGTCCATCAGTTCATCCCCTATGAATTCATGAAAATTCCAAAAAAATCCCATGTTTTTTCTAATCAAAAAATGTTCAAAGTCCCATGAAAATATATGAAAATTGTTTTTTTTAATGAGATGTTCAGTGTCCCCAAAGTCCCATGAAAATAAGGGTTTCATCAACTTTCATCTGGCACCAGACTGCAGTTTTCCCCACAGCTCCTCCTTGCCCGTGACCGTCGAGATGAAGCGCACCCCATCTTTGGGAGGCGACAAGGCCACCGTGGAGGCCTGCCACGAGGCCACCGTGGAGCTGTCCCCCAGTGAAAACACGTCGGAACATCGGGATTTTCATAGGTGTTTAACGAATTTTATCGGAACTTTAATGGTGATTTAATGGGACTTAAAAAAAGTGGGGATATCACGGGATATAACCAACAAGAATGGGAATACCCTCTGGTAACTTGACAGTTTGCGAACTGGTAAATCAGGTAAATCATCTACAAATCCACCATGTTCCGTAGCTATGTTAAATTGCCAGAGGGTATCCAAAACTTATTCTCATTGACTCATGTGCTGTAGGATCCTGCTGATTTCTAACTTTCTCATACTTTCTCCAGAGATCTCCAAATAACTGCGAGGTCTTTTTGTTTCTGCATTGCACAAATTGCATCTTTTTGTGTGACATGATGGCCTCTGTGATTTTGATTGAATAACTGGAAACTCCACATGACATGTGTCCTGATGCAGTGATATGCTGGTCGCATGATAGAAGAAATGAATCACAAAATAAAGCAACAACTATCCAACAAGTAAGCCTGGTACTTTCATCTTAAAGTCTTTGAAAAAAAACACACCCTTAATTCCATGTTCAATCAGGTAACGTTGTTTCAATCAATATTGCAAACCTCCCAGTCAATAATAACTTGAGAAGGCATGTCTGTAAGTATGTATATATTCAATATAATATATATATATATATGGAAGGCTTGATGCCAGTGAGATAGGGCCATTCAATACCACACTGAGCCACACGTCGAAAGACTACAATATCAACATGGAATTGACACTGCAGTTGAGATCTCTTGCAAAATATCAGTTTCCCCTTTGCTTGGTACATGTTTTGCTCTGTTTCTTGGTGCGTCAGTCTTGCTCGTCAGATTTTGACCTCAGAATGCAAACTGCGCACGGTCTACTACCACCACCAGAATCCAGTAAAGATCAACGACTTTCTCAGGTATTGACCCCTACCACTTTGAGTGTTCCACGTCGGACTGGATCGATTCACCAAAATATGCTGGTGAGTTGCCATATTTGGGGCCCTTGAAAGTCTGGCTTTCCACCCGCAGCTCACTGTGATCTTGGCCTCTTTCCGGAAAGCTTCCAGCATGGGGTTCATCAGCGACGAATGGAAAGCATGGGAGACGTTCAGGGCCTGCCGGGCCAGGATGCGACTCGGCCAGATTTTGACTCAAAAGTCAGCCAGCTTGCTCCTGTACAATTGGGCCGAGCTTTCTTGCTAGATAGTGTATGCAGAAGATTGCAGAAGGCTACGTTTTCAATTTTGAAAACTGTAAACGTCATCAAACTTGCACGGCTCCTAGGTCGCAGGCTCAACCTTGGCTTCATGCAGAGAGGAGTTGCACCCAGCCTTGTTGCCAGCTCCAGTAGCCTTCACGACTGCATCCACCAAATCTTGGCGACCTCGTGTTGAAGTCGACTGCCAGTGACAGTGCGCTGGCAAAACAAATCCTTGTAATTGCAGATATCGAACATGATGTCAATTCGAACAGGATGCGTGTGGTACATGCATGGATAAAATTATGTCAAAGACCTTGTGAATTACGAATGTTGCTCATTTTGAGTAAAAATTTGCCAACCATTCGGAGCTATTGTAAATCATCCCGGTCATAGGGGTATACCGAACAGAAACCCAAATTGGAGATGGTTTATGACAGGAATCCCATAATGATCCTTTATTATCCCACTAGTATCCCATAATTATTAATCCATATTAATCCACATTAGTCCATATGATTCCATTGATATCCATAGCTTTTGCCAACTATAATTGGCTGGACCCACACTTAGCACAACTCCAATCGCCTTTCCGTTCCGAGGTCATCGAAATCCATCTGGCCTGAGACCACCGTCATCTTGGGGCCATTCACTGCACCCACTGACACCTCAGCCTGTCCTTCCTTCACAGAAGCGATGGCTTTCAGCACATCCTGCGCCACGATGTGGGGATGTTGGACTTCCGGAGTTACACAGATCAGGCAGTGTGCTGTGGATCTGTGGATTACACCAAATATATATATATGTATTAATATAATAATAATATATATATATATATATTATCATATATATATAATTATGTGTATATATATATGTGATATATGTATATTCACATAATCTCACTATATCTATCATCTCCGCTATGTTTTCTCTGGCTTCAACCCACAACTGCATGGGCCCCAACTAACGCTGCCGTCCTCCTCGGGTGCAAAACCTCAATGCTTTCCCAACAGAACTGGAAGTAACTGGCAGAAGTGTCTGCAACTTGTCGTAACTCAATATCCCATGTCAACCATAGGTGTACCTCCATCCTCCCCAACCCCAACACCCACACTGCTTATCAATATCGTCTTGCCTGTGTCCCTTCGTAAACCGTAAACCTGCATTTTTGCTTGCCCCATCCTCATGATCCATCTACCTGACCCATTTTCTCTTTGCAAAAAAAATGTTTGCTGGTAAACCCTTTTTTCCCTGGTGAAATATCATGTTTCCTGCTAAATCCTTTCCCTAGTAAATTCTCACTACCCCGCATCCCAATCCCCCGATCATCTGGCTACGGATCCACAAAAAAAACATCTTCCCCAAAATTCCATGGGCTAAATACTTACAATTTCTCCAGAATCAACCAATTTTCTGGGCCTTGTTTCTTGACCCATAGCCCTCAGCCGAGCCGCAGGCCGTCATGCCACCCACCTGTGGCGCACAGCTGTCGGCGATCAGCTGCCCGCGCGCCGACACAAGGCGCACGGCGTCCTCCAACGCGAGGACGCCGCAGCACACGGCCGCGGCGTATTCGCCTGGTGGGGATGGGTAGGAACTGCAGCTGATTTCATGTCTGTTATGTGTATATATATATATAAACTATATATATATACTATATATATATATATAAACTATATATATATAAACTATATATATATATATATACATGCTAAGCGGCCCTTCCAGAGCCTACCTTCTGTAAGATGTTCAAGATTTGTTACCATGGGCTATAATATATATATATATATAATTACATATGTTACATGTTTATCTATTTAATCATATCAGTCCCCCAAAAAAGAATAGAAACAGAAAATCCAATCCGGAAATTAATGAGAAAATTGCTGTTCTGTCTTTGAGGGGCGGCTACTGTAACCCCAGCCCAACTGGTATGCGTAAACTGGAACTGTGGCAGATACGAACTGGGAGGAACATTGGTGGTGAGGGAACACCATGAATGGTTGGTACATTAGTTGGTATTGGATTCTTGTATGCGAGGAACTAGGGTACGGTATGACATCATGCGAGATCTTTGGGAAGTTTCGATTCCATGTTTGGAAACCAGGTGATTTTGCCCCAAGCGCAACTGGGATGTACCGGACATACTGATGTACCGTGCCCCAATAGCGAAACCACTTGCCAGCTTGATCCAGCTGAAGTAATTACTTCGGTGAGTCCTGAGATTTGGGTTAAGATTACGATGACCCCAACATTTAATATGTGAAATATATATATATAGTATATATCTGGGTAAATTCTAATATTTCACTAACCTGAATTAAGGCCACCAACTTCTTGCGGTCCCTGCCCAACCTGAATTAAGGCCATTTGGGGATGATTTCCCTTACTAACCATGATTTCCAGTGAGGTCGTAGTGAGGTCGTTATAATTTACCCAGATATATGTATATTCCCAGTCATGATAGATTTACCAAATGAGGAGTTCACAAAGGAAATGAGCAAATATAGACAAGCGACCAACGCTGTGTCCCAGCACCGCCACTGGCTCAATGCCCTTGTCCTTCCACATCTCCTCTCGTGGTTTCCCGTGTTGGCCGGGAAATATATACCTGTATATATATATATAAATGCTTCCCCAAATCCACCACTTCACAGTTTATGAGTGTAATATGAGCTGTGGTTTTCCCACTCTGTGTCACATGCCTGTTGGACACACCCCCGCAATTCCACCCCATGGCTCCGACAGGGCATACTCGATGGAAAAAATGGCCGGCTGCGAATACCTCAATACGTCGAGCTGTTGTTTCCAGTTAAGCCTGGGTCTGTGAACTAAGGACAATTAATCTTCCATAGCCAAGGGCGCTTTGTCGGTTTGTCTGAGAAATGGCTACTCCTAATTTCATCATAATTGTCTCATTAAAAATACCATTAAAATTACCATTTTTGGGTATAGCAGTATATATTTTATATATCCCATTTTTCAGACACACCCGGAGATCCTGTAGACATTTTGTAGACGTAGAGTCTACCATGATCTGCAACTCGGGCGCTTGGTCAGGTCCAAGAGTTCTTGGTGCTCCTCCTGGCATCAGATTCTCGTCTCAAAGGGCCAACCAACCTCCCCGCCTCATATGGATATGGTGATCCAAAATACCAATGGATCCACAACGTGGGGCCATTTTATGTAGGACTGAACTTGACTGAACCATGAATTTGGGTGGTTCATGATATTGAACCATACACAGTTGAAGTTTCTTATATCACAGATGTTTTCTCATTGAAATAGAGTAAATAAATGCTGCAAGTATCCCAACAAAGATCCTGTACAAAGATGTACAAAGCATGCAAAATAAAGACCAGCTGCTCATTCTTTCCAGGGTATCAAAGTTGAACCACGTTGAACCATACAACAACGGGATACAACGGGTCCCACTACTTCCCAATGGGGACCCATACTCGGTGCTCCACGACTGCCTTGAAGAGGACATCCAGCAAAGGCTTCTCCAACAGTGGATCCAACATCTCGGCGCACGCATCCAGGGCGCTCCGGAAGGACTCCTTTCCAGGACGCCAAAATTCAACGATGGCCCATTGATGGCCCATTGATGGCCCATTGATGGCCCAAAAATGCATCAAAATGGACGCCATGGACCCATCAATGACCCATCCATACCCCCTTCCTCTGTGGCATACAGCTCTTTGCCCATGCCGATTCGCTGTGACCCTTGCCCTGTGAAAAGGAAGGCGGCTCGCTTCTTGCTTCCGACCTCACAAGATCTCGCTGCCATGATAACAAAGCAAGTTTAGGCAGAAGCCCCGTTGACACTTGGAGAAATGGATGAAATGTCAATTCTTGAAAGATATGTCAGTTGTGTTCTCTGCCAAACCGAAACTAAGAATGGGGTCTTCAATTTCCAACTACCAAACGACCACATGCCGGGGCTTAGTTCACTGCCCAGCCTTCGTTTCCACCACTTCCTCGCTACTCTTGCAGGTCACATGCGCATTGGTGCCACCGAAGCCGAACGAGGAAAGACCTGACGCTTTTTTAAAACGGGCGTTTCGACCGGCAACGACGGCAATGACGGGACACCCCCAACAGGATCTCTCCAGGATCCCATGTTATCTCGATCAGCTACCCGCCTGACGATAGCATGCTGCCAGAGAGTGCTGTTGTGGTGATTGGAATCTCTGCAGCGAAATCCTCCAAATCGATGGTGGGATTCAATTTTGAGAAGTGCACATTCGGTGGCACTTGTCCTCAGACCATCACGATGAATCCACGCTGAGGCTGCAATGGGCATATGTCATTGCACCCAGATAGTGACTCCTTTGGAATTCATGTGTCCCAATTTCTGAGCATGTTGTTTTACCCACATCCATTATTTCCGGTTGTTCACTTGGATGTGATATGTTCTTTCCTTGACAAAACTACTTTCCATCTTTCCATATCAAGTGTAGACAGACCGATGAAGTGCTAGTGACACTCTCAACTCTTGCCAACTCCATTTAAGACTGCTGTTTCGCTGCGTGTATAGCTGGAAACCGACTACTGTGCTCCACTGAAACTTGGACACATTCAGTACAGTTCCCATTGGCAACCTTCTCGTTGACCGCCTCCCCTCTCGAAGCTACATATCGCGCTAGCGTCGGTGTTTCAGGGCCAAAAGGGACTTCACCAAGCCAGCAACTCCAGCTGCACCCTCTAAATGTCCGATGTTGGTTTTCACCTCAGTGATTTGTGCGATGTCAACTTCGGATGAATAAAATCCTGGCTAAGTAATTTGGGGTACGCCAAAATAATGATAAATTACAGAATCCGCCCACACCGCTTTGGCGGTGAAGGCGTGCTTATTGGGGGGCAACAGCAACACTAAATGCTCAATGACATTTGTTAATATAGCAGTCGCTATATCAGCTTTAGCTGGGGGGGGCCAAAAACGGTTTCGCACCGAGACCAGAATACGGTGGTGTTTTCGACATTTTTCGAGGATTTTTGGGTGTCTGAGCGCAAGAGGGTATTGAAATGGAATTTTGGGTCATTTTGGTAGCTTTCCGGCAATGGAAAAACGGCCAAAAATGAAAAAAACATTGTACATAGCAAGATTTTGCAGGGTTTTTGGATGCCAGAGCATTGAAAACACTGCAAAAACAAGTGTTTTGGACTGACGTTATAGCAAAAAACGTGTAAATTACCGTATGCTTGACTGGAAACATTACAAAAACACTGTCAAAAGCAATGTTTTGGAAGGATTTACTGCCTTTATGGCAAAAAACGTGTAAATTACCGTCTGTTTGACTGGAAACATTGGAAAAACACTGTCAAAAACAATGTTTTGGAAGGATTTCTTATATATATGTTGGAGTTGGCTACCGGCATTGGCACATGGAAAAATTGAAGAAAACACTGTAAATAGCGGTATTTTCAACGGTTGGGGAGATAAGGGAATTGGAAGCATTGTCGAACATGATGTGTTCGACCGGTTTTATGGCGACAAAAGTGTAAAGTACCGTGCTTTGAAGGAAACCATCGCAAAAACATGGAAACACATTCAAAGAACACGGGATTTGGGGGACTATCTAGGCGTCGTTGTCTAGCTATTTGAAATTCCGCAGCTTGGAGAGCCTCCAAGGGAGGGAAAAGTGAAAATTCCATAGCTTTGGAAGCTGTCACAGCGGGGAAAAGTGAAAATTCCCTAGCTTGGGAAGCCCCCACGGGGGGGAAAAGTGAAAATTCCCTAGCTTGGGAAGCCCCCACGGGGGGGAAAAGTGAAAATTCCCTAGCTTGGGGAGCCCCCACGGGGGGGAAAAGTGAAAATTCCCTAGCTTGGGGAGCCCCCACGGGGGGGAAAAGTGAAAATTCCCTAGCTTGGGGAGCCCCCACGGGGGGGAAAAGTGAAAATTCCCTAGCTTGGGGAGCCCCCACGGGGGGGGAAAGTGAAAATTCTTAGCTTGGGGAGCCCCCACGGGGGAAAACCACCCTTAGCCCCTCTCACGGACCGAAATAAACCTGCGGTGTGGGCGGCCACCCCACGCGAAGCGGGGTGAATTATTATTTAAATTGGTGCCCCCCTGACAAACTGGGAGTTCAGCAATCCTGGTTCGAAAGTAGATCACCTCTTCAACTACCTAATTGGAATCCTCAAGGAGCATCTTCGCTGCTGAAGCCGATGAGGGTAACTAGGGTCGATTTGAGAAAGTTCCACACTTTGAGGACCAAGAAAGTTTGAGCCTTCACCAAGCAAAAAGTTAGTGGATTCCAACCGACTACCCTCTGGTGAACTAACATAGCAATGGAAAATCACCATTTTTAATGGGAAAATCCACTATAAATGGCCATTTTCAATTGCTATGTTAGTTCACCAGAGGGTAATGACCAGCTCAAGCTATGGATCCCAAGCCTCAACGTTGAGTCCAACGTTGACCCCGGGGTGGACATCCCCTTCCTTTCCCCAAGCCACTGAGGTTCCGAATGAGCATCATGGACATGCCACTAGCTCCACCTATCAAGGGAAGCCTCCCCCCCCAAAAAAAAAAAGAGGACCCACCAGCATGTGTGCCCGATAGGTGAGCCCTTTATCTCAGGCCCCTTCAGGGCAAACCCCAACCTGCCGAGGGACTGTGGCCAGCATCACCGGCATGGAACGCCCTGGTCGTTGCATCCAGAAGTTGCAAGGAGAAAAGTGATCATCAAACATCAGAAAAAAATACAAAACACTGAGGTTCTTTCTCAAAAAGACATGATACTACCAAAAATCACCAGTCAAAAGATGGCCAATCTTAAATACCCTGCAAAAAGACATGTTTCTAGCTGGTGAGTGCATATTTCCCAGTCTTTTTGCACAAGATTAAAGTGAACAAATCAAATCCCATACCCCCTGGTAATCAAGCCTGGTTTGCTGGCCATTTCGTTCCATGAAATTCCCAGCTATACACCTGTCCCAGCCAGCCATGCTTGATGATCCCATTGTTGATTGTTGGAATCCCCATAAATCCCATGACATCATGAAATCCTATCGTAGCCCATGGACTTCCACTCGCAATGGAAAAATCCCATGAAAATCCCACGATCTGCCATGGCCTTGTGCCAAGGTCGCCTTCAACGCTCCCGTTTCGATGGGATCTCCCAAGGCGGTCCCGGTGCCGTGGCACTCCACCAGGCGCAGCTGTGGACCAGTGAGCTGAGCCAAGGCAAGGGCCTGGGCCATAGCAGTTTTTCTTGAGCTATTTATAGGATTTTACTTGGGATCTAGCGGGATTTCATAGGATAGGTATTATGGGATTTTATGGGATTTTATGGGATTTAGTGGGACTTCATAGGATTTTCATAGGTATTGTAGGATTTAACTAGGATTTTATTTGGGATTTAACTAGGATTGTCAGCCAGTTGTGGATATATGTGGATATTGGGGCCATCTTTGCATTTTTCAGGTTCCATGTTGAATCCGCGGGGTGTAAAAATGAAACCTTAAAGATCGGCTGATGCACCTGCGTGCCTGGATTCGTAAGACCACAGGAGAGAGAGAGAGAGAGAGAGAGAGAGAGAGGTGTGTGTGTGTGTGTATGTATATATATATATATATGTATATATAAATAGATAGGAATAGCTAGATAGCTAGATAGATAGAGTAGAGTAGAGTAAAGTAGAGTAGAGTAGAGTAGAGGAGAGGTAGAGGTAGAGTTAGAGTAGAGTAGAGAGCGAGAGGAGGGCACGCACGCGACCAAATTTCCAAATGATATACCAATATATACCAATTAGTTTAATATCCCCAACCATTAATATCCATAGCAGGTAGGTAGTTCCTTATGCCCATCCCACCATCGTTCCCTCCATCGAACCACCCCGCCCCGTTCCGCCTTGCGAATGACCTCCTGCTGCGCCGGACCGTTGGGCGCCGTCAGCGTAGAGCTGCGTCCATCCTGGCCGTTTCGTCAAGCCACTTGTGCCATGTCAGGGGGGGTTGTGAAATGGCAAATCATCCGAGAACCATCCAAAATCATCCAAATATGGTGGTTTTATGTGGTTTTATGTGGTTTTAAATGGCAAATCCTCCAAAAATGCTGGTGTGAAAAATCTGAAAACCCATTGGTGTTTTCAGTCCGCCACGAAAAAAGAACCCTCCCCATTTCTTTGAAGCAAAAAAATGGGTCAAATTTGAGGACGTGCGACCTCATGGCCATCGAACAAAGAAATGATTCAATCAGCTTTGGGACGGAATGAATGGGGGTACCTATTTTTAAACAAACCCAAACTGGTCTGATTTTTAAATGTGGTAAATAAATGGGAGGCGCAAGAAGCAAAATATGTTGGGCAATGTTTAATTAAGTATCAAGCTAACTCTCAGCCATGGACCCATCCCCAAAATGCTATGATTCTAAGTAACCATACAATAAGGTATGGAAAATCCATCATCAATGACAGTAGATCATTTCCGAATGGGAAACCACCGAGGATTTCCATCGCTTTTTGTAACTGGAGATTCACCACCAAAACCTCCGCCCATGGCCTGGTTGGAGGCTGTGGCTGCTACCAATGGCAAGGCACCCTGGGTGCCCAGTTCCAACAGGGCAGAGCCAGAACCCTCACCTGTTCAAAGCCCAGGTCGCCAGGTGCGGGGCGACGGGAAACCACTGGAGATATTTGAAACGGAAACCAGAATTTTTGGAGCAATCAAAAGCCGGCAGCTTTTTCGGAAGGCGAAGCTGTGTCTTGGAACTAGGCAAAGGTTCCGCTTGAGAAAAAGTGGATTAACCGCTGGGACTCCAAGGCAGTTCCAACCAGGATCTCGTAGCGAGCCTCTCACATAGCCGTTAGCGCTTGCATCGAAGGTCTTGCATCGACCATCTGGGGACAGCATTCGCGCCTGCAGCTTGCAGCCACTTCGAAAGGAATGATCTAAGACGCAAGTTGAACCATGGCCACTGTGATTGAGTGAGATGGTGAAGGATGGTGAAGGTAATCTACTCTATATCACCCACTGCAAGAATTCCTCATAAATTAGAATATTTCATGATCCACCTTGCACAACCAGCATCACTTTGGCGACGCGCCACTGCTCGGTGAAAAAGCTGTCAGGACATGTCGCAAGACACTTTCCACCAAGCGCTGAGACTCTTGAAGTCAAGGTTCATCAACTCTCCGAATTATCATCCCTTGATTTTATTCCGAGTTCTGCGGAGTAAATCCTTGATTTACCGTCTGGTTATTTGACATAGCTATGGCAAATGACCCATAAAAATAGATGATTTATGATGATTTACCTATTCAAACTGTGATTTTCCATAGCATTCCATAGCTACCATCTGGTTATGACTAACATAGCCATGGAAAATCACCATTTTTAATAGGTAAACCATCTATAAATGGGCCATCTATACCATGGCTATTTTAAATAACCAGAGGGTAGTTGCTCCAGCCCTCCGTTTCGTCCCTGGCCTTGGAGAACGCCACGAAGGGCTCTGCAATGAGATTCAGCTGCACACCCGTGCACAGCGCGGCCATCATGCCCAGGCCCAGCTCCTGGCTAACCCGTTGTATCATGCCATACCCTCTGGGAAAGACTAACATGGCTATTGAAAACATTCATAAGTTGATTTATCTGTTAAAAAATTGTGATTTTCCATAGTTATGTTAGTTTACCAGAAGGTATCCCCATAGTTGATGCCATCTTTCCTGTTCCCTTGCGGGTATGTGAGCAGTGTCCAAAACCTGTCATCCCGTGACGCTGGTTGGTCGATGGGGATTCCTCCCCTTGGAGGATCCAAGAAGTGCCAATAAACCAGCTAGGTTAGTAACATTGAATAACCCCCCAACTAGATCAGCAAATAAAGAAGACTCAACTTGCATGAACTTGCCATATCAGGTTATATCCCCCTGATATTCCCATGATATCACCATTCTCATGGGTTTTCCCCAATCTCTCCAGCCCACGCCCCACATCTCCACCTTGCACGCGATGTGCAAAGCCACCAGGGACGAGCTGCAGGCCGTGTCTACCGAGGCTGACGCACCCCGCAGGCCCAGGGAGTAGGAGATACGATTGGAGGAGATGGACGCGTGCCTTGGAGCCATTGGGATTTGTTTTTTTTTGGTTTTTTATCAGTTCTGGGAATATCTGGCAGATAATATACATATATATATATATTATAGTATATATATCATAGTATTATACTGTATATATATATATATACATAGTTTTTTTCCACGAAACCAACATCGAATCACACCAAACCAGGCCACGTGCCAGGTCCGGTGTAGGGGTTGGCCGCACGTTCCCGGGAAAACTTGGCCCAGTCGTTGTTGCATTGGCCCACGAAGACACCGGTGTCCGAACCCAGGAGTGCCTGGCTGTGACTGGAAGATGCAACCAAAGACCCTTAGAGAGGAAGGTGCTCCTCTGCGTGTTGGCAATTCCCTACGTATTGGAAATCATATTGCATATGCATATGTGTATGTATATTATATATATACATATATATATATATATACATGTATAATATATATATACTATATATATTACATATATGTATAATATATATATATATATATATATAAACTATATATATATAAACTATATATATATGTATATAAACTATATATATACTCTATATATAAACTATATATATATATATAAACTATATATATATACTATATATATACTATATATATATAAACTATATATATATAAACTATATATATAAACTATATATATATACTATATATATAAACTATATATATACTATATATATACTATATATATAAACTATATATATACTATATATATAAACTATATATGATGTATATATTTGTAATATAGTCTTTGAGATGTTCTATCCTTCCGAAATGTTTCCTGCCTTCCGCCTCAAAGCTGTCCTAACATTTTGACACACGGGGATTCGATCTTCGAAACAAACTTGGAATCGCAAAAAATGGTGATGTCCGGTAGGAACTTCGTTCCACTTTCTCCCATACCTACCTGGGGTACTTGGGGGTGCATCCCCGTTGGTAAGTCGTTAACCCATACGTTCCTAGGGTATAATTATATATATATATATCTATTAGAATATTTATCTATCCCAAATTTACCTGGCTTATTTCATGGTGCTTTCCCGCCTTAGCACCTGGATTGCTTTCCCACATCCCACCTGTTTGGCGCGCCCCGCGTGGTGGCAGGCAGCATAGGACATCTCCAGTGCCAAGCGTTGCTGGGGGTCCTGGGGGTCAGCTGTTTTTTTTTCAGAGATGATCTACTTAGTACTTGAAACTACTTGAAACAACCTGGGCTGCCTTGAAACAACCTTGGCTTGGTGGAAAATGTGGAAAAATCCCGCGGGGTTTAAGAGGGAAATCATCAACCGAAGGGGTTGCACATGGTTGCACAATGCTTCCGCAGCTTTGTTGAGGGGTAAAACTCTCAAGAAATGGGAGATATGACACGATGTATGACCAAACTGGATCGCCAATCGCCTGAACCAGATGTCTTGAGGCTCATGTTGTCCGCCCATGATCTTGAGATATCTTCAGATAAATTCACATCTTAGATATATATATATATGCAATCACTTCCCTTCAAATCTCCACACATCAAGCGAGATCATTCCCTTCATCCCAGCCCCCTCTGCCAGGTGACGATGGTCTTGGCCTCTGCAGCCGACATGCCAAAGAAGCCGCTGTCGAACATCTCAGCTCCCTCGATGAAGCCGCCATGGCGTGCGTACATCACGTTGCCCAGGGCCTACCACCACGGGTAAAGGTGGCAAGCCACAGGGCCATTTTGGGGTGATGGTATCTGGAAGAGGCATTGCATTTAAATACCAAAATAAAATAAGTAGCTGGAAAGGTAGATCATTTGATTGCTTTCACATCATCGCAGCAACCGTGCCATCAAGTGGCCTGTGAATGACTGAATGACTTGTCACTTTCACATCGACAAAGGAGGGAGAACTGATAACTTCGCAGCAAGTCCGTTGGTGCCTCCATGTCAGGATCAAAAAATTCTTGAAGGTCAAAGCGCGTGTAAGGTATCTCCTCGGATGCTCGACTTCCGGCCCTCAAAAGGCCATTTCGAGGTGCTATCTTTCGCTTGAACTCTCCAAATGAGAGGTGGATCTAATGAATTCTCACATCAAATGATTTGGCAGTGTGTCAAAACCTTGTACCCCTGGTGAACGTCAAAATAGCTGGTAAATGGATGTTCATCCCATTAAAAATGGTATGTATAGGTATTGATCCATAGCCAAATGATTTGGAGAGCCCTTTGAACAAGGTCCAGCTTGGTTCCACTCCAGTGGCAGAAACACCTCATTTCATCATACTCGGCTGAGAGCAGTGCCATCCAACGGACGTAGCTCTCAGAACAATTTTTTGAAAAACGATAAGCACTTTGAAAGCAGACATTGACAATAGAGTCATCCTCAACATGGGTCTGAAAATGGTCTACCCTCTGGTTATGACTAACATAGCCATGGTATAGATGGCCCATATTTATAGATGGTTTACCTATTAAAACCTCCATTTATGGTTGGGATTTTCCATGGCCAACTGTTAGTCATAACCAGAGGGTATCTCCCATTAGTATCCCATTGAATCACCATAAAATATCCCATTAATATCCCATCTATAAATATCCCATTAATATCCCATGAATATCCCATTATCTATAAATATCCCATTATCTAAACCCTAAACCCTAAACCCAAACTTCCCTCCGTGTTTCATGGGAAAAAAAATCCCATGGTCCAAGGCACAGTGATGGCATCGTGACGTTGGAGCCACTTGGACCAGATCTCCAGACCTCCGCAGGTCGCGGGACAGAGGGGTGAGGGGAAAAGCCATCAATTTTTTGGGACAAACCTGGGGAAAATGGTGATTTTTTTCTGGAGATTTCAATGTTTTTCATCCATTTGTAAAGCCAATTGACTAGCTAAGCCAAGCATTTTCTGATTGGGGATATAATGGGATACACCGTCAAACCGGTGGATGGACCCCCATTATGGCCAGTAAATCACGAATGATAAACCATCTTTTTGATCTATCTCTAGCTTTTTGATCATCAGATTCAGTATTCTTCTGAGTTGGATAGCAAAGGTCTTTGCAACTCTTGAAGATCCCAGTAAATCGAGTTAATCCAACCATCATCGAGCCTTCACCGCCAGGGAAGTGACAAGCGATGCCCTTGCAGCTCACAACGCTGCTGCCTGTGGCGTCACAGTGCTGCCTGGACCTGAGGGCCCTGAAGGCCCCATTATCCTGGTGTTGTGGTCAAATTCTGATCCAGGGAACCAACATTTCTTGTCATTCTTATATCAATGGGAGATCTCCAGGATCCTAAAATGGAGGTACGTTAGTACCATATAAGGCCATATTTAGGTTCCTGAAATGGCCATTGATTATACTAATGATCCCCATTTTGTTTGGGGTCACAAAAAAGCTGATTTAGTGAACACAAAACCAGCATCACTACTGTACGAAAAAACAGCACCATCGTCAGGAGCAGAAATGGTTCTGCCAGCTGGTATCCTATTTTGCAGGGAAGGAACACAGGGTTTCTGGATACGCATACGGTTTGAGTACCCTGCGGAACATCCAAGAACGCACAGTGGTACTCAATGTCTGAATACTGTAAGACTACCTGTCAAGAGCACTCCATTAAACCTAAAACCCTTTCTTGATCAAAAAAATAACTCATCATCATTTCCAATCTGTTTGGATTATGGATTATTGTTGATCAACATGATATCGGTAACTATGACATATTATGACTATCCATTTGATGTTTGGATCCATATAATTTGGATCTACCCTCTGGTAAATAAACATAGACCTTGGCAAATAGGGGTTGGAAGATTAGTTTCAACTAACAAATGGTGATTTTCAGGGTCTATGTTAATTTACCAGAGGGTGATATGGATCAATATGATATCCTAAAAAAGTGCCTCGTCTGTCACACAACAAATGCCTGGTCCGGCAGCAATTGCAGAGCTGCGCCCTGCTGGCGCTGCCAGCGGCTGTGTAGCGGATTGGATCTGCGACTGGACCTCGGCGACTGGGCGAAATGGGGAAATAGGGTATTTAGATACAAACAAGGTGAAAACATTGCGATTTAACTCGGGAAACTGGGGATTGAATAGGGATTGAGTGGGGATTTTCTCATGGGGATATCATGGAAAATTACGAGCTGTTGACTGTTGGTTAACCCAAAAATGCATGTGTTGTAACGCCAACAAGTTCGTCAAAATGGACTGTCACTCGCAAGCCATAGGGATTTCACCTGCCAAAGCCATTGGGATTTCACTAACAGTATAGGGTCAGAAGCAACAACAATGGGAACAAAACCAAGAATGATAGAGCCAAGTTGGGTATGACAAACAATGATTGCATCTGACCAATAATAAACTAGATATATAATCAGGATACACGCAACTATTGTCGGGATATAACCAACCACGATGGACAACCACGATGGAGAGTTAGCCAATAAGGATGACGCATTTGTGATACAACCAACAATGATGTCGGAACGAACCAAGAATATGGAAATAATTCACAAGCAATTTTTGGGTCGAAGCCATGCTTGCCTGCTGGGCCAGGGTCTTCAAATTCGTTGACCCCTTCCCCAATTTCCCCATGAAAACATATGAAAACATTCCTTCCAGCTCCATCCACTTCCGTGTCAGCAAGGGACAAGGTCAGTGATGGCGCGAAGGGTGGGATGATCAAACATCAAGGTGTTCCTCAGCTCCAAGGTGTCGATCGGACTGCCAGAACTGGATGGTCCAGGCTCATCCCCCATCGCAATCCTAGACTTTGCCAAAGATGTTGCTTTTCTGCAGCTCAAACGGCATCTCCATTGGTCGACTTCTGCAACCGAGCTGCGGGAATTTGATGCCTGCGCCTGCCTCGGCGGTCAAACGATTCCGGAACTCCACCGAGGACAAAGAGTCCTGGCAGAGGAGCCCCTGGGCCCTGGGGAAAAAAGTGTCAAGATCTAAAGAAAAGACATCTATCTGTGACATGGGGATTAAGTTACCCTCTCTTAGGTCGCGCGGAAACATCCTTGTTTAAATATTCATGGGTGATTTTCCCTAAACATTGGCATTGTCCACTGCTGGAGTTGCAGAGGGTAAACCATTCCAAAAAATGAGTCTAGCCTAGACCGCCTAGATGCATGATTTACGGCCAATTATTTGCTTGGTATGTAGTTGAAACATAGCTCAATTACCTCCAATTTCAGTTATAAAGTGTGACCCTGGAATCTGCTCAAAGCAGCGATCGAATGTCTACATTTCTGATCTTGGGACATCATGAAAAACCACGTGTGGCTTTGTTTCAGAACACTCCAAATCGCATGGTTTTCTCATCATTCTCTGAAATGATAAAATCTTACATTGGAGCTAATCATCGTTTTCAATTTGTCAATCAGTTTCCCCATGATTTTTGTCAGTTCCCATATTTTCCCAGGCGATGCCTAGGACCAAATCCTTACCCCCTCCATGCCCCAGCCGTGCCCCGGTCCATGCCCGCAGCCATCAAGGGTTCGTCCACCTCTACGGCGGAACCGATGACATCAGCAGCGACGGAGCCTCGTCTGTTTGAGTGCCATATCCCCTGGTTATGTCAAAATAGCTATTGAAAATGACCATTTATAGTGAGTTTTTCCATGAAAAATGGTGGATCTTTCCATAGCTATGTTAGTTTACCAGAGGGTATCCCCTGTGAGTCAGAGATTTTTCCACCATCTTTATGATTTTTCCCATGGAACTCAGAGATTTTTGGGAGGTTCGGTGGATAAATCCCACTCCTAAGATTCACACCGCGTGGTGCTGCTATGCTTCACAAACAGAACGGGCTTCGAACTTCGATCTCCCAACAAGTGGGATATCCGGGATCCTCCTGAAACTTCATGAAGCCTTTTGCGGAACCTCAATCTCAAGGGTTTTAAAATCGGGCTACCCGCAACTGACTGCGGTCATTGGCCAAGCAACTGACCCAACCACTGACTGCCTCGGGGCTCAGCGTGACCACCTGAAACGCCGGGAAGGGACGACTGGTGATGACAAAAAAGTTGGGAACATCACTGTGAAAACGGTGTTTGACGACAAAACTGTGTTTTGTGAACAGTATCGACAACTCTAAAATGTTGTTTTCATCCTCATGATCATCCACATGAATACGGGTGGAAAGGGGTCTTCCCAAGATTGACCCAATCAAAAGTCCACATCATGAGGGAAATTCCCATCGGTCCGGGAAACCTCGGAGCTCTGCGCTTGCGCGCGCGCAGCACCGGCACCTTGGAAGTCCTGGAACAATGCTGTGATCCTTTTTGGGTGGATGGCATGAAAGGTGATATATCACGCTATAATTGGAATATAAATGGTCATCAATGGTCATACATGGCTTAGAAATGCTTAGAATGGCTTTAAAATGTTTTAAATGATTGTCAAAGTTTGGCGTGCTTGTACTGTTTTATCATGTTTTATCTATACTGTATGTGCTAAACCACTTGCTAATCAGGATGCCCGTAGTGGGTTCCTACAGCCTTCAACCACCGCTGCAAACATTCGTGAAGCCCACAGAAAGAGCGGTCCTTGAAGTATTTGGGCGCACCGCGTGGGAACCTGCCACTTGAAAAGCCATCACAGGCACACCACACTCTTGTCACACACAGCCGTTGTCATAACTCTCAGGCGGAAAAAAAATACCCAAGCAAGTAATCTTTTGAGCCGAGTACACTATTGCTGGGTAGTGATGGAATATCCACGAACACAGAAACACAAACTTTTCCTTCGATTCGATGACTACCAGCAACAACGTACTCAATCCTATCATGGCTTCCTGGAAAATCCCTGTTTCTTCCATGATTTTCCCAGCTGACTTCTATTTACAGTTTAGGGGATTCTTCAGCCCCCAGAAATCCCCAGAAATCCCCAGAAAACTCATCTGGCCAAGCAACTGCTTCAAGAAGCCGACCCACTGCACGGGAGCGCAGCCCAGTCGGCTGTTCAACGACTCTCCCCGCAGTGCGGTGGACAACACCGACATGCCCAACCTCGGGCCGTGGTTATTGGAGATCAGATCACGACTAACACATTGGTTTTAGTAGGATTTTAAGGGGAATTCATGGGATTTGGCCATCAACAATGGGAATGCTAATCCATTTACCCTCTGGTCATCAAACATGGCGTGCGGGAAAACCCACCGTTTATACAGTTCGATAATTCTCCCAGCTATATAACCTCCCCTTAGTTTGGAGATTTCCCAGCTTGCCATGTTTGATTACCGGATGGTATTCAAAACTATCCACATACTCTCCATTGTCGTGCATGATTTTGCAATCTTTGCACTTTACCCGTTTCTATTTGCGATTGCCACAGTATCAGAAGTTTCCACCCCCTAACACCACAGCCTTTGTGACTCACGCTACAATTCTGCTGCACCACTTCAGAGATACTGAATCGACTTAAAATAAAACTGATCTACTGTAGATTCCTCAACTCACCCCTACTTATCCCAGCATGCTGGTTCATCACTCTGTACCACCCAGTGGCTCGTTGCTAATGCCATTGATCTTCAATCGCGAGAAGGAGTTGTTTTGTGCCTCGCGGGGCGTTTGAGGTGCTTGGTCCCCATGCTTGGAAAGGTCACCAAAACTCACCACATGATTGACAACATGATTGATTCTCAACTGATGAGAACCTTTGGGCATCCATGGGCATCCTCTTAGCGCGACTATGCCCATCAACCCCACCTTGTTGGACATTCCTCAGGTACCATCCCACCGCCCAAAATCTCTCGCCAGGGTGCAGCCATGCCAACCTCTAACCACGGGCCCCACTGGACACTCATAGCATTGAGGCCGTGCAAATGCCAATGATGCGCCAAGGCATCCAGGCCTGGGATACCCTGTGAGTTGATGCACCATGCACCAACATGCAAGATACAAGGCGGTTAGATGTCGGATTTTGGTCAAAATTAGAGTATCTTCTCAGGTAAAACTCCCTACTCCAGATCTCCACAAACCCACAGCCCATGAAGACCAAGGTGCAGGTGTTGGCAGCTGCATAGTTTCCCTGACCTGTCCAGCGGATCCGCTGTCCGTTTTCACCGTGGATGGGTTTCTGGGCCCCAGAAAAGGCACCGAAAATTCCCGCCTGCAGCTCCAAAGAGCGCCGCCGTGGAGGAATAGAGCGCGAAGAAGTCCAAGGACTCCAAGTTGGCTGCGGCATACAAGTTCCTCAGAGCCCATAGAGCCCATGAAAATCAGGGATATACCCCCAACTTATGGTTACTTTCATGGGGAAAATATGGGAAGATGATGACGATTTGGGGGTCACCGATTTTGACCAAGTCTCTTGGCTCCCATCACCTTTGCCCCATAGGCACGTTCCAAGTGCGGACCTCACTTGATGTGAGGACTTCATCAGCAAAACTGGGGATATGATCGTGACCTAGAAATAGCCATAGCCCACAAAATCGCGGGATTTCAGCAAACAAAATTGAGAACCACCTAGGAGAAGAGTTGTCGAACAAAGAAGTTGAACTGGCGTCCAGGCCAAGCTGACGACAGTCCGCTTCCAAGCCAGGGAACGAGTGAGCTGCGGTAGCATGGCATCATCCAAAACCTTAGGCCAAAAAAAATAGCCACTGCGATGCTTGACATCCTTGGTTAATGATCATGATCATGCTGGAACAATCGAGATGAAAAGAGGGAGACTGAACCCACGTGGACAGATTGACAGATTGTCGTCTCGTGCTGATGAGTGCATAAAAGCTGCGACTCTTAAGTGCTTCTCCACTGCTTTAGGATCCAATTTCTATGACCAATATCTACTGCACCAATCCCAAAAAAGATAGAAAAATGAAATCCCACGGTTCAGCAGTGTCAAAAAAAACTTTTGTAGCTTTTTGGATAAACAACCTACACGATGACAAAAAAAAACCTACACATCTCCATTGATCCATTGAAATCGATCAAATTTGTCAAGCCAAAGCACTCCAGCCAAATGCAAAATGCCCCGCACTGGGCAGTTCTTGCCTCGCAGAAGGGCTCGCACAGGGCTGCAGGGCGGAAAATGGAGGCAAGTTCTTACTGTTTGGGGATGCCAAATGGCTTGTTGCCACTCGGTTTTACGGTGAATGATTTTGGATCCAAAAAGGATTCCAAATGTCTGGTTCGCCGAGTCCAGACTTCTTTTCCGGAATGTCGGAAAACACTCACATCATCGATATATCAATATATATCATAGATATATCTACCATAAACATACGAATTCTTGGAGTTATAACCCAACTAATCCTCTCTTTGCCAAGGCACGTGGGCCCTCCGTGGGCGCCTTGGCACCGAGCCGCTTCTTCAAGTCGCTGCTAGAGGCGCTGCTGACGTCGCAGGCCCAGGCCATGACCTGGATGCGGAGAGGTAAGCCCTAAATCGATAGGAAGCAGATGGGAATAAGATGGGAACAGTCTCGGAACAATATGGGAATAGTATGGGAATAGAATCAGAATAATCTGCGAATAATGTGGGAATATGATGATAATATGAATATGTCAAAAAATTGTAGATTTTAGCCAACGCCAATTGACTTCGGCCGAAAAATCATGGTGTACCATGGTGTAGCACAATCAACCACAAATTTGGCTTTGTCTGAAAATGGAACATTCCCAAACACTGAAATCTAATAGGAAAAATGATGTTTGACCTATGGAATGGGTACCCTACTCTCAAATACACCCATTTCATCATTAGGATTCAACGAATCCTCCCCATTTCAGTGACGCCCCAGCATAAACGTAGTTGTTGCTGGTTAATAATCCATGAATAAAACCCAAATCATACAAGTATAGTAGTTATATCATATATATAATTATACACATATATCCCTATTTAATCCCCATGAAAATGTTTGTGTTTGTTTTTCGCCATAAATCAGCCATGGTCAGTGCAATAGATCCACAGCCCCATTCAACCAAGATAAGAATTCATTGGTTTGGTTCAAAGATAAATTGAAGCCGGAAACCCCAATATTCCCCTGAAAAATTGATGGTAAAAAACGATGGGTTCCTGTCGCTTTTCCCAACAAAACCATGGCCATCCAGGCCGAAATCCTCAGGTTTGCCCCGGGCTCAACCTGCAAGGGGGAGTTCTGAAGCCAGGTCCATTGGCTTTGCACTTCAGCACCAGGGCGGCCGCTCCTGAGGCGATATTTCTCTATGAGGAGATATGAGTACTGTAGGATATATATATATAATATATATATACACATAATTTACTCATGTTGTTATTTTATTGTTCTCCGGATATGATTATTCTGACTGTTCAAATTGTTCTTACTGATATACTTGTATCCTATTATGTCCATTCTTTTTATTATTATTCATAATTATATTACATTGATTTATATATATATATATACATTACTATAAAAAAATACTATAAACATATCATGTATTTCTGCACACATTTCTTACAGAATACACGTATGTGGTCTGCCCGGTTTCAGGAGCGGGTAAACTATCCTGCTTCGTATAGCCGTCATTTTTGTAGACACACCGACATAGGTTCTCAATGGTTCTCACACTTCGACGGCCTCTTTCCACACATGGTTTTAAAATGTGTTCAATGTTCAAGTTCTATATCCCACCCTTGGTTGGTTTACATAGATCCAGTAAACCTCCCAGTTCAATCACAAGCTGAGACATTGCCCCTCGCAGCTCCTTGACATCAACAGTAGACTCTTGGCACCCTCCTCTGCGAGCGCCTGTGCTGTGACCAGTCCTAGGGCTCCCATGCCACCGCTCAGCAGGTAGCTGGCATCCGCCAACAAAGCCATACGCCGGGGAACCGTGAGAACCACCTGGTGAGGGCTTGGAAGTCGCCATGAATCAATGGATTGAGGCAAAAATCTACCAGGAAACCATGGATGTACCCACCAAATGTTGAGGATTCCTGCACCATGTTCCCTTCAACCAATTCTGGGTATGAAAACTCTGCTTTTTTCACATGAGAATGGCTCGGAATTGGGGGTATCCAAAAAATCAAACATCTCCGGAGTTTCACCATGTTTGTTGCTTAACCACCACAGTTTCACCCCCCCTCCCCTGCGAAACGCCCGCGCCTTGCCGATCTGCTGCGCCCTCTGCAGGAACTGCAGGGCCTCCACGCCTTTCGCCAGGCCTTCGAACTCAGTGGCCTCGAGCGGCTTCCAACTGCCTGGCAGATCAAGCTGCCTGGGTTGGTGGCACCAATTTGCCCTTCGAAAATCTGGTGCTAAGTAAGTAGGGAATGAGGGAATGATCCATTAATAATCATCCCAGCAACCCCCATTCCCTACGTTTAGCAGCAGTCAGAAATTAGTAAGGGACCTATAAACCATGATGCAACATGGTTAAAATGCGATTTTGAAAAACACCGTTCGAAATGGAGATTCACAGAATTGCTGTGGATTCAAGCATCGAAAACGAAGATTGGACGATTGAGACGCAGCAATGAACCATCAAAAAATGGGAGGTTTACCATCAAACTTAGGAATTTGACGCGATACAACCACCAAAACTTGTCATTTCCATCAACCCTGTCGACTTGGCCCCCTAAAAATTGGGATTTGAGCATCAAGCATGCGGATTTTCATGACTGGTGGTAAGGTGTGCCTTGCAAATCCTTCTCCAGTCGCTTCAACAAGCCCTGATAGCGATCGGGTTCGTTCTCGCAGACGCCATCAATGGCCAGAGGGTAGTATTTCACATCGGAGCGGAATTTGGCCACCTGCAATCAACGGCCGGGTGTTTCATGGTGTTTCTCTAAACCACCGAGGTCACGGAAAGGAAATACCTAGACCCCACGTTGGAGGTGCTGCTGCTTCACCTGTGACACCTAGATGTCAAAATATGTCAAAATGTAGGACCTTCCAAAACAAAATAAACTCAGGTGCTATCCCCAACAGCTTAAAAGCTTCTGCGTTTTTGCCATAAAAAGGCTTATGCCATAAAAAACATCGGAACCCTTTGGAATTTCACAAAGCATCTGCACCAGAACCCTCCGGAACCTCACAAGGTATCTGCTCCGGAACCCTCCGGAACCTCACCACGCATTTTCACCTAGACCCTCCGGAACCTCACCACCTAACCAAGTATCTGCACCGTAAGCCTCCGGAACCTCACCGAGTACCTTCCTGGAACCTCACAAGGTATCTGCACCGGAACCCTCCGGAACCGCACAGGTATCTTCACTGGAACCCTCCGGAACCTCACGAGGTATCTGCACCGGAACCCTCCGGAACCTCACGAGGTATCTGCACCGGAACCCTCCGGAACCTCACAAGGTATCTGCACCAGAACCCTCCGGAACCTTGTCCGGAACCTGCACCGGATCGCGAAGGGGCTACTCTGGGCTAAAGACCCCATAGCAAAGTTTTGCCTTTGGGGGAAAAAAACAGAACTGTCTCAGAAATATGGGTCACTTTGAGTCACTTTTCTCATTTTTCCACTCGTCAATCATACAATCCATCCATCCTGCCACCTCCTCAACACTCCACACATCACGCTTGCCAATCTCCACAAAGCGGCCACCTGCAGCGCTGAATTTCTTCGGCGCCAGCCCCAATGGCATTAGATGGGTTGTATTTGTCCCAGCTGGCTGGAATATCATTCATTGATAGATGTTTAAAATTATGTTTTATCAAAAGGAAAGGATGATTTTCCATTGCCAGGACCCATGATTCTGAGAATTACACAGGGAATTGCGACTGAAACCACCTAAGATGCAACTGGAACATGTCACAATCACATCATGCCAGCCACCGCAACAAAAGATTTATGGACAGAAAGATAGATGGATGGATAGATAGATCGATCGATCCATCCATTGATGGATGGATGGATGGATGGATGGATAATTAACAGACAGACAGACAGACAGACAGATAGATTGGGTAGATACATACCTAGATCGGTACCTAGATAGATACCTAGATAGGTTCCTAGATAGATAGATAGGATAGGATAGGATAGGATAAGATTAGATTAGATTAGATTAAGATTAGATAAGATAAGATTAGATAAGATTAGATAGACTAGATTAGATAGATTAGATTAGATTAGATTAGATTGGATTAGGTTAGGTTAGATTAGATTAGATTAGATAGATAGAGAGATAGAGAGATAGATAGAGAGAGAGAGATAGATAGATAGATAGATAGATAGATAGATAGATAGAGAGAGAGATAGATAGATAGATAGGTAGATAGATAGGCAGATAGATTGGTTGATTGATTGATTGATTGGTTGATTGATTGATTGATAGATTGATAGATAGATAGATTGATAGATAGATAGATTAGATACCTAGATAGATACTCAGACAAATACCTAGATAGATACCTAGATAGATAAGTACATAAAATGTGTGTGTATACCCCTGTAGGATGTGGATCTGGAAGTTCAGAGAGGGTCCCACCCCTGCGCCTTTGGCCAACAGCCCCAAGCTGCGTCCAATGAAGTTGTCGTGGCTCCTTGAAGCACCCAGGCTGAATGGTGAACCGTTTCTGATGGAAAAATGAGGGGGTGGAGATTGTGTTAATGTGACGGTGATGATGCTGATGCTGATGCTGATGATGATGATGATGATGATGAGGACGACGATGATGATGATGATGATGAGGACGACGATGACGATGACGATGATGATGGACCATATCAACGTGCAGGACAATCCCATCCACCTCAATTGTTTCCCACGTGCCGCTCACCGCAGAAGATGCGTCAACTTGCTAAATCAGATTCAGGCAATCAAAACATTGGGACCATTTGACAAAAGAATCAGCAACCCCAGCATTAAGCACCTCAAATATCCTGCATGAGACTTTCTGAGTTTCAACACCATGGGACCCGGGACCCGGCACAGCCACTTGCCACCAAAGCTGCAAGCTGTTAAGCACCACGTGGATACCATCGCTGCCCTGCAGCATCGCATTGGAAATGGTAGATGGGCACAGGGGAGGATAGATAATCAAGAACCACAGGGGTACATACAGGTTCATTTCATCTGCCTGATGAACATCGGCTCTTTAGGAATTCTACCCTTCTGCTCACGTTGAAGCCCCAAAAACTGAGAAAGTGATGGACGATGGAAGCAAGATGCAGCTTACCATGGATTTAAGCATCAGTTGAACTCATCTAACATTTCCTGCATTGGACCATTTGATTCTCTGAGGCCCGGCCTTTAGGAATTCCTTCATCTCCTTCTCAAACTCTTCGCCTCAGCAACATGACCCTCTCAGGTGGGGGTCCAGAAATGGAGGGCCCCCTGCATCCTTTCCCTCAGATGTCCGGCATCACCACGCCACAGCATCCCCACCAAGTCGCCATTGCGCGAAGAGGTGATGTACTTCACACCCAAATCACGCAAATACTGTCGCTTCTCTTCACGTCCAGCCGTGGTGTACACCTTGGTATCTTGACATGATGGGACTCCACACACTTGGCAGAGGTTTCATCTGCAAAATAACTTCAATCAACAGCACAAGTAGAGGTGCCGCTGCAAAAATTCAAACAAACTCAACCTCCAACTTCGATAATTCCAGTTGTTTGTGCCTGAAAAGCGACTGCCGGCATTAACCCTTGAGCTTGCGACTAGAAGATGTTTGAGCATACGTGTTTCCCGAACATCACCAAAGGGTTGTAATCTGAAACGCTCATCCAGTCGTTATAATTTCAAGGTAACGGGGATATAGTGGTAATATAGCGGGGCGGCCATGATGGGATACAACCAGGATCTGAGATTTGGGTTTGTCTATGGGGGATTTGCTGTAACCCCAACGGCCATTCAATGATGGGGAAAAGGATGATAAACCATCCAATTCGGGAGTAATTTATTTTCAGATAAACCCAGGATACCCAGGAATCGTAACTGGATTGGCCCCCCCAACGTCTTAAGTAGGATGACCTTCCAATTTCCCCATTATGGATATCCCCATGTATGGTTTTGTATCGAACTACATCGGATGACATTCATCCCATGGACCCCAAATTATCATCCCAAATTCATAGGGAAACCAATACTGTAGCCATGGTCACCAGAAATCCGATCCACCCCGAAAAACCACCAAAAAAAGCCTCCACGGTGCCCCGCCTCAGCACCCAAGCGCTGCGCGTATTGCACCGCGACAAGGCCAACACCGCCAGTGGCTGCATGGATGAGCACCTTGAATAAAGATCGCGAGCGGGAGCTATATGAGGTATATCAGCTATAAATCTATAAATCGATATATTGGATAAATCCCCAGCATAAAATCTCCAGCATATAAATACCAAAAGCTTATCTATATAATTCTATATATATATATATATCCAACAGCTATCCCACATGTTTCTTGGAGAAATCCCCAGCATTCCAGGCCTTCTCTCCCTTCTTCAGCTTCGCCAGTTCCGCGAAGGCCACATCCACCGTGGTGTACACCGTGGGCAGCGCCGCGGCAGCACTGGCAGACGTGCTGCCGGGGCGAGGCACCAGCAGCTGCCAGGGGGTGGTGGCCTCAGGGAAACCCATGGTGGATGGTGGGGGAAGCCCCATGTTTTTTTTAATCTTCAGTAATATGTAATGTTTTTTATTTATTATTTATTGATCTATTTGTTGATTCGTTTTTTATCCATTTATTTCTTGATTCATTTATTATTCATTCATTCATTCATTCATTCATTCATTCGTTCATTTATTTGTTCATTTATTTGTTTATGTATTTCATCCATTTACATGATTATATGATGTATATAATAGCTAAGGAACAATAACACCAATACCAAAGTTGATGGTTTCTAAGTACGGATTGGGGGTCTACCCCTGTATACAATATGTCAGGAATGACTCAGGCAGTCAAATACTGTAGTCTGTTGGGCCGGTGTACATGTGGGTTTCTTCTCCTGAGAGGCTTTGTGAAGCAAAGGTTGTGGAACCTTATGTTTTTCTAAGATTTTGAATATACAGCATGGTTGTGTTTCACCTTTTAACCGATTGGGTCACTTCGCTGCTTGGCATATTGTTTCAACAGTTTGCTAGGTCCTTTATTGCATAGTCCATTTGTGCCCAATGCTTGGTTTAGACCAGGTTCCCCGTGACTTCTCTAAATGATAAGTTTGAGTTTGTGTGGATCCAAGCGTGGTGACCCGATCAGCCCGTGGTTTCATGGTCAAACCCAACATTTGCACAAGCCAATTGGTAGGGTCCACACATCGCAGCTAGGTGCCAACTCGTAAATCTGCCAAGGGACGTAGGTCTTCAAGCAGCCCCAAACGATTCCAAAGGCGTCGTCGCCGCAGCGCAGGCCACCTGCGCAATCGAGGCAGAGCTCAAGCGTCAGATTCAAACTGGTTGGTTGACAGAGGTTACCATATTGGATGAGAACTAACCATATGGTAATCCTCATGATAATTCCATAATAACCATCATCGTTCTATATTACCATCTGAGCGTGATGATAACATGAGAATCCTCAACCAGCTGGTTTAACCCCGTATATGAGCACAAAAACATGGGAGATTTGACTCAATGCTGCAGCCGGCTCAAGCTGAGAATGGGGTGCCGTGTATACCGTTATATCCCCAAATTAGGGCATGCTGCTAGGGAAGATGATGATTCACCAGTGGATTTCTTGATATCCTATTTTCCGACACATCCATGTCAAACTAGAACCAGGAGAGCCATCCATAGATGCACTTCCGACCCAGAGGAACTCTGTGCCCTTGTGCGAATGTGAGGCCGAGCCTTTGTTTTTGCCAGCTTCCACATTGACAACCTGCCATGGGCGATGGTGTGTGGATTTCCATCCGAATGGCCATCCATCAATGGACAGCTTCGATCTGGTGACAGATATGGGGATACGGTCGATGTATTCAAACAAAGCTCAAATTATGCTTCAAACAAATATCGAAAAATCATCATAAATCATCATAAATCTCAGCGTTTCATGGCTCTTTTCTAAGCGGTTAAAACATGTTCAAACACCAGCACCCTACCAGCGTTTTCTGGTCCTGGGCATCCCCACAGTGCCCGAGCAGTCCAGACCTGGATCTCCAGGATCACCTGGATACATTCCCATCACCTTAGATCAGATGGCTATGGAGGTTGAAAAAATGGGTACCCTCTGGTAAACAGCCACATAACTATGGAAAATCACCATTTTTTATGGGAAAATCCACTATTTCAATGGCCATTTTTAATAGCTATGTTAAATTACCAGAGGCTAGCCCCCCTTTATCGCTGGATGGCTTTTTTTCATGGATCAATGGATTGGTTTGTTGGGGAAAATCTTAACCGGAAACCATCGATATTTTCCCATTAAATTAATAGGACTTTCCTGTAAATTATCCCTTAAACCAATCCATTGAATGGAACATCCATCAATGGAGAACTGGAGGTAGCCCCCCATTTTGGGAAACCTCCAGTTATGGGTCCAAAAACCTCAGGAACCACAGATTGGAATGTCTAGTTGTCGTATTGACCATCCAGTTATACATTGGAGTACCTAATTTTGACCCATACCCCATGTCTTGTCCTCAAACATCCTGGGATTCCAATGTGGATATTATAGAAACCCAAGTGGATAAGAGAAAACCGAGACCGAGCTGCTTGCTAAATCCAATAGAAACAGGCCGTTGGGGTTCAGCTTGTGTGGCAGTAGCTTACATCAATATGATCAAAACTCAGCCGGAAACAATCGGGCATGTCGCATCCTACCTAGTTCTACTGCATAATGTTCCTTGCGTCCGTGCCCTTGTTGCCACAACAGGAAAACAACCAGATGTGCCAACCAAGATGCATTGAGCACATCACGGAAGTTCAATCCGATCGCTTCCACCCGGACTTCAACTTCACCGGGCTTCAGCGTGGGTCGCTTGCTCCTCAGTTGCAAAGCCGTGGAAGGCATGAAAAGCTACGCTTTAACAGGCCTTTCTGGCAATGAATCGTCAGATTTTGAGACTTCAAATCACAAGATCGATCAGACTCAGCTTCATCACCTTCATGATCTTCTTGAGCCCAGCTTCCCTTCAAAAAGGGATCTTCAAAATATCTCGAAATTGGGCACCCAACCAGAATGGCCGACCTAAACTGACCCATTCCCATGTCTTGAATTCCGCACCAAGCGACTGAGGCAAGGCCCTCAAGTTGGTCAAACTCCCGCGCCGCGGCATGTGCAGCCGCTGCGGCCTGGAGGTAGCTGCAGCTGTGATGATGAGATAATGGGGATTTAGTGGTGATATCTATGGTGGGGTTTAATGGCTATAGATATATCTACCAAAAACATAGTTGGTCACACTTCATTACTTCTTATACACTCAATTATCCAACTGACCATGATGTGCTTGGGAAACTCGACTCTATTCGTAGCTCGGAGGCTCCCCATTGCTCATGCGGAACATGGATATCCATAGCTCCTTCACTCCCTCCCAAACACTGGATAGGTTTATGGGATAGTTTTTTTTGCCAACACGATGATTTTGCGTCCGAAAATGGTGTTTTTTGGCTCCCCAATTTGCACAACTTTACTAGGGAAAATGATGGTGAACCAGTGGACCTATATTGGGGCAGCCTGAGTGGTGAGGTCGGAGTATGGTTTCGATACAGAACATCTGACACACCGACTGTGGGTACCTTTTATAAGCTGTGTTAGAATATTTACCAGAGATGGCGAAATCTGGCTCTGCTTCAAAATCATTGGCCCCACAATTTCATGGTATTATGGTTTCATACCAGTCATTTGACCCCGGTTTTGGGCTCCATCTCATGCTCCATCTCGCCTGGTGGGGGCGGAGGCACTGCGCGCCAGCCGTGCGGCCAGAACCGAATCACCTGCGCTGAATCTTGGGCTAAGAGTTGCCCTCCTTAGCAAGATGTTTGGTAAACCAAATATGTTTGGTAAACAACACACATCATGTTTGCAAAGCATTGGTACATTTGGTACATTTGGTACCAAGTCGTGGCCTCAAAAATTGATCTCGCCTCGCTGTGCCAAGTCATTCTCCACGCTTTCCCAGGGCGCCACAGGGGTGCCGGTGCTGGCCATCCAGTCATGACCATTCAGGTCCACGCAAGTGACCTGGCCGGTGAATCGCAGGTGGAATCTGCAGGGGATATGCTTGGAAAATCCCCCAGTTATAGGTTGATTATTTGGATTTAATTTGATTTATATATATATATACATATATATTGATCTAAGTAGTTCATAGTAATTCGGTATTATGAATCTAAGTAGTTCATAGTTGTTCGGTATTCCAGCAGTCCCAGTTCGCCGAGGGCAAATCGGGCAAATAAACCAACTTACCGTTTGGGAGCCTCTACTTGCAAGCTCGGATGATTCGACTGGGATTCCATCTACCGCACCACACCTGCAAGTCTGGCTGCTCCATTCTGGCAGATCGAGCCAAGCCCCAAAGTCCTGATACCCGAGCTGGGACCCGGATGAATCATTCACACATGGTCAATCCAATAAGAAGAGGGTGGTGTAAACCCACCCCCATTGGAGGTTTATCATTGGCTTCATCACACCAGGATGGAGAAAAACTCGAAACAACCCAAAAAAAACACTTGGTGCTCGCAGACATCGGGATTCTTGCTGTAACTTCCGAGTCCAAGAGTTCATTGAAAGTAGTTTGAACCAACTAAAAACTTGCTCAAGAATGAAATGGTCTCTGCTGATTTACGATGCAGGCAATTCCATCAAGACCAAGAAATAAGGATATGTACAAGAACAATTGCTGGCCATCTGCAATGCTAGACATCAAGGAGGTACTGATTGGAGTGCCTCAGTTGGACACAAATCCTGGACTCTCAGACCATGTTGGGATTTATGGAATTGGAATCGGCCCCGCAGATGGTACCAGCCGCGTCTCCTGCATGTTCTGGATCGTGCTTGGTCTTCGTCATTTCAGCGCCTTGTGCTCCGCCTTGGGTTGCGGTTTGTCGAAAACAGGGAAGCACCCTGGGACCAAAGGATGGCGCACGATACATGACTTGCTTTGCAAGCCTTTGGTAGCATGTACATGTCCTGGGAGTATAAGAGCATAGTTGTTCATATTGTTTCTTGCTGAAAGCGAAGACTCTGAATCCATGTCCGGTACAATGCGAAGAATCGCAGGCGCCCATGTTCCACGAAGAACATGCGACACATATCGCAACTTTCAATATATATATATATACCATCTGGTTATTTAACATAGCCATGGAAAATCACCATTTTTAATAGGTAAACCATCTATAAATGGGCCATTTCCCATGGCTATGTTAAATAACCAGATGGTATATTGCACTGAACTACCAGCAACTGCAACTATCCCATCCCCATACCCTTAAACCCACCAACCATCCCCGTCAACACCAAAGATGTCATCCATGACATTGGTTTCGGTGGCTTCATATCTGCATGATGGTTTATCAAGAATCATTCTATCCCTTTTCAGGGTTGCTTCAAGACAATTTCCACACGGTGAACTCCCATTTGTTACGCTCCCAACACACTCTTGACACCATAAATCATCATTTTCACTGTGGTTTGAAAAAAAATACCAGGCAAAATCTTATTCTTCCATTCTAAACTTACTATGGCTTTTCAGTAAACCTCTACATTTTTCTCGTGTTTTCCCATGGTTTTTTCACGCCCCGTGCAGCCAAGTGGCCGGTGCACAGCAGGATCCTGGGCGCCTCGGTCGCTTTGATCGCCGCTTGGAGCAGCTCCAGGGCGTCGCCCAGAGCTGTCAGCTGGTCGCCAGCGGCGTCGAAGGCGATGGAGCCATCCTGCAGCGATCGGTTGATCTTTTTTTTGTCTTGTCTTACTATACATATTATATATATATACATATTTACATATATATATATGTATATATATATGTATATATATATGTATATATATATATATGTATATATATATGTATATATATATATATAGTGCAGTGATATATAATATTATTACAAACATACAGCTACATATATATATATATCATGTGTATATGTTTGCGTTTGAGTGTATGTGTACGTACTGTATAGATCATACTCTATCATAAACCCCTCCACTGCAACTGTGAAGGCATGCTGTCATGGGGAGTGGGTCAGCAGTTTCGGGCCCATCCCTCAGAGACTGGCCCGGAAAAAGCAGCCGTCCCAAAACAACCGGGGGATAGAAACACAGTTCAAAAGAGTTCAAATTTCGAACCTCTTAAAGGTTCATTTAAAGGATATGAAAATTCATGAGACTTCATGAATATTTTTGCTGATACCTATGGATTACTTGTCAATATTCATGGATATTACATGATTTTGATGGTCTGCTCATCCTTGATGGAAGAAAGATTGGAGATGCCCTCGGCCAAAGAAACGACACCTCAGCCCAGACTCCCAGACCCGCTGCTGAGTCAAACTAAACAACCAAAACAACTTGGACAACAGCAACCCCAAAAAAAAATAGAAAAAAAAACCTACCATTATTTTTGGTAGGATCTTATTTTTCTATCTTTTTGGGGGATGCTATAAAGTCTGATGAAGTCTGACGGACAAAGTCTGTTCTGCTCTTTTGTGCGATGGTCATTAAGGTATATACATAGCAGATTTTAGTCTATTCAGTATCCATATCTGAAAGAGGGGGTAGACTACCATGTGTAGAAGCTTTATGTAGTTCGTACTTGTACTGGACCCACAGTTAGCTTGGATAGGTTCAATTCTTCGCAATCAAAACATTCCAAGGTATTGATACATATTGATACTGCAAATTTCCGCATCACCATCCTAACCCATGTACGCCAGCGGGCACAGCCCTCAGATGGTCAGCAAAGTGGAAAAAATCCTAACCCATGTGTCGATCAATGTCCCCCTTCCACTCAGCTATCAGCTAGGCAATCAGCTAGGCGTCCGCACGGCTTTCTGAGGGCCAACCCAAATGCTTGGCCAGTTGAGCTCCACGTTCTCCTTTTTCGGCAGGAGGAATCTGCTTCATGACATCAGAATGCAAAAACCTTCCGCTCGATCGATCTGGGAATATGATGCATATCAAACAACAAAAACAGAGGCACCTTCTTTGCAAATCACCATGAAAGCGCCATCCATCACGTTCTTGGCGGCATCTTCCGAGTCACCAACGATGTTGACATCCTTCCATTCCACATCATACCTGGCCATCAGGTCGATCCACGGCCGTACTCAAAGTGGGATGATCATCCAAAATGGGCAGAGAACCACAGAATTCTTGTGTGTATACATAGAGTATATACATATATCTGTTATATATACACACCCGACTAATGTATATACAATCAATCTATATATATATATACATATGTGTCTACACACACAATTCATATGTGTATCGCACAGAAATAAAAACCTACCAACCAGTTGTCATGTCCCAACCAGAAGTGACTTCGAGCCCAAGGTGCAAGCAGTCATCCGACGCATCTCGCTCCTGCAGGGACTGGTTGGAAAGACCGGAGGGTCTTTAACTGCAATGATAAGGTCCATCCTCCCAATAGTGTGTTTGGTGATGCACTACCAGAGTCATTACCAGTAATTGCTGTTGAAGCAGTCCTGTGCTGACAATCCGTCCATCAGAATCATCAAATCAATGTCATTACAAATGATAAACCTTCCAGGCCATCCCACATCCCCTACAGTTGTCTACATGTGTTTGGTTTTGGGCGTAAAACGCCATTCCAATAAAAATCTCCATTTGGCAGTCAAAACCCACCCTGGTGAACATCAAAATAGCTGGGATGTATGGATGGGATCAATCAACTATAAATCTATACATACATACATACATATATATATGTGTGTATATATATATATGTATGTACACTTATCAACTTATCCAGAGTGTTTTCACCTATCAATCCGGATATATCTGGATATTTCTACGTGTTATCCCATGATATCCATGAATAAAATTGATAGGATATATCCCAATAAGATCCCATTATATCTGAATAATATCTGGATATTATCCCAATCTGGATATATATATATACATATATATCTATATATGTATATATATACATATATATCTATATATGTATATGTATGTGTATATGTATATGTATATGTATATGTATTTGTATGTGTATATATATATATATATCCATGAATCCCCCATTGGGTGACAGTGACCCCGCTTTTTCCCACGGGGGCCGACCTGCGAGGCTTCTGCCTTCCGGCAGCTGGCACCCTCCAGACGGGCGGCCAAGAGTCCAGCGGCCGTGAAGACCTGGACGTTGTGATCGGGAAAGAATTCAGATCTGGAAAAATCCTCTGGAAAATGTGGTTTAATTCATATCTGGAAAATGTGGTTTGTGAAAAATGGTGTGAAAAATTGGTGTTTATAGTGGTGTGTGTAATGGGTTTATGATGGGTAGTGGGTTTATAATGGATTTATAATTGGATATGGTTATATAAATTGTTATTTGGGTATAATTATATGGGATATTCCAGACAAATCGGGATATAGTTGGGTATATGGCTGTGTTTGGAAATGGCTTATACCTCCAATTATAGCCATTTGATAACATGGTGACCATTGGCTTTAACACGATTTTCAGACAAACCCATATATGTATATATATACATATATATATACATATATATATATATATGTATACATATACATATATATATATACATATATAAATATATACATATATATATATCATGAGATATACCATATGGTGGATGGGATGAATTATATTCATCTTATCAATACAATGGGATTATACGGTGGATTACATGGGATTAACAAAATAACTATAGTTATACGTATAATATCATATAATAGGATTTTTCAACCAACTAATATCCAACTGTACAATAAGGATACCCTCTGCGAATCTAACAGCGGGAACATTCCTATAAATGGAGATAAATGTTAGATTGAAAATCATCTATAAATCTGGAATTTTCCGTGGAGGATCCGGTGAGGATATGATATAAACAGCAACCCCCAGTCATAGATACTATCAAATAGAAAAGTTGGAAACCTCAAAATTATAAGGGAAATGTCATATGTACCATCCTGTCAACACGTTTCTATCTTTTTGGGGCTTACTACAGGGGCATATCATTGAGATCAAAGCAATAAACATGAGGCGATGATTTTTTGCGTCGGGACTCAGGGGTGGCTTCGAAAATAAGCGAAGCCAAGTTGGACCGAACTGGTTAAACCAATCATTTGATTGGGATTTCTGGGTGATATGATAAAGTAGATTTATATTACTGGGGCAAGTATGGCCATGTGGGTAAAACATGGTAAAACAAGAGTAGATCATCAAATTTGGGAGTACTTGAAAATGTGTTTAGCAGTCATGAAATTGTGATGATTCTGATATGGTCTCAACTAGACCTGAGCCAAGCAGGTTGTAACTTCTTGCAGAATAGGGGAAGTTCTCCCAGCAGGGATGGGTGTGACAGTTGGAAAAACTCCGGATTGACTTGAAATACAGTATCCTGAATTTAAGAATTAAAAAAAAAAAAACATGCTCGGAACCGAGAACATGAATGTGGAATCAAAAATTGTCCTGGCATCATCTGCATCTCTCGCCTCCACATCAGCAACCAGAGAGGTATCTGAGCGCTCCTGCAGAAGGGTGGCATCAACATATAGGCAGAGCTCGTGTTGATGCAGAGTCTCATGTAATCTTATACCATGTGGCATGCAAAAAATCGTCTATAATCATCTGCTTGTTTTAGGTTTGGGGTGCACTTTGGGAACTGCTTTGTATCTGACCAAAAGTGGAGCTGTAAACCATGTGTAAAGGCGGAAGCACAAATTAGGCAATTCCATCACCAGGCACCACCTGAAGTCCACCCAAATCATCGTGAGTCCATGGGTCAAATCATCTGCATCTCTTGCTCATGTGGGGGGTTCCATAAATGGTGCTAGCCCAATATTTATAGTGGATAATCCCATTAAAATTGATGATTTAGAGAGTACCCCCATTTTCGGAAACCTCCATGTGAGTTTTGCAGATTTCCATCTGAGAATGGAGGTCAAACTTGGCAGAGCTTTCCATGCTTTGTTTTAGTTGGGTATGCCCGGTATGCCCCACTATTTTCACCCATACCTGTCTGAACCCTTGGGTACAAGCTAAACTCACCAGAATGACAATGGCCATCAAAATATCAAAATAACGGTTCCTCCTATCTTGACCATCATTTGTAGTGCTTAAAATATCCAAACCTCCACTCTTGATGCAGTGGTTTGACATGGCTTGCCGGAAAATCCCGGTAGTTAGAGAATTTTCCCACTACCTCCATGCAGTGGTGACATCCGACGCACCTGAACCATGACGCCAGCCCAGAGTTCGCCCACAGGGCACTGCGCCGCGATCACCGCCCGGCGCACGGCGAAGGGCCTGCAGTGCGAGATATTCAAGGTGGAACCCATAGAACAGGATGGTTTAAAAAAAAACATAATGGGATGTTTACCATCTATCAACTGGTGGATTTCACTGGCCCATGCCTGGCCCATCCACAGTATCGATAATTTCAAATTAGCCACTAGACTGGGATGTGCCAAGTGGTCTTATCATCCACAAATGGCCTCGGGCACAGATCAGGACGAAGGGATCCACGAATTGACTGGCCATCTTTATATTGAAGCAGTCTTTTGGGGTGTCCAACAACATACCCAAATGTCTTTTCCAAGACTTGGGTATCCCAAGAATTATGGATGCAAAAGCCCGGTGCTTTCCTACTTTTTTGGGGGGGAGTATCACCCAAAACGTCAGATCCATTCTCCCCAATCAACCAGGTAGTATAACAGCAGAACCCTCTAAAATAACCAACAAGGGTATCTCTAATGGCTCATCTGCTGTCTCTGGTACTGAACCAATGACGACCAAGTCACAGGAAGGTCGTGCCGTTGGCTCCTCGGGAGGCACACTCGACCAGCAGTTGCAGTGCACCATCCAGGACTGCTGGATGCAAAAGCTGAAGGGATTTCCTCAAGGCCAAAGCCCAAAGGATGAGAGCCTTTTGAAGAGAAGAACAACCAAATGGGGGCTTTCCTAAAACATGGCTACTCCAAACCATTATTGGTTTCCCCATTGATAATAATAACTTTAACCAATTTTGGATGATTTTGGGGTGCCCCCAATTTAGGAGACCTCCAAAAAGTCCATGTCAACTGCTTTTTTGATACAGTGGTAGATTCGACAACAAGTCACTTCGAGTCACAAATGAACAAAAAAAACAATTGAAGTCAGCTGTATTTTGATTTTCTTGATGATCCTGAAAGTCAGTGAAAGCCGCGAAAGCCACGGGTTAGTACCCTCACATCGACCTGATCCTTGGAAACATCGCAATCCATGGTGGTTTCCTCCCGAAAAAAACACTGGCCATTTTCCCAATTTGGCCTGTCATATCCTGAAGAAAAATGCCCACATTTTTGTTGCCAGGGTGGTTTCAGGCTGGTACGCTTGATGCCCATTTCATCATCAAATTCAGTTGTCACCTGGGTGCTCTGGAGACCTTAGATGTTTGCATATGTTTGCTATCTTTAGGGTTTGTTTTTTTTGTATTTGGGTTTGTCTGAAAATAGTGTACCCCTACACCCAATGGTTAATGATCATTATCCCTACTAAATGGCTATAATTGGGGGTATACCCTATTTTCAGACATACCCATTTTGTAATAGTAACCAGCCATTTTTGCGGTGCCTAATTTACTAATTTTGACCCATTTCCCTGCTCTCCAAGTCTCTCCCAGGTGCTGACGCAAGGGTTGCACAACTTGGCCAAGGCCCCCTGGTCGCTGAAGACGGTCTCGCTGGTCAAGGTCTGGAAAGATTCGCCATAGCTCAGCCCCCGGTCCTGGCTGTGGACGGCATGGGTTGCTAACAATGGGGGCACCCCATGTGACCCATGTGGAAATGTGTTCAAGTGGGTTTTAAAGTTTCCAGAATCAGCGACAAAAAAAATGCTCCACGGCACCAACTCTGGCCTGGAAGCTTTTGTAAAGCTCTTGGAGATCTTCCAAGGTCTTGCCCTCGGCACAGAGTTGTCCTTGGTGAGCATAGAATGATGAGTCCTATCAAATCCTGGCCAAGTTGACAGCTGTGCAGGCTGCGTCATTGCAGCTGATTCTGTTCAGGAACATACAAACCAAATCTTCTATTCCCAGTGCCAGTCAAGAAAACACTCCCAATCTTCCAAGTACGCTCCAGTAGTAGTTCAACCTGGGAATGGAAAATTGCCCATCTCTCAAAGGATGTTGAAAACTACCCTATCATGAAAATATTGTCTTAATTAATTATATCCCCATGTTCTTTGGGTTATATGATTGTATAACCTGAATTCTTGTTGATGCTCTTTCCAGTTGATATATGTCTCCTGAATCAATCTGCAACTTTGGTTTGTTGAACCCGCAATCAATGAGTAAATCTTAGTTGTCCACATCAGATGGGATTTTCCAGGGCCTTGACTTCCAAGCATCGCCACCTCTGAAGTCGCTCCTCATCCGCCCTCTCCGGCACCACAGGGCGCACCCCACCGACGCGCGCGTGCACCGTGGCACTGCTGTCGTCGTCCACGGCGCGGCTTAGGACTTCCGTGCGCTCCGCGCTGGCGTAGCATTGCACCTTGAGAGGTGCCTCGATGACGAAGGGCAACCTTGGATGATGGAGGTGGGTTGAAAAATGGGATGGGAATCTTTCTGGAAAATGGTATGGGAAAACTGGATGCATTGTGAGTTGGGATTGAAGGGAAATGTAGTGGAAATTGAAGCGAAATCTATTGGGAAACGGTGGGAAATTTACGGAAACTTGATGTGGAGCCCGCCTGTATCATCATACAAAAGTGGAGTCTAGCTGGATTTGGGGAAAGCATGGGTTTGATCATCCAAATTGGTACGGGTCGGCATTTGACAGCCTTGACCATCCATTTTGGGAGATGCCCAATTTCAACGCGTACAAGAATGGGTAATAGCGACATATAGCGACTAGAAATCGTGCGCAAAGAACCCAAACATTCTCAAACATTTGGTCAAGGTGAGCAGTGAACCATCCACTCTTGTTCAATATGTCTGTGTCAGCGCTATCGGGCCAGCGCCGGGACGTGTTCCTGCATGTTCCGGCGACCTTTGATTTGTTCATATTTTGTAAGACCCTGTAAAACCCACCCAAACCACCATCGACTTCCCCAGTCCCCGCCATGCTCCACGGCACTCAAAGATCGTATCCGTCAGCTCCAATGCGGACGCGTTCTCATTGAGTCGAAGATGCGCTGCCGTGGCCAGCAACAGATGGCTGGCACCCGGCAGCACGACACGATCGAAGACTTGATGTTGTTTGAAAAGTTGCATCCTCAGGTTGATCAGCCAGCTGCCACCCTCATTGTGATTGCTGCGGAACGGCCATGCCACTGCCGTTCCGACTTGGGAGCGAATTGTTTTCAGAACCTCACCCTGCCTGAAGTCCATTTCAAATCAATTCAACACATATCGACCGACCAATACCAAAGCCTCAACTTCCCTTCAAAACAAGAGTGACTTTCTGCCAGGAGGCTGTTGACCTTCCAAGTCGGTCACCGCCTCTGAAGCCTCGAACAAATTCTCCGAGATCTCTCGGCCCAGCCTGAAATTCCGAGGACCAGCTGGGTTTTGTTTCACGGGATGCCGGAAAATGATGGAGACCCACCAAAAATGGCTGGAAAACAAACAAAAATTGGGAACAAATGATGGCAGACCAGCAAACATTAAGGGTGCACTGCAGCAAAAATGGGTCTGGCTGTGTCTGGCTGACAACTTCCAGTGTCCAAAAGAACCGCAATAAACATTCTCACGTTTGCTATCGCGACCAAGCAACAAAGGATGCAGCAGAGGTTTTCGCCACGGCAGTGACACCGGGGACACCAACTCCGAAGGTTGGGAGAAGGCGACGCCCAGTGCACGCGAGCAGATCAAGATGCTCTCCACCTCATCACCTGCGCACGGGCGCAACTGCGGCAACCACATCTGGAAATTTGGAAAATGTCTTAGGTTTGGAGGAGGGATTTTTGTTCATGATATTTTGGGACCCACCAATCATACATACAAATACAATCAATTCTGATCATGGACTTCAACGAGCCAAGGCACGCCCTGGTTGCAAGCTTGCCAGCCACTGGAGCTCCTTCGCCTGCCAGTGCAAAGTCACAGCTCAAGTGTGAAGGATGTGAACGTAGCAAAAACGCTAATCGAAGCTTTCTCGCATTGACAGATCTTGACTTCATTCAATTTGGGGTTCCATCTCAAAATTGGGTACCACCCCAGCGCACCCAGCTGCCTGTGGCAGCCCCCAACACTTTGGAACAGCCCCACTCACCTCATCAGCCACACAGCGTCGGCCCATCCTTAGCTGGTCAGCGGTCTGCAGCCATGTGCATCACCAGGAGTCCCCATGATTCAGATTTTATGATTTGGGCATCAAAAACCTTGCGATGTTCATCTGCCTCATTCGAGCATCATTTTGTGAGTGTCTTTGTTTTGTTCCACACATTCCAGGTGAATGGGTTTGTCTACAAATAGGCTACCTGGCTACCATCCACTGGTTTATCACCATTTTCCCAATTGAACAGCCATAAAAAAAGCTGGGGTCCCAGATCGGCCAACCAAGGCGCTTCACCAAAATAGGCTGTGGCCCAATCTCCACAAAGGCATCACATCCAAGCTGTCGGAGTTGTGCCATGCCTGGTGCGGATTGCCCCGGGGCAATCTGGTCGCAGGAAGCCATGGATTTGGCCCCTCAACACGTCTTCAAAAGGATGTGCTCTCCTTCCAAACACGAGATGATCTCCGATATCTTGAGAATCCCAAATGTATGTGTATATATATAATATATAAATATAATATATATATATATAGTTATAATATAATTATAATATAAACATAAATATAAACATAAATAGGGTCAAAGTTTGAGAATTTCTGGCCCACATAGCCACGTTTGGTTCATGTTTTTGGTATTCAATGACTTGACACCCAGCTGACCTTGAAGGAAGAGCATGGGCTTGGCTTCATCGTGGCCTTGGTTCAGCCCAGAATCCAAGCGGAATCCTAATCCTGGATTTCCATGGATTTCCAAAGGAATGGTGGGAGGGTGTCTCGGATGGTGGTATAAGTGTGGTTCCAATAGAACTGTTGCATGTTGCAGGTTCCAAAGTTAGAGACTCGCAGCCGGTTCAATTGGTACTGGGGCTCTGACCCAACCAGTAGCCTGGATCGCAGAGTTCCTGTTGACAGATTCAGCAGCTAGTGTCCCAAAGTTCGAGATGCACAAAGACACCCGAGCAATGTCGATTTGCGGAACCAATATCTTCAGTAAATTCCCAAATATAGAACTGTCTATTGTCAAATAATGTTCACTTAGCCATGCTCTGCCATCTTTGGACTTTCACCACCCGCAAGGAGTTAAAAAATCTCGCAGCAAAAACGAAAAAAGTCATCTGAGGTCCAACCTCCTCCCAGCCCGGTCCTTGGAGACCTCCTTGCCCAACAAACTGGAGATGAAGTGCAGCTCACTTCTGGGAGGCTTAAGCCTCCAATTTGGAGCTCAGGGAGCACAAAATGGTGGTAACAAAAAGCCTGTGGACGGGGCCTAAGATTTGGCTGCACAATTTTCAGTCGATGTGTAGACCCCAGAGATGTGAGCGGAGTATCCAAACGTGACCCAACCACCACGAATTTCATGACTATTCCTGTTCATGGAAAAGACTGTGACAATCTCCAATTTAACTGTTGGCATATGGCATTCAGAAGTTTCTCTTGCAATCCTCGCAAAGAATCTGTTCAAGCAACTCGCACGTCTCTGCTGCTTTGCGTAGTTCAGGAAGGATAGGAGCCATCAGGGGCGAGTGCATGGCGTGTGGAATGCTCAACCTTCGCAAGGCGGCCCTGGTGAACTTCGCAAAACTTTGGGAATGTGAACCACAATTCAATGGTTGAGCCTTCAATGGGAACCACAATTTCGGTCAATTCAATGGGAATGCGGCCAACTGTTTTTGTTGACCGAATTCCAATGGGGTCTGCCTCCACAATATTCAAGAAATTCAGCACTTGCAGTGCACAGTGCACAACGAACACTGGAGGAATATGGCCGTGTGGCGGGTCAATCCCTGTGCCAATGGACTGCCAAGTCACACTTTGCTTTGAGCACCCACCTTGTCGCAAACCAGCCTCAGGGGTGCTGCTTTGCTGCGGTTTCCATGAAACAAAAACATGCCAGGAGTGTAGCAAAAGTAAAGGAAAAAGCAAACTTTATATATATATATATATTACATGAGATATTACATGAGATATTACATGAGATATTACATGAGATATTACATGAGATATTACTAATACAGCATATCATGTGGTTGGGAAATTCTCAGCAGTTCCTTAGCTCCCCATTTAACAGGCAATATGGATACCAATACAATCCCCTCCATTCACAGGATAGCTAAAGTTTGCGAAAGTGTATTGCCCCAGGTACCACTAGGCCAGCGAGCAAAATGCTGCACCTCGAGATTATCAAATGCAACTATGACTGAATCATACAAAATCTATTTATCTGGGAAAGAGGTTTGCAACACCAATTTTGATTGAGCATGGAAATGCTTCACGAAAATTGAAATGTTTCAACATCAATTAACATAACAACATAACTATAATTACAACTTATTCGCTATGATTCTGCCATGGTGTGATATTGAGCACTAAAAAAGACATCAATCCACTATCGCTATGATCCATCAATGGCGCCATGTGTCGTCAATCAGATGCTTCAACGACGGGCATCCCGGCTTCACGGCAGCCTTGTGACCCGAGACCACGGTCTGAGCTGGGCCATTGATGGCCTTGGATGGGATCATGGATGGCTCTAATAAGTGGGGCTTATGCTTAGTTCTGACTATACATAGATGGGGTTACAAATCAACTTATTATAAGTGCGGCACAATGTGGGTGTAATGGAGGTGTTTAATGGGAAAATGTTGAGTTTGTATATCCCGAGATGTGTATTCATAATGGAAATTTACAATAGGAATATACAACGATTGGATGGGTTAGTCACAAAAGTGATCAGTTTATACATTAAATTTAGCCCCAGGCATTGGTGATGATAAGGATCTAATGCTGGGATCATATGCAAAAATTGGGGGGTGTAAAACCAACCAGAATTGGAATGGAATGATTTGGTGATAATATGGCTGTAAAATGGAGCGGGATGAGAATATAATGGAGAGGGATATAGTCTGATATAATGACCATTAATGTGATATTATATATATATGGGCTTAAAACGACCATTAATTTATGTGCTATTATATATATATATACACTGACCATTAATGTGCTATTATATGTGTCTATATATGCATACGGATTTGGGCTTAAAACACCTGTGAAACTGTCACTGGGTCTCCCCACAGCGATGACCACACTCTGATCCTTCAGGCCCTGCAAGTCGCAGTGAAAACTGTCAACCCCTGTTTCGACCCCCCGAAATGAATGGTTCAATGCTTAGAATGACCAGGTGGTCAGCATGACTTCATCATCTAATTAGATGATATTAATATATATATATATTATATATATTAATATATATATATATACCATCTGGTTATGACTAACATAGCCATGGAAAGATCCACCCATTTTTCAGTTCGGTAAACCATCTATTTCGATTAGGGCCATGCAGTGCCATCGACTATCTGACTATCTGCCCATGGTGATGCGTTTGGGGACCCGGATTGGTGGAGGAATAGCCCAAGGTCTAAACTATTGGTGATCTGGTCACTAGTTTACTTCTTGGAAGAGCAGATTCCAAATTTGAGAGGCAGAAATTGAGAGAGCCACGATTTTTGAAAATCCTGGTAATGGCAGACACTCATTGTAGGCAGCCACTCATTGTAGGCAGTCAGCCATGGTAAATTGCCTACACTCTTTGAAAATCCTGACTCGACACCGTGCGCTCCTTCTGCACCTCATCAACCACCTGCGAGCAAGTGGCCAAGTTGCCAAGTGGGGTTGTTTTACCCAACAACTGTTGATGCCCTCCGAGAATCCAACATGGCTATGGAAAACCACAATTCTTAAGGGTAAATCATCTACCAAAGGGCCATTTTCCGTAGCTATAGATGATATGTGTATCAGATTACCTGAGGGTAATTGTCTGGAATTGGAGTGACACCCGGATCAGACTTCATGAAGCCAAGCACAAAGCACCAAGAAATGCTTGGCCAGTATTGTCGGCTGCATCCCCATGCTTTATTGCCAGTGTTCCCCATTTCTGCTGTTGTTACATGTCCCTGATTGCTGGCTTCCATAAGAGTGTTTAAAGATACCTTAAAGGCAAAAACAACTGTTTTTCTGTGCTGCATCTATCCCCAAATTCGATGTTTGATCTCGTGATAAGGACGAAGACTGTAGGACAGAGTGATCGTCCTTGCAGTCGTGACAGGGACGAAGACTCGATCAGGATTTTTCCCAGTCAAAAATTCCACAACACTTGCCGGTCCCTCCCTCATTTCACAGCCCCAACTCATGTAAATATGATATCATGGTATGTCAGTCATTCTATCCCCATAAAATCCAGAAACCATCCCCTTAAAATGGCTGGTCTTATACCCTCTGGTAAACTAACATAACTACGGAAAATCACCATTGTCAATAGGTAAATCAACTATTTGTATGGGCCATTTTCAATAGTTATGTGAGTTTACCAGAGGGTAGCCATGAACCATGAACAGAGCTCCCTGGCGCCCGGCGACCCGCCTTCTGCACTAGCTCTTGCGATGCGAAGATGGAGGCCATGGCACCGACACCTGGAGGATCTGGGGGAAAGAAATGGTGTGTGGCTACAAAAACCAACCATCAGTGCGGATATAATGGGGATATGACATGGAATAACTTTGGTTAGCGGGATGACCATATTTTTATACTTTGGGATGACTATTTTTTATGTCTCAAAATTGAGAACATGTACCCCGACATGACGAGAAAATGATGAGCACTAGATTTTGGGGCACCTTATTTTCAGATGAACTAAGGTAAAGCTACAAAATGTATCAAAATCTAAATCTTGGGGAAGAAGATTTGGATAGCTTTCGCTATACTTCTTATTTCCTTTCGAACAACCGATTTGTTGTGTTTCTTAACTGACAAACATTATGCATGATTTGGTTGCGGCTTTTTTTTCCGATGAAGAAGTCGGAGAAATTGTTGGTTTTGCCATGGAGAGAGAATATGTATGTGTATGTATATATATATATATACACAATGATTCTCCAAACTCACCAAGGTCCCCAAGAACCATTGCAGCAGTGGCTCTCCTCTCCCAGTGGCGCCTATGTCGCACTTCTGGTCGATGAGTTCGCCGCGCCTGAAAACAGGAAAGATCTAGGAACCTCAAACCAGCAATCGTCTCGATATCAAGGATTCTTTCAATGGTGGACCCCAAAATCACCCAACGTTTGCCATTCTTTATATGGAAACCAATGGTCTTGGGTCCCCAATTATCAGAAACCCCCATATTTAACCAACAAGGATTGGAGGAGATGCCCTCTGGTAGTTTCAGGGAAAATCACCCGCTTCTTAAGCCAGGTAGATCATCTACAAATGGTCAATTTTCCATGGCTGGTAGCCAACCAGCAGCCAACCTGCCTGGCCACCAAGCGCAAGCCATCCTCCAAGGACATGGTGCCCGCAACCACAGCGGCTGTGTACTCACCCACCTGGTGACCGATCCAGGCTGAAACTCAGAACGGGGACCCAAAGCCTATGGAAAAACTGTAGTAGTGTGGTAAACCCAATGCCAGAAACCATCCCCGATATCACCAAAAATGGTACTATACTGTAACCCTAGCTACAAATTTGGGTGTTTATGGCATCGGGTGAATCCCACGTTCTTCCCAAAGCCCATAACCCCGTTAAATTCATGATACAAAATGATTGTAGTAACACCCACAAAGATAGAAAAGTAAGAATCATTACAACCATACTTGACTCTATCTTTTTGCGGGTTGCTATATCTCCAGACTAATCCCCAGCAATCTTCCTATGATAACTCGTCAATAGCTCCAAGGCACACTGTGGCCCAACAGGGCAAAGGGCTTCAAGCCACGCGCTTTCCAGGTCTCCGAGAGCGCATACTCCACAGCAAAGATGGCCAGCTGCGACAGAGATGTGGACCTGGGTGCCAATCGGTTGCGGGATCACCATTGGATGGGGACGAAATGCGGATAATCCTACTATAATATATATATATATATAAAGATATAGATTATAGGGGTTGCTGTGTGCCCATATTTGATATATATGATATATGATCCCCATATTTGACACTATAATTGACAAGCGTATGGGCCATATGGGTATCAGTATCATCATCTTTCTTGTGATTTGGGTGTGTCCAAAAACGGGGAATCATTCGACCCCATGATCTGGATTTATTCATAGGACCCCACAAACAGATAGAAAGTTTACTTGTCTATACCCTTGGCCTTCTAGACTGGTGAGGTTTCTGGGTGAAGGTCAAGTGGTCCGGCAGTGCAAATGCTGTCCTTCTTCTGAGACGCTTCGATTAGTAAATCGCCAGAAATAGCATAGACCCTACCATTTGAGGATGGTTTATACCACCCATTTATGGTTGGTTTTTGGTGATGGTTTACTATTGCTTTACTAACATTAGATTGGTTGTGGCCACCCTTTTCTGCATCTCATGCGCCCCTTCAGAATCCTCAGAGCCCCCACTGGTCGTAGCGCAAGGCTGCTTCCGGTCCGTTGGCAAAGAGGATATCCCTCAGGTCCTGTGGTGTCACTGTGTCCAGCTGACCTGCGGAGGACCAAAAACCCTTGGTGTCCGGAAGATCAAACTTTGATGCCGAATGAATCTTTCTCCCCCAAGAAGTAGAAGGTGAATCTGTAAAAATTCCGGGATGTTACCAAACAAACCTCAAAGTCTAAATGAAATCCCAAGATCATTTAGGGTTTGGGCCAACTTCCCAACCATCCCAAGCATCTCGAACCCGGCCCTGGCCCTACCCCGGGCCCCGTCCCCAGTGGGCTCTAACAAGGGATGACCCTCCAGAATCTGTGCGCAGCGATCTAGGGCCGCTTTGAAATTCTCCTCAGGCAGAGCGAGGAATTCTGGGGTTGGTTGGGGAAAATCTACAGGACACCAACCATGGTTTAATCTTCATAAATGGGGTTTATTTACCCTCTGGTAAACTAACATAGCTATTGAACATTGCCATTTATAGTGGATTTTCCCATTAAAAATTGTGATTTTCCATAGTTACGTTAGTTTACCAGAGGGTAACCATTGGACCATGGTTTTTGCCAATATGAGATCCTGCATCCAATGCTGGGATTCTGGGATGAAAACAGAAGAAAATTTGGAAGGTCTTGAAGGGTCTGTTTGAAATAGGGTATAGCCACCAATTCCAAAATTAAAAGGGTAAGGTATGGTCAACTGTTGACTTGTGGTTTCAGGCGTGCTGCAAGGTATCAGGGCATCCATCTGGATGAATTGCAATTCACCAGCCTGAAAGGTTTCCCTCTAGTAAACTAACAGTTTGCTATGGAAAGATCCACCCATTTTTAATGGGTAAATCCACTATTTCTATGGCCATTTGCAATAGCTTTTTGTAGGTTTACCAGAGGGTTTGGTACTTTGGGGGTGATTCCCTGAACCCAAGAAGAATCTACCTGATGCAGATCTGCATCTTTTGTCCTCGCCCAATTGTTTGGGGGGCCAAATTATGGGAGCCGCTCCGATTTCATCCGCACCCTGCCAAGGCACATCGCATTTGTAGAGTTTCACTCCCATCTCAGGCAATTGACTGCCTTGACCTTGGCAGCTCGTGAAGCCACGGGTCTTCTTGGACCACACCGGAAAAAGTGTGTTCACCGAAGAAATCAGGGAACCATGAAAATCCGTTCTCAAAAATGATGACACCACCAGGGAGAGTTCAATGTTGACACCTCCAAGATCCCGGGACTTCCAAAAATCAAGCATGATTCAATGCCCAACCAATGTCATCCTTCAACCAGCCCCCTACCTGTGAACAAGAAGGCCACTTTGGAAGGCCACTCCGGCTCGGCCGCCTGCCAAAAAAACACGAGACTTGAATCGGTTCAGGTGGATGTGTGGAACAGTTTCTATCAAACATGGCCGGGGAAAAAGAAATATATAGATGGTTTTGGCATATTTTGGCCTATTGAAAATGGTGGTTGTTCATTGTTTTTCATATGATTTTGGCCTATTGAACATGGTGGTTGTTCATATTGCCAAGTTGGATCATACGAGGTTACACAACTTTGGCAGAAGCCACTTGGATCTGATGCGCTCAAAACGCTCGGAAGGCACCTGCGTTGGTTGGCGTGAGGACATCAGCAGCCTCAGCTGACTGGAAACGATCCGGAAAAAACAAAAAAAAAACGAGATGCTGTTCGGTCTTGGTACCAGTTCTTCGATGGGGAGTATCCCTCCATCAAGCAATTAACTAATCAAACAATCAATCAACCAATCAACCAATCAACCAATCAACCAACAAACCGACCAGCCAATCAATTTATAAGGTGCAATATCCCAATCCTGTCATTTTGGACGCCAAGATTGGTCCCCGCACGCGTGGGTATTGGTGCCGCCAAAACCAAAGGAAGACACGCCCATTGCTGGGGCCTTGCAGCTGTGCAACAAAACATCTTTCACTTCACTCGAGGTGATAACCTTCCACAACATGCCCATGGGAAGAGCTGATGCTGGTCCTTAAACAGAAAAAGGAACCTCACTGATATTGCACGGAGAGTTGACTCATACCACCTCCAGCCTCCATCTATCTGGTGGGTGATTTTTTTTTGTCCTTAGAACTATGTTTTTTTGTCGAGAGTCAAGCCCTGTAACATCTTAACGCCGATGGTAATTCAGCACAGTGATCCCCAGTTCCGCGCCTGATCTGACTTGAGTTCACGAACCTCCAGCGGCATTTCCAGCCGCGAAGAGGTCAAGTTGATGTGTGGGTTCAGTTCCTTTCGCAGAATGAAGCAACTCAGCTAGGGGCAAGGCCTATGTTTTCGGAGGTTGAAACTAAATCAACTGCTGGGAAGGGGGAGGTGGTTTGAAGTGCGGATTCCACGGTCACCTTCATCTTTTTGACACGTAAGGGACAAGCGCAGCTTGCAAAGGTGTCCTGAAAGTGAATGTTCGGTGGTACTTCATGTCGTTGTAAGCATGCTGCAACCTTGGCGGCAACGATCAAAATCCAACCCATCAGCAGCCTATCTACCAGAGCAAGCCCAAGGACTAACTACCTGAAGATTTCATATTTCTTTTCAAAACGGAGATTGGAATCGGAAACCTTTGTCTGTGCTCTTGGAAAGAACTGAAAAGCTCAGTTTGCCGGTTGTCCACTTTCGAAACGGAGATCTCTGGACATCCCACGAGAAACAGAGTGATTTGTTTGCTGGTTAACAAATATGTTCTGCAAACCCTAAGGTTGGTGGTGCCTGGTCTTCCCCTGTCAACATCTTGGGCCACAAAAACTTGTGGCCTATCCACAGATGTTTGTCGTGCCAAGCCCTGGCAAAACTCATCCCCTCAGCTCAGCAACCTTCATCAAGCCAGCAAAGCCTGGCGGGTCTGTCGAGGTTATGCAGTCCCCTGTGAAGCAAAATGCCAAGCGCTGGGCCTTCCACAAGGACTGACCCAATAACCAAACTGTGGGCGTCCCTTTTTCTCCAAGAATTCAACTCGCCGGGGAGCGCACCAGGATGCCCCCGTACCACTTCCAACTGGGTTCATTTAAAATAGAAAGATGCCACTGTAGCCTTGTTTCATCGCGGTGTTTCTAGTTTTGTTGCATACTTGTGTGGCATTTTTTTCCAGACCAAACATCTTCTTTGTCATGTCCCATCATATCCCATCATATCCCAATATATCCCCAACAAAGCAGCATCACCCCATCCATAAGTGCTAGTTCTCCATCACTGCCACTCCAAAAACAAATTCCACGGCCCTGGCAGCCCTGGTTTGCCTGCCGCACCCTCGAGATGTCCGTGGTTGGATTTCCCGGCCTCGGCGACGAGGCTTAGCCAGGCTTGAAAGGGACAACTCCATCAAACACCCATGGCGATTTGACTTTCAAACTATAGAGGCAAAAAAAATGAATGGTTTGATGGAAAGTAACATCGCCACTTCATGGAAAAAATCGAAACACTATAGAGGCAAAAAAAAATGGAAACTCTGATTTTACTATGATTTTACTATGATTTTACTATGGAAACTCTGATTTTACTATGGTTTTACCTCCAAATTGATCAGCTATTTCCTGCAGATTTTCCCGCTTCCCGGAGTGGGATCTTCCCAGTTGACCAACGCCGAGCAACGGCCAGGTACAGCGGTGGGCTGCCTCCCTCTGAACGCCTTAGAGGTGCCACCCTGCTTGTCCTTTTTGCTTGGATTCAGTGTCTGGATATAGATATAGATATATCTATCTATCTATATATACACATATGTATATATATATATCTTATATATATATATATTATATCTATATATTATCTATACATATTATATATATATGGCAACAGGCGGCCCTGTGATCTACTTGCATTTTATTCTTTAAAAAACCTTCCTTCACTTATATAGTTCAAGAACTTTAGCAGAACAGAAGTTTTGAAAGGATTGAAACGCTAAAAAAAAACAAAATGTCAGAAGTATCACATATTCCAAATATATATTTCAAATATGTCAAATATCCCAAATATTTCAAATATTTCAAATATTTCAAATATTTCAAATATTTCAAATATTTCAAATATTCCAAATATTCCAAATATTTCCAAATATTTCAAATATTCCAAATATTTCAAATATTCCAAATATTCCAAATATTTTCAAATATTCCAAATATTTCAAATATTTCAAATATTCCAAATATTTCAAATATTTCTAATATTCCAAATATTTCAAATATTTCAAATATTTCAAATATTTGAAATATTTCAAATATTTCATGTTTTTCGAGTATTTCAAATATTTCAAATATTTCAAAAATTTCAAATATTCCAAATATTTCAAATATTTCAAATATTGCAAATGTTTTCAATATTCCAAATATTTCAATTATTTTCAAATATTTCAAATATTCCCAATATTTCAATTATTTCAAATATTTCAAATATTCCAAATATGTCAAATATCCCAAATATTTCCAATATTTCAAATATTTCAAATATTTCAAATATTTCAAATATTTCAAATATTTCAAATATTGCAAATATTTCAAATATTTCAAATATTCCAAATATTACAATTATTCCAAATATTTCCAAATATTTCAAATATTTCAAATATTCCAGATATTTCAAATATTTTCAAATATTCCAAATATTTCAAATATTTCAAATATTCCAAAAATTTCAAATATTTCAAATATTCCACATATTTCTAATATTTCACATATTTCAAATATTTCAAATATTTCAAATATTGCAAAAATTTCAAATATTCCAAATATTTCAAATATTTCAAATATTTCAAATATTTCAAATATTCCAAATATTTCAAATATTTCCATTATTTTCAATATTCCAAATATTTCAATTATTTTGAAATATCTCAAATATTTCAAATATTTCAAATATTCCAAATATTTCAAATATTTCAAATATTTCAAATATTCCAAATATTTCAAAGATCCCAAATATTTCAAAAATTTCAAAGATCCCAAATATTTCAAATATTTCAAAAATTTCAAATATTTCAAATATTCCAAATATTTCAAATATTCCAAATATTTCAAATATTTCAATTATTCCAAATATTTCAAATATTTCAAATATTCCAAATATTTCAAATATTTCAAATATTTCAAATATTTCCATTATTTTCCATTTTCCAAGTATTTCAATTATTTTCAAATATCTCAAATATTTCAAATATTTCAAATATTTCAAATATTTCAAATATTCCATATATTTATTTCAAATATTTCAAATATTTCAAATATTTCAAATATTCCAAACATTTCAAATATTTCAAATATTTCAAATATTTCAAATATTCCAAATATTTCAAATATTTCAAATATTCCAAATATTTCAAATATTTCAAATATTCCACATATTTCAAATATTTCAAATATTTCAAATATTTCAAATATTTCAAATGTTTCAAAAATTTCAAAGATCCCAAATATTTCAAATATTTCAAAAATTTCAAATATTTCAAATATTCCAAATATTTCAAATATTCCAAATATTTCAAATATTCCAAATATTTCAAATATTTCAATTATTCCAAATATTTCAAATATTTCAAATATTCCAAATATTTCAAATATTTCAAATATTGCAAATGTTTTCAATATTCCAAATATTTCAATTATTTTCAAATATTTCAAATATTTCAAATATTCCCAATATTTCAAATATTTCAAATATTTCAAATATTCCAAATATGTCAAATATCCCAAATATTTCCAATATTCCAAATATTTCAAATATTTCAAATATTCCAAATGTCATTTATTATTTTATTTATATTTAGTTTATAGTTTATTTATTTATTATATATACATTTAGTATTTATTTATATATATATATTGATTTAGCATATTTTCAATATATAAAATATATTATATATTTAATTTCGAATCTTTACTTAAATATATATATATTATTTACAATATGTATTTTTTAAACTAATATATAATATATATATATTATATTATTTAAAAATAATATTTATATATCTATATATTATATATATATAAATTTTATATATATATTTTTATTATTATCAAAACTATAAATTTTATATATATATAATATAATTTTTATATTTTATTTTATATATTATATATTATATATTATATATATTATATATATTATATATATTCTATATATTATATATATTAAATATATTATATATTATATATATAATATTATATATAATATATATATATAATATATAATATATATATTATATATATATTATATATATTAAATATATTTTTTATATATTATATATATATTCTATATATTATATATTATATATATATTATATTATATATATTATATTTTATATACTATATTATATATATTATATTTTCAAAAATATATATTAATTAAAATATATATTAAATATATTTTCTTGAAATATTATATATATTTAGTATATTAAATATATTATTTATATTATATATATTATATATATTATACTATTTTTTTATATTTTATATATATTATATATATTATATGTATTATATATATTATATATATTATATACATTGTAAAAATTGTATATATTATATATATTATATTTAATCTACATTATGTATTTTGAATATATTATTTATTTATTCATTACTTATATTTTTATCTTTTTAATATTTTATATATATTATATTTTATATAATTTATATATTATAAAACATTTACAAATTATATATTATATGTTTTTTATATAGTATATATATTTTTTATATTTTTATTTATTTTTTACATATTGTATATTTTAGATACGGTATTATATTTTATATATTGTAAAAATTATTATTATTGTATATATTTTTATTCTTTTTATTTTTTATACATTATATCTGTATATTTTATTATATATATTTTTTTATTTATATATTATATATATAATATTTATATATATATTTCATTTTCAAATATATATATATAAATATATATATACATAATATTATATTATATAATATATAAATTATATATATTTTTATATATTAAATATTTTATATACAGTATATATATTTATATACATATATATATATATTGTTTATATTTATTTATTTTTTATTTTTTTCATTTTTTCAATCTTTTAAATATATATGCATATATATATATGTTTTTTTACCTGTATATTATATTTTTAATATTCGTTTACATAACACATATAATTTACAAAATATATGTGTTTAAATTATTGATAATTATGTTCATTTCAAAATTTGTAATATATATTTATGTATAAAAGATTTAATTTGTTTAATTAATATGATATAGTTGTGCTTTTTACAATATATATAATAAATAAAAAATATAATATGTATTATTAATATGATATATTTTTATTATATATAATACATATATAGTATATAATTATATATATAATCTAATATATTCTAACTATAAATTATATATTTAATATAGCATGTATATAACATGTATGATTTATATTTTATCTTTATAATATTAAATATTAAATATATATATATATTATATATATATATAAATATTATAACTTAATATATATATATATGTTTTTCATTTAATATATAATATGAAATATTTTATTTATATATATTATGATATATATAGAATTTGTAATATATAATATTATCTGTTTATTACTTTAAAATATAACATATATTTGTACTATATATCGTATATAAATAGGGGCGTCTGTTGTCATTTATGTTTCACGATATTTACATAGACTGCAGCTGAACACACTATTCGAATAGCGTTTTCATTGCGCACCAGTGTTGTGCTTTAGCTACTTTTGTAGTCAGTCTTTGGGTCACATGCAGAAACAAACATCTGTTGGCATTCTGTTCCATTTTACTATTCTCATGAACTAGGACTGAGTTTTAAGGAAGTCAAAGAAACATTGTCTGATGCCCAACTCATGAAATGCTTTAAGCTGATTAGATGCATAGGTGGACAGATGGTGTTGCCACTCCATTATCCACACATGAAAGTCAGCAGGTTTTGTTTTTGGTTTCGTTTGCTTGGCAAACACGTTCCTTGCTAGCCTGATGATACACCAGAGTTACATCGCTGCAGGAACATTTCTTCTGACCTAAGCCTAGCCCTTTGCATCTTTGGGTAAACCTTCGGAATGTTGTGGAGAGGCGGAACACTCCTTGCGGGCTAAGGGATGTGTGGCATACAGCCACCATGGTCTGAGTTGCTAGACCCATCCATGCTGTAACTGTGCGAAAGGCCATCTAGTACTTGAACTTTCTGCAGCTGTTTCCGTTGACTATAGCACTGTCCAGTATCTAACGCATGCACTTCAGCCTGCAGCCCTGAGGTTGCTGGACACATCGGTGGTGGAATTCTGGAACAGGCTACCTACTGTTTAGCGATCTGCGGAATTGCTTCAGTTTGATGCACAGACTTTGTTTGGATGAAACACGAGGATGTTTTGCATTCAATTCTTTGCCAGTTACTACAATGTGATATCACAGGTTTATGAATCGTTCCGCATCTTTTGCAGTTTGTCAAGAGTATAGCGCCCGTAGGTGGAGAGAGGTGTTTCTGAGTCACTGATACGGTTTCAGCATGGCTGCAAACCCGAAACAGTATGTTGAAACTATGGAAGAAGCTTACAAATATGTGAAGCAGGAGTGGGAAAGTAGTGGCTGGAGGTTGCTTGGCAACCGTGGCTTTTGCGCGGTGCATGTGCAATCCGTGCGGAAGTCGCATCCCCCTTTGCCTATTTTCATGAATGCACGTTGCAATTTGATGCAGCTTTCAATCAGCTGGCGTGGTAGTTTGCATTGACTGTGTTGTTGGGTGCAGAGCAACAAGAAAGCTCCACAGCTGTACAGAATTGACTGGAGTGGCAGCAATGCGATCGGGGACAAATCAATTTCGAGTTGATAAAGTTGTCTGCTGCCAGTTTTCCTATTCGTGTGCAAGCTGATTAGATGCATTGGTGGACAGATGGTGTTGCCACTCCATTATCCACACATGAAAGTCAGCAGGTTTCGTTTTTGGTTTCGTTTGCTTGGCAAACACGTTCCTTGCTAGCCTGATGATACACCAGAGTTACATCGCTGCAGGAACATTTCTTCTGACCTAATCCTAGCCCTTTGCATCTTTGGGTAAACCTTCGGAATGTTGTGGAGAAACATTGAAAAATAGATTAAATGTCCTAGCCTTTCTTGAAAGGGATAGCTTTTTCTGACAGGACTGCGTTCCCAGCTGCTCAAGAATATCGCCATATTCGGAGCAGGCACACTTGGGGCCAGGGAAGGGATGGTGTGCAGCATGTTCATTCGCAGTCGCAGTTTTTTGCACTGTCTTGCAGCATTCGCTTGTCTTAACTTTCTGGCTAAGCTTCCGCTGAACTAACACATGCTGTGGCTTTTATTTCTCGAGCAGCAAACGGTTGCCAGTTCCCCATCAGATTAGACCATGAGCGTTACCTTTGCGGGTGGACGCAGGGGCTGGGCAACAACAATCCAGTGTCAGCTGTGCAAGAAATATGAGCATGAGCACGCCAGCCACTTTGCATACTTGAGTGCTGAGAAGTCCGATGTTTGGGAATTCGCTTCCCTCCGGGATGCTGACATCGAGGTGCTCATGGCCAGGATTGAGGCAGAAGAGACCGCAAAGGCCTCAGGCGCAGAGTTGGATCTGACTGAGGTGGAGAAGGTGAAATGTCGACGCAGGTTGGGGCAAAAGGAAGTGGTCCAGGCATGCTTCAAGTGCTGTGGACTGAAGTTGCACAACAATGAGTTTGCATTCGCCAAGATGGCAAATGGTGCCTGCATCGAGCCGTCAGTGCCGAACAACCAGTTCAAAAAGCTTAGCAACAAAACAATGAAGAGTGAGGCAAGTGAAGAATCTGTGAGAAACCTCTTGGGTCGTGTGGAAAGGACACTTGGCCAGGAAACAGCCCAGAAACTACGTGTAGACTTGACGACACTTCGGGACACCCGTGTGTCAAAGGCATCAGACTGGGTCTCGCAATTGTCGAGCACTGAAGTGAAAGCAGAGATTTTGGATTGCCAGCTTCTCTGCTCTTGTCAGGTGTGTCACCTGCTTCCTGCGCGTGCAGCCAGCTGGTATTTGCTGGAGTCGCCTCACACCAGCCGCCGCACCTGGGTTTGCGCCCGCTGTGGCCACAAATGGGGCGGGTGTGCCAGCCAGCGGATCTTGGTGGTAAAGGTCACTAGTGGAGCGCAGGCAGTTCTGTGTGAGATCCCAGCATCAGTGCCAGCTCAGCTTGAAAACCAAATGAGCCTACTGCGCTTGGTGCATGTGGCCCGCAAGTTGAAGCCCGGAGAGCCATCGGCTGAGGACATTCTGGCAGTCATCGGAGAGCTGGCAGCAGTGTCAGAAACACGGATGAAAGCTTACTCGGTCATGTTCCAGCAAAAGGCCACGTCTGACTACCAGGAGCGCTTTCACGCTTCCAAGCTCCTTTGTGAGCATGAAACTTTGTCTCTGCGAGGGCCAGGGCAAATGTTTCAGGCTTTGGAAGTGCCTCCCGAGCTCCCCCGAATTGATCTCGCAGCTCTGCAACAGATCATCCACCTTGCTGCGTCCACCTTGGACTTGGAAGTGGTCCGCCAGCATGAAGATGTGGGCAAAGAGAAGAAGAGGGCCTTGAACGCATTGGTCCATGATAGCAGTGCTGCGCTGAAGCGCTTCAACAGTAAAGAGGGCTGATAGCAGATGCATGGCGCTAAGATGATCCTGAAGGGAGCCTCTCCCGGGTGAATCTTTGTGTCGTGTGACAATTTCAAGTTTCAACTTACCCTGAAAAAATCTTTGTCCTTGAATGATTTTTCCTCACATAGCCCATTCTAGCATGAATATAAGTCAGATGGCTGTGGTCGAAGATTTTGGGAAAGGCTTTCAGGCCACTGGGCTCTTTGAAGTTTGACACTGCTGTGCCAAAGGGGAGCCTCAACTCTCCGCCTAAGGTCTGAGCAAGAAAAAATCATTCCGTCTGCTTCGCATTTGAAACGAATTGCTTTGCAATGCGCTAGCGCCAAGGCTTAAGAGCAATTCTTCTCCATTCAGCGTTGCCTGTCTAGGCCAGCTGCGTTCACCACAGCAGCCCTCTTCAGGCTAGGCAGCTTTTGTCAGCAAATGTTGGCTGAAGGTATGTCCACTTGCTTGTGTGACCAACTTATTACCACATCAATCCATGCAACTGCCAGTGCCAGGCCCACAAAAACGGCCATCTCCAGGCTGGGCAATTGGTGTCAGACAATGGTGGTTGAAGGTATTTTCAATCGTGCGTGCAAAAAATGTCTTGTAGCATCAATCCGATGCATTCCAGCATTTCCATGGTAGATCACAGAGGTGCCTCTTGGCATATATATATATATTATATCTAGTGATATGTAGTATCTATATATAATATAAATAACATCTGTACTGTCCGTACAATATGTGCTTCAACTAATTTCATTGTTGAGATTTATTGACCCCGTATGTGGGTCATTCCCCTCGTAGTCAGCATGCATGCTGAGGCCCTTTGAGGTTGCTACATGTTGCTACAATGTGTCCATGCATGGTTGTGATATGGCTATGGATCAATACCTATACATACCATTTTTAGGGGGATGAACATCCATTTACCAGCTATTTTGATGTTCACCAGGGGTACAAGGTTTTGACACACTGCCATATCACAGTATTATTACCATTTCTATCCGTTCTCGCCTATACAATGATCAATGCTTGGTGTCTCCCTCTTGCAGTGGCCGGAAAATAGATTGGATGCGCCTGCCTTTGGAAACATCATCATCATCATCATCATCATCATCATCATCATCACCACCGTATCTTCATTTTCCAGCAGCTTTCCACATCGTCCTGTTCCCCCCCGAAACAGGCTTCATCTGGGTGTCTAAAAGTGAGGTATACCTGGTATACCTCCAAGAAAATGTACTTGAATAGGAAACACGATGATTTTTACCGGGATTTGGGGTACCCTATTTCAGACAAAGCCATCTTGCAGCCATAGCACCCAAGGGCAGCTTTGATGGCTCCAACCTCAATGGGATCGCCCAGGGCAGTGCCTGTACCATGGCCTCAGCTGCTGGGTCTGCAACATGGTACCCATTGGTTATTAAACAGCTTGCAAACTGGAAAATCGCCATTTCTAATAGGTAAATATAGGTAAATCATCCACAAATGGACCATTTTCCATGTTAAATCACACCAGGGCAAAAAATTGGTGTCTTCACCCGTGGACGTCCAAAAACAGGGATCACACCGTCACGGCCTCAGTCTGGGACATTCCAGAGCATTCAATGCACTGGCCGCCACATGCGCCTCCCGCAGAGCCATCACCAGCAGCTCTTCCTGGCTTGGTCCTTAGTGAGTTTCAGTAGGGACGTCCCAACCATGTGGGCCTTGTGAACCAACCGTGTTGATACCACCATATATGGTCGATACTCAGAAGAAATCTTGAGAAATCATGAGAAATCCATGGGGCAGATCCAATTGATAGGATTATCCCATTGGGACTCTTATGGATCAGAACTGGGTACTCTTTCTCAAAAAGACCACAACAGGGGTTGCAAAGTTTGAGCCATTCCCACATCATTTCATCTATTGAAGACCTTCAAAAAACCAGCCAACTGATGTCCCACTGATATGGGGGGGACAGTATATGGTTTTGCAGGCTACTAAATCCCAATAATTAATTTGGTAAACCCCGATTTCAGTGTCATAAACCTCCAATTTCGAAGGGCTTTTGCCACCGTCTTCTGGTGGCCTTGGGTTTACCACATATTCATTGGGTTTATGCAGGAATGTTGTAGCAAGCGGCCGTTGGGTGCAGTGAGGGTGGCACTCTTGCCATCCTGATTCATAACCTCAACCGCTGCGGCCACGTTTTGTGATTATTGGGTTTACCTCGTCAGGATGTGCATAGGTATAGAAAACCAAAAATGGTGGGATAGAACCTCCCAACCATGTGGATATGATGGGTTATACAATATACGTATAGATATATAGACCCTACCAAAAGAAATGGTAGGATGTTCCGACACTTGTTAAGAATGTTCTGACCCCAAAGAGTACGATTTGACCCGAAATGGAGCTTTTATCCCCAACTCAAAATTCTGATGGCAATAATGATGACCAAAAGGAAAAATGGTGGTTTGTTCCCCTCGAAAAAATTGGACAACTCGACCATCTTCATGGAATCCAGAGCCCGAAATCTGCAGCCGTGGAGCCACTGCACGCACCTGGACTAAGATGGGGATGGGGGTCCCATGGGTTAGTGGGATCCTTTGCAGCGAAGATGTCAAGCCTAAAAAAGGGACCCACCTCAAATCCCCCCCAAGATCTCCAATCGTTATTTGGGCTTACAAAACCCAGGTACCTAAATGATTTTGCCTATGATTCTATTGTACTCAAATGCTGGTTTTCCAGTGCGCAAACTGTAACACCTTGCCAGAGGGTAGTCACCATTCTTCATGGTTATATCCCATTACACTCCCATGATATCCCTATTTTGCCTCACTGGATCCATCCCAGCAACCCCCGCCATCTCCAGCTGCGCACCTCCGCAATCCGCAGGCAACGGCCTTCCTCGGCGCTCTCTGCAGGCTTCAGAAGGATGGCACCAGCGCCCTCGCCCCGGATGTAGCCTCGGGCCCGGGGACGCTGCTTCCCCAAGTTTGGGGTCTGGTACACCCCACAAATTGGGTTAAAGGAAGAACGGCAAACGTTCTTTGGGTTTCAAAAGCTTGTAAAATCTTGGACCCACACCCAACCTGAAACAACCAACCCACCGTGACAACAGCCCAGTGACCATCTGCAGTGGCATCAAAGGTCTTGCAGCGACCGTCGGGCGAGAGCATGCCAGCCACAGAACGCAGCACGAAACTGCTGGGTCCATGGAGCACCTGACAGCTCAAAAACCGACCATGTAGGCTCCCCAAGATGACTCTTTTCAAAACTTTGGTTGCGAAACTGAAAAAAGACTAGAATGGTTTGAAAATGATTGACGGACGCTATTTTATTGAGAAATCCAAAAGTCAGTAGTTTTTGTTGGAGCGCAGCAACCACTGGGCCGCCTCTGCTGCGTTCAACAGTGCTCCACGATGGACTGGAGCACTCACATTCTTTCGCGCCTGCAACAGGAGTCACATATTGGGTTCGTCCTCGAATGGGGATACCTCAAGATAGTCATTTTCGTGGAAAAAATGATGGTAAACCCTGCGGTTTTGGGGTACTCATTGTTCAGAGAAATCGATGTGAAGACAGAAACATGCTGGAATTCTGACCCTGATTTTGGACCGTGAAGTGTCTGCATTTTTGAGACAAAGCCTCCAACCTGCAGGTACCCACCATCCAAATAGGGAAGATAGGTCCAGATAGGTGTGTTCAAAGCTGAAAAAAACTCTCTCATCCGTTTGCCCCAAGAAATTCAAGGATTTTGGTGGATTCTCATTCAAAACAACAATCACAAGCACCAGGTGTGCTGGACTGGGAAAAAACGCTGGGCCGAAAAGAAAGTGCCACCCAGATCCCCTTCCCATCCAGTGTCAGACGGCCTCTAGGGAACCTCGGCACCGTTTAGAGAGCAACTGTTGATGCGTCCCGTCTGTTGCTGTGGAAACCTATGATTTTGAGTGTGTCTGAAAACCGGGCAACAGCCCAAAATGGCAATTTCCAGTCGGTTTGGGGTATGCCCCATTTTTTGGACAAACCCGTTCCTAACGAAGGAAGTGTTCATGTGTGGCTTGCACTAGTTGAAGCGGCAAATCGTCTCTTCATGTGGACTTGGTCAATGAACACATTCCGATTCAGCACAAGAGAGCAACAAATGCGATAGATTGCTCTTAAAACGGAACCGCTAAACTGGGACAACCCAGGCCCTTTGAGCGGGTGGTGTCATCCGGAATTAACAATACGCTGGTCAGAGTACCATGCAAATACGCAGGTCCTTGCAGTGGCAAAATCATGTGCCTTTCAATCTGATGCCCCGACCTGCAGTTGACCCCTGGCTAAGTAAGACTAAGAGGTTTCGTTGGGCATATCCTGAACTCAGGTACTCCATGCCCCATGCTATCCCCAAAAAAAAACACTGGCTGCAGGCCAGGAGACGAAGTGCAGCATGTAACGCCGACAAAGATGATGAACACGCTGTATCGATCTGCGCAACAGCTGCACTTGGGCGGTCCAGTGATTGCAGCGATGCCAATGGAAGGGCCCCAGGGTCAAATGCTCAACACTCCGTGCGAAGAAATTCTGGGAAATCCAAGGATGCGAAAACGGTCACCTTGTTTCACATCTGCCCAAAACATCAACATCTCGAAGCCAAGACCAGCTTCAATCAAACCCTGTAAAGCCACAGGTTGAGGCCGCGACCGTCATGCTCGGGCCCTTCAATCCAAAGACATAGCCTCAGAGGTCTTTGGACTTCCGGTGGCTTCAATCAGTGCCCAAAGGTTCACTCTTGCGACGTGCCCCAGATTTTCAGAGATCCCATACGGTGTACAAGCAAATATATGTTAGGGGTAGCATGCACAACCAAACATTCCAATCTAAAATTGCACCTGCTCCTTGAAACCGTGTATCCAACTGCATGTGGTTCATGCTACAAAACCTTTCTTCCTGCAACCTGTACCTGAAAACTGATGACTCTCACTTTGGGGGCTTTGATCATCATTGATCAACAATTTCATTGGAGATGAACCATCCAAAACAAAAAGTCCTTTGGATTTTAGCAAACAAAATGGCTTTGTCTGAAATTTGGGGGTATACCATCGAATCACCTTTTTGAAAAAGTTGGGGTACCCTATTTTCTGCTGAGCAGCTGATCCGATTGGCCGCAATGGCACTGGAGACACCGGGGCCAGTGTAGACACCGGCTTCCGGCACCACCAGCTGGTACCAATCCAGGTTGCTCAAGGCAGTGAAAACGCCCTCAGCGTTGGCGCATTACAGATTTTGGAGAGGAAAAATGCTGTGACGAACTAGCCTGGCAGTGATACTGATGGGAGAAATCCTGCACCACCAAAAGGATGGTTGAAACCCTATAAATAGTGGGATGTTTACCATCTATCAACTGGTGCAGGATTTCGCAACCATCCACAGTATCACTAGGAATCCTTGGGAGACTCTGGCAACTCCCATCCCACTTTCCTGTCTCACTTGATCTAGTGCCGCTTGCTGGACTTGACACATGAATTGCATCTTGTCTGCCTAGGCCACTCAGTTGGCTTCCCGTCATCCCCTTCGTTTTAAAACAAGATGGGAGCAAAAAGTTGATTGAAACCATTCCGGAGCGAGCTGCCAAAGGGTTGTTCTGTAGCAGGGCTTTGTCATAGCCTGGCGGGGGGACAAGATGATGCGGATCAAAAAAAAATTGGAGTATGGCAACCCAACATGCGGTACAAATGAAATTTGCCCGCTTGGATGTCTCTTGGGAAGGAGATCTAGACTTGTGACACGTCTCTCAGTCATCAAATGCCTACCTTCCAGCGGGCCAGCCACTTTGCAGGAAACTTTTTGTCATGGAAAGTAGCAAATGAGCCATCCACGTTGGCGTGTCACATTAACCAACTTTGCAACCCAACAGCAGTAAGGGTTCCGGGGTCGGCCCAGCAAGAAAAGTGAGCACCAGCCCCAGACTCAAACCCAACACAGTGACTGCTGTTGGGGACAAATTTACAGGACCCCCCCCCATATTCAATGGGAAAAACTGGGCTTACTATCGATTTTGCTTTATATCAAATGGATTGGTTTATATAAGTCAAATCTTAACGGGAAACCATGGTAATTGCAAGGCTTTCCTGCAAATTTTCCCTTCCACCAAGGGTGGGATTGCATCAATCCAGTGAATGGCTCTGCCCCAAAGATCGCAATCGAGAGGCCATCCCCACGCAGCGCATCGTAGGCTGCTGTCAAGAGCAGACGCTGCTGAGGATCTGTGGTTTTTGCCTCTCAAAATGCACTCAATACCGACAATTGGGTTGTCTTAACATTGGGCAATGCTCCAACTCAGTGCTGTTTTGATTTGGCAAATGATGGATTTAGACTCCACGTTTACATCCCACCATGCCAAAAAAAAAACTGATGAAAGCTTTTGCCGTTCACAGGAAAATTTGGCCCAACAGCCAACCTCCGCTGTGCCCAGATTGAAGTAGGTGACATCGAAAAGGTCCGTGCCCTGCGCATGGTTGCGAGGAAGCAGCCCCTCCGGTGTTCTATTTCAGCTGGCAATGGGGAAAACCCTATGTTGATATGAAATGGGTCAATTATACAGTACCCCGTAATTGCCAGGTTTCCAACTTTTCTATTTTGGGGCTGCTATGAATGGGAAAATAATCTAAAGATGGATATACATTTACATGAATTATTTCCATGGGCAATTTTCCAGGTCTGATTGCCGTATAGTATCATATACTATAAAATCAAATGAACGGTGAAGTGCTTGTGTGGTTGGTGGTTTCGACCCCCTGAAAAATACTAAAATCAATTGGGGATCACTGTTCCCCAGTCACCAATAGGGATGATAAACCAAAATCAAACATATCACACCACCAACCATTCTTCATCATTCTTCATCATGATGATGTCGTACGAAAAAATGATTGAAGTTGGCACCTCTCAAAATTGAGGACCTGAAAATGGACGACTCAAAATCAAACGAAGTTGATTTTACCTTTGGGTAAAGCTAAATGTTCGGGATATCCCTAATTTCTGAAGACACCCATATCCATTAAACATCACTAAACAGTCACATCTCAAAGTCCTCCCCCAAAATGGCCAGCCTCCACAAAGCCTCCGTGGCGTGCGTAGGTCTTTCCTTTCTGAGGTTCTTTGGAGTAGTAGAGTTCATGATCCCAACCTGATGCCGCACACTGGGATCAAAACGTTTGGCAAGGCGACTCTTCATCAAAGAATCTGCTTGAACCAAATTTTCATCGTCTCACAACGCTAAAAATATGCATTTTACATTTGTTGATTCTAACTGGGCTGGAAGCGGAAGCTGACTCCCAAAATGGTTCCTCTATCAAAAAAATGCTCAAATTTGGACTGTTTGGGTTCTTCGCTACGACCGAGTCTGAGTTCTACACGCGCAAGAGGCACTTGCACCACGGCATCGCGCTTCTCCGCCAGAAGGTTCCAGTAGTCCTTCAAGCCTCAGCATAGACCCACCAGCACTGGAGAGTGCCTCCCTCCCAAAAGATGCATCTGTTCTTTTATTTGATTGTATATATATATATTATATTTGATGATGATGATGATGATGATAATGATTTATCTTCTTTCATGAAATACTTGAGGGCGCTATTTTTCAACATGTTCTCCCAGAACACATGGCCCAAAATGGTCATGGATATAACACGATATGACGATATAACTATGGGATTTCCCGATGAGATTTTCCGAGTCATCCGAGCTGCTGTTGGCAGCACCTGGAAGATGACAAGAAGTCGAGACCATCACCTGCAACGAAGATGGCTAGTTTGTATAGGAAAACCATGGATAAAACCACCCTTAAAATGAGGCCGAAAAATTGAATCTTATGAAATTTTCATGGTGAAATGTCACATGTCCGAAATCCCTTTTATGCTTCACTATAATGGTCTTTCAATGTCTTTCATGCTCCATTCTTGGTGGTCAATTTTGACCCATGCCACCAGCTGCTGCCCAGTGGCATGCTGTGCAGCTGAGGCATGTTGAGCGCCAGTCACAGGCAGTTCTCCCACGGGGGTCATGGGGCGCTTGGACAGCAGAGCCAGGCCATTGTCCACCATGTCCTCGGCGATGGATTTGCGGTTTTTGCCAAAAAAAATGGGTGGTTTTTGAAGCTCCAAACCCAAAAATGGGGGGGGTGTAACATGGTCTAAGCAAGAAGACTTGAGAAAATGATGGCTTCAGCAACAAAAGAGTGGGCTTTGGGGCTTTGACCATTTGGACATCGGGCCATCGAAAATGAAAGCAAAACACAAACATGGGTCTAAGCAACGAGCATGGAGGTCGAATCGACAAACACTTACAATCTCAGTAATTAGACTTACCCTCTGGTTATGACTAACATAGCCATGGTATAGATGGCCCATAGAAATAGATGGTTTACCTATTAAAAATGGTGATTTTCCATGGCTGTGTTAAATAACCAGATGGTATCATACTAATCATAGCAATCAGAGTGGATTGGAATCAGACGGACCTAGAGGTCGTATGAAGTACGGGACCATCCAGGGCCCTGGTGATGACAACTTTGTTAGTCGAAGCTAGGGGTCCTAGGGGTCCAGGTTTTCAGAGCCAAATGGCAAGCTACATTCCCTGTGTCTTCCCTTGTAAATATGCACACCAATACCCTGATACCCTGGACAAGATTCGTCCCATGCCCCAATCTGATGTCGCTTTATAGATTGGGGCACAGTTTTAAAAAGAATCTGGCAATGCAAATCTGGTATGGATACTGGTAAGGACCTATCTATTGCACTCACCAACAAACTGCATGTGCGTTTTTTTCTACCATCTCTAAGCACAAAGTGGATCAGGTATCAAACCAGCTTTGAGTCCCTTCAAGCCTGATGAGCTCTCTGACACTGTTCAACCACTCCCATCGGACATTGCTTCTCCAGGGGACGTTGATTGTGGGATGATCAAAAAGCAATGTCGGAGGCAGCTCAATCTTCAACCGCCTGGCTCTTGCGGAAATTGAGGACTTGCTAAAAAATACATATCGTTGGGTTGATCTACCCGATAGTTGGGTTCTTACCCTCAATTTTTGGGATACGCACCCTTCTATTTTAGCCACTTTGTTGCCCAATCTCCATCCCAATCTGGTGCTCAAAATCAGGTACCAAAAAAAGCAGCCCAAATTGCCGATGGTTCAACTAAGACATGACATGTCCACCACAAATAATCAATAAGTTCTAGGATCCCCCAAAACCTCCATTCTCACTCCCATCCCACCCGCATCCCCCCGGCCTCGCGAGCTTGTTGCGCAAACGTAGGGCGCCGGCGGAATCGAAGCCCAGATCCATCAAAGGGCGGTCGGGCTTCACTGAAGCGGCTGGAACCTGTCCATGGCTTGAAACTTTTCGGTTGAATTTGGGTAAGTAGAATACCCACCATAAAGAAACTGTGATGTAGTGAAGGATATGATGGGGATGTGATAGAATAGAACCAATACGATATGATTAAACTGGGGGTGCCATTTATAATTTGGGAGCAATCACTCATTACACATTAGCGGACTAGTGGCTTGATTTACTCTGAGCTTAACTTAACATTGCCAGGAATCCACACTGGCTGACTGGGAAATCCACCTTTGCTTGATGAGACAATCAAGAAGCATTCTCAGATTATCGACATAAAATAGGATCTTTCCTGCTACGGAAACAAAGGGGGTCCCAAAAATAGGGAGCAATCAGTTGGGGGATTGGATAAATTCAATGTCAATGAAACGAACAGTTCAAGGTTCAAATCATGGTGTATATAATTCATATGTAACATGTACCTACAGTCTTCCGACCCTCTCAAGAAATCTGCGGTTTGTAGGCTTGTGATCACCCTTTCCGCCAAAATGCGGAGTTGGATTGTGGAAACTCATTGTAAGACCAGCCAGCTACTCTATCGAACTAAGACCCCCAACGCCAACCCTCCGAGTTCCGATCGGACCTGTAGAATATCGGCCACAGCATCCTGAATTCGGCCGATGAGAAGACCAAAGGATCATCCTACTCAGACTATTCGAGCGAAAGAGTCTGCAAACTGTCAGGAAGATCCTGATGATCCTGATCATTGATCATTGTCCATACCCTATGGATATATATATATATCTCTCTGGTGACTTTGAAAAGTTTGGATCAGATGGCCCAGATGGCCCAGCAGATGGCCCAGATGGCGCGATCAGCCGAGCCACTTTGGCGAGATCCACCAGAGTGCTTCGTCGCCACAGGGGCTCCAGTCTCACTTCCAGCGATGGATCGCCGCCGCCGGATTCATTGACCTGGCGGGTAGGGGTGGCAACCCCTGGGGTACCTGGTCAGAACCAGTCAGAACCAGTCTGGACCAATGGCAATCCCCCAGATCCCCCAGCAAAATAGTGGGTAAATGGATGTTCATCCCACCAGGATGTACAGTATCATAATGTTTGATCCATCTCCAGATAAGTTGATCCCAATTCAAGTGCTAGATTCTGCTAGATCAAACCTCAGGATCCCAATTGGTTGCGTGCCACATGCAGTTACAGACTGAGCAAGTCAACAAGTTGTCCAACTTCGGCTTGGCCTTGTATTTCACGAAGACACCTCCACCGTCATCTGCTTCGGAGGAGGCGCTTTTTGAGAGCTCCAAAGGTGGAACAAGGCCCTCCTGGGGGCGCAGTGATGGGATTCAGCTGTTGTTTCCTACACACTTGGGGGTGCAGTTTCACTTATAAGTGGAAAAAAATATCAGCAGTATATAACTTATATAACCATTCTTGTAGGTGTTATATCCCAACTTATGGAGGTTACTATCATAGTTATACCATGTTATACCCATGTTATACCCAAACGCAGCTTCCTTGGATGACTCTTCCATCAGCTTTTGCGCATCTGCAATAGAGGCCTGGGCCAAAGAAGACACCTCCATCCGCGACTGGTTGTTATTTCCAATACATCGAAACAAACATGTCTGGTTGGTGGTTTCAACCCCTCTGAAAAATATTAGTCAATGGGAAGGATTATCCCATATATTATGGAAAATAAAAAATGTTTGAAACCACCAACCAGATGTTCTTCCTGGTTTGGGTTGAGCTGTCCAAGCTGTGATAGAAATTAGAGTAGTTAGAACCATCAACATTAAGAGCTCGATTGTTGTGACAGAACATGCCTGGAAAAATGCCAATGAATTCAGTCTGATCCCAAAATGGCTGGTTGGCCTATCATTTCCTGGTTACTCTACAACAAGATGGAGGTTTCCTAAAATGGGAGGTACCCCCAGTTCTCCATTTGAATTGGATGTTCCACGAAATCAACCAGCCAGCTATGGAAACCCCCATGGCTATGGAAACCCGGCGCCATGCGCCCAGCCACCGAGCGCAAGATTGCAGGCTGATGGGCCGCCCCCATGCGCCGCGTTTGCTCCGCCTGACAGCGAGGTCAGCGAGGCATCAAATCAGGGGGGCCAAATGACCAGGGCATTGGTGGGTTAAAGAGGTAGAAATAATACCCTTTCTATATTAGATATGATCATACTCCAGCTGGGAAACCTCTCTAACCATGTTGCCAACCATTAACCAACAATTTTCCAGTGGTTTTATTTATCGTGTTCCACATTGAACGGCCCTTCATCGCCAAATCAGTGAATCTCTGTGAATCCCTTGGCACCTGCTGCGATGTGCGACCACTGGTGGTTGTCTCCTGAAGGTCCAACTGCTTTGGGGACACCCTGGGAGATGTGAAAACCAGGGAAACATTCCCCGGGTATCACAACAAAAAAGGGCAAACACCATTGCAACGCACATGTGGTTGCGGTCATGTTTAGCCACCATCCAAACTCAGGGTCTTCAACGATTTTCAACAACCGACTGAATCATAGCTGCAAAAGCCACACCCAATCTTTGCGGAAACAGAAAATGTGGACAATCTCCTGAAGAATTTCCCAACTTCGAAAAAATGCCAAATGTCTCCGCCATGTTTTTCCTCGAAAATGTCTTGTGTTCCATGCCCCAGGGGCCCAATGGCCCAAGGGCCCAGGGGCCCATCGAAGCCTCCTCTTCTTCGGAGGAATCCGCTCCCGTGAAGGTGACTGTCTGTGGGGCCCAGAGATGCTGGAAGCGCAGCAAGGTCCTGGGTCAAACACGTAGCAAGCCCCAAAAAGGATGGACGTTGGTCAAATCTTACCAGAACAGTGGCAAATTATATAGAGTTCCGTTGGGGATTCCTATCTAACCGAATCTAACCATCCCGAATGGGTGTCAATCAGTTTGAGCCACAAGTTGGTTGGGGATCGGGATCACTAAGGATTGCAGAGTTTGGCAAATTCATCTGGAACCCAAGTATGAGGTGTCAGCCACAAAAGGAAGACTCGAATTGGGGTTGTTTAATTAGGGAGAAAAAAAACGACTTTGATGCTTTATCATCATTTCCCCATATTAAAATGCCTATTGGGGGGTCCATCCCACCGTCAATCTCCCATTTGCAGACACACACCCGTCAATGACACCAGCGGCCAAGTGTCAAGTTAATGTGCAATGCCAACACCGACCTGGAATGAAGCGACTGTCACATTCCATCAACATCAGCTATGAGTCAAAGCCAATGAAGAATCCCCTGGTGAACATCAAAATCGCTGAGATTTACGGATGTTCATCCCCCTAAAAAAAATAATATATATATAAGATATAATATATAAGATATAATATATAATATATAATATATAATATATAATATAATATAACATAACATAACGGCCAACATCGGATTCGGAAACTTCAGCGGCGGATTCGGAAACTCCCAGGCCCTCGGATTCGGAAACTTGCCGTCCCTCGGATTCGGAAACTTCAGCGTCGGATTCGGAAACTTCCAGGCCCTCGGATTCGGAAACTCGCTACCCCTCGGATTCGGAAACTCGCTACCCCTCGGATTCGGAAACTCCCAGGCCCTCGGATTCGGAAACTTCGAGGCCCTCGGATTCGGAAACTCCCAGGCCCTCGGATTCGGAAACTTGCCGATCCCCCCGGATTCGGAAACTTCAGCGTCGGATTCGGAAACTTCCAGGCCCTCGGATTCGGAAACTTGCCTATCCCCCCGGATTCGGAAACTTCAACGTCGGATTCGGAAAATACTAGGGGCTCGGATTCGGAAACTTGCCTTTCGCCCCGGATTCGGAAACTTCAACGTCGGATTCGGAAACTTCCAGGCCCTCGGATTCGGAAACTTTGTCACCGACAAACTGCATCATCGATAAATATTAGTATATATTGGATTCTTGGATGATCAACCGTTCGGATGGCATCAATAAGTATACATCAAAGGGAGGGATTTGCATTGAGGAATACCATTGCATGTACGGCTTTGGGGGGGAAGTTTAGAAAATGACTTGCAATCGCGAAAAGAACTCTATGAAAGGGAGGGATTTGCATTCAGGAATACCATTGCATGTAGGGCTTTGGGGGGGGAAGTTTAAGAAATGACTTGCAATCGTGAAAAGAACTCTATGAAAGGGAAGGATGTGCATTCAGGACTACTAGTGCATGTAGGGTTTTGGGGGGTGGAAGTTTAGAAAATGACTTGCAATCGTGAAAAGAACTCTATGAACGGGAAGGATGTGCATTCAGGAATACCATTGCATGTAGGGCTTTGGGGGGGGAAGTTTAAGAAAGGACTTGCAATCGTGACAAGAACTCTTTGAAAGGGAAGGATTTGCATTCAGGACTACTATTGCATGTAGGGTTTTGGGGGGGGAAGTTTAGAAAATGACTTGCAATCGTGAAAAGAACTCTATGAAAGGGAAGGATGTGCATTCAGGAATACCATTGCATGTAGGGCTTTGGGGGGGGAAGTTTAAGAAATGACTTGCAATCGTGAAAAGAACTCTATGAAAGGGAAGGATGTGCATTCAGGACTACTAGTGCATGTAGGGTTTTGGGGGGGGGAAGTTTAGAAAATGACTTGCAATCGTGAAAAGAACTCTATGAACGGGAAGGATGTGCATTCAGGAATACCATTGCATGTAGGGCTTTGGGGGGGGAAGTTTAAGAAAGGACTTGCAATCGTGACAAGAACTCTTTGAAAGGGAAGGATTTGCATTCAGGACTACTATTGCATGTAGGGTTTTGGGGGGGGAAGTTTAGAAAATGACTTGCAATCGTGAAAAGAACTCTATGAAAGGGAAGGATGTGCATTCAGGAATACCATTGCATGAAGGGCTTTGGGGGGGAAGTTTAAGAAAGGACTTGCAATCGTGGCAAGAACTCTTTGAAAGGGAAGGATTTGCATTCAGGACTACTATTGCATGTAGGGTTTTGGGGGGGAAGTTTAGAAAATGACTTGCAATCGTGAAAAGAACTCTATGAACGGGAAGGATGTGCATTCAGGAATACCATTGCATGTAGGGTTTTGGGGGGGGAAGTTTAAGAAAGGACTTGCAATCGTGACAAGAACTCTATCAAAGGGAGGGATTTGCATTGAGGACTGATATTGCATGTAGGGTTTTGGGGGGGGAAGTTTAGAAAATGATTTGCAATCGTGACAAGAACTCTATGAACGGGAAGGGTGTGCATTCAGGAATACCATTGCATGTAGGGCTTTAGGGGGGGAAGTTTAGAAAATGACTTGCAATCGTGACAAGAACTCTATCAAAGGGAGGGATTTGCATTGAGGACTGATATTGCATGTAGGGTTTTGGGGGGGGAAGTTTAGAAAATGATTTGCAATCGTGACAAGAACTCTATGAAAGGGAAGGGTGTGCATTCAGGAATACCATTGCATGTAGGGCTTTAGGGGGGGGAAGTTTAGAAAATGACTTGCAATCGTGACAAGAACTCTATGGAAGGGAGGGATTTGCATTGAGGAATACCATTGCATGTAGGGCTTTGGGGGGGAAGTTTAAGAAAGGAATTGCAATCGTGACAAGAACTCTATGAAAGGGAGGGATTTGCATTGAGGAATACCATTGCATGTAGGGCTTTGGGGGAGGAAGTTTGGAAAATGATTAGCAATCGCGAAAAGAACTCTATGAAAGGGAAGGGTGTGCATTCAGGAATACCATTGCATGTAGGGCTTTGGGGGGGGAAGTTTAAGAAAGGACTTGCAATCGTGACAAGAACTCTATGAAAGGGAAGGATGTGCATTCAGGACTACTATTGCATGTAGGGTTTTGGGGGGGGAAGTTTAGAAAATGACTTGCAATCGTGAAAAGAACTCTATGAAAGGGAAGGATGTGCATTCAGGAATACCATTGCATGTAGGGCTTTGGGGGGGAAGTTTAGAAAAGGATGATTTGCAATCGTGACAAGAACTCTATGGAGTTTCTGAATTGGGAGACGTATAGAGTTTCTGCATCGGGAGAGAGTGGAGTTGCTGAATCGGGTCGGCCCGGAGTTTCTGAATCGGGAGAGAGTGGAGTTTCTGAATCGGGGCAACCTGGAGTTTCTGAATCGGGTCGATCCGGAGTTTCTGAATCGGGGCAACCCGGAGTTTCTGAATCGGGACACGCTGGAGTTTCTGAATCGGGGCAACCCGGAGTTTCTGAATCGGGGCAACCCGGAGTTTCTGAATCGGGGCACCGTGGAGTTTCTGAATCGGGTCGATCCGGAGTTTCTGAATCGGGGCAACCCGGAGTTTCTGAATCGGGACACGCTGGAGTTTCTGAATCGGGGCAACCCGGAGTTTCTGAATCGGGGCAACCTGGAGTTTCTGAATCGGGGCAACCCGGAGTTTCTGAATCGGGGCACCCTGGAGTTTCTGAATCGGGGCAACCTGGAGTTTCTGAATCGGGGCAACCTGGAGTTTCTGAATCGGGGCAACCTGGAGTTTCTGAATCGGGGCAACGCGGAGTTTCTGAATCGGGGCAACCTGGAATTTCTGAATCGGGGCAACCTGGAGTTTCTGAATCGGGGCAACCTGGAGTTTCTGAATCGGGGCAACCTGGAGTTTCTGAATCGTGACAACCAGGAGTTTCTTGAATCCTTGGAGTTTCTGAATCGGAGTTTCTGAATCGGGGAAAGTTTCTGAATCGCAATATATCCTAACATAACATAACATAACATAACATAATATAATATAATATAATATAATATATTATATATAGTATAATATATATATATATATTGTATATATATATATAATATATATAGTATATAGGTATCGGTTGCAACTCAGAGCCATCCAGAGATGGCGATCAACTCCATAGCCAACTGATCAATCGAAATCCTGAAACTTTCTAGATAGGCTAATTTTTTTTATCAGATTTTTATGTCATTAATTGTCATTAAACCATCAGAGGTTTTTGTTTGGTGATTGGTAACAGACCTACCCTCCAATCACCAAACATGGCTGCCCACAAAATCCTCCATTTATGTCATGAATTAATTGTCCGATGACTCATCCCCAATAAAAGATGGCAAAGGGGTGCAGTCGGGGCCTGAAGCATCCAGCAATGACCCAGCCCAAAAATAGTTCCTCGCCCCACAGCAGTGTGACCTCAACAGCAGTTTTCCGCAGCTTTAGTGGCCGTTGGTATATTAGTTCCCAAGCCTGTGTGAGGTTGGTATAGGAGTTATAGGTATACATAAAATGTTCCGCTTCCAAAAATGTAATATAGTATATAGTTTCGGGATCGTTTCAAACTTCAAAAACACAGCGCAGTCGAAGTCCAAGCATATAGGTTTCACTTGTCGTCATGTGTAGAACTGCTCCACAGTTGCATCTCGCCCCTGGCTCAACCTCCCGCCAGTTACTCGTGCCATGGGACGAAGGCAGGAATTGCGTGGCCCAGCGATAAATTCCACCAGGAATCCACATCTGCCTGGAACATCACCACCTGATGGCGAAGCTTGGGTCGACTTTGTCGGCCTAAATAGATGTTATCTAGTTGGTTCCATGCATCTATGATCATGGTATCTTACTCCTATACATACGTGGAGATGCATAAATGAATAGTTATCATGCATTCTATCACAGAAATTTATGTGTATATGTGTGATGAGTATTGATGTATATTGATGTGTATATATAAATTATACATATATATATAATAATATTTATATTATATATATATATACTATACATATATATATATATTATATTGATATTGATATGGATGAATGCCAAAATTTTGTGTCCAGTCGCACCGCACCTGATCTTGGAGGAGATCGGAGACGTCCACTGATCGGGTCGCCTGACGGCGAAACAACACAAAGCCGGCACGCCGTGCCTGCTTGGAATAGGCGAGTCGTGATGGGGATTTGGGAGCGTCCTCCAATGGTCCCCATAAGTCAAACAGTGGAAAAATATGGAAAAACTTGGGAGACATCGATGGCACCTTCATAAAATGGGTGGGAAAACGATGGCACACATTCCAAAGCTAAGACATCTTCCATTTTTGAAGCAATTCTTGGTATCAGCCAGCTGCCACCTCGATCATCTTGGGCGTCTTGTGCATCAAGAACCAGCCAATGTACCGATAGAGCGCACCACGATTCGGGTCGTAAGGGTCTGCGTCTGTACCTGCCACTAGCAGCACTGCTGTTTTGGCAAGTTTCTCTTTAGACACCACCTTCACCTGGATTGTCCCGCAATTTTTCGGGTAGGGTTAAGAAGTTAAGACACTCCAAAATTACAACAAATATGGGAATGGGCACATTACGACTACCTCCAACATCCAGTTGAATCTTTGCCCGAATGAGCCTGCCTTTGTTCTTCAGGTGGCATCGCTGATCGCGGCTCCAGCGGAAAATCGAGCCCTGAGGGCTTCCGACAACGTGTGGACTGAGGTCAATCCAATAGGTTTCACCAGAAATCGCTGTACCGGTGTATACCCGAACATTGCCATGTTATCCATTTTATTGGGGGATATACTTTTCTTAAACATCAAAAATTGGGGTTTGTCTAGACAATGCCATTTTATGAGCATCCTTTCCAGCTCTTTTTGCGAGAATGCCGAAGCGATCCCAGCCTGGTTGGCAATGGATTGGCAAATCATCAGGAAAACCTGGCGCTCTGACACTGATTGCTTCACAGGAAACTCCTTGATCAGTTTTGGGGGTCAAAATCCTTGATCCCAACCAATGGATGTTTTACTCTCAACAGTGAGCTCCACAAAGTGTGTTCTTGTTGGCTGATTCGACCCCAACGACGACAATGTGTCGCTGAAGAAACCGCACACGCCTTGCGTTTCAAGCTCAAGCGGACGGATCCACAAGCCCACACGAGATTGGTACCGATCATGCCGATGATGGACAAGACCTAGGATAGCGAACAACGGAGGACATTCTGGACGCTTTGGAGCCACAGAATTCGCGAATTTCGTGCGAGACTTCTAAACCATCCATGTTCAGGTAGGGCATAGTGCATTGGGTACCTACTAAGAAGCGTGGACGTCACTGCCAGAATCCCCGTCCAGGATGTTGCAGTAGTATTCTTGTTGGTTTACGGAATGGCATCAGTACACTGATTCTGTTCCGCAAAGACTTGTGTGAGAGCCGGAAAGTCCACCTGACACTAGATAACAAGTTCAGCCAAGCTAGCAAGCTCACTTGCAAGGCCCAAATAATCCAAATAGAATATCATAGAATCAGTACCTTCAAGAAAACTTTTTTAAAAAAAAGTGGGTTTTCACCCCAACTTTTATGGGAAATGGTGGGTCCTGAAAGCCCATGAAAGCCCATGGCTTCTCCGCCTGCCTGATGCAGCCAAGGCGCCAACAGCAAGAAGGCCCAAACGTAGGTTTGCCAACACGGCACCTTTCCCACGTAGAGATCCCTGGCCGGAGTATAGATAATAGAAACATATAGAAACCACATGAAAAAATCTGGTGAAGCACAAATGTCCTGGAGAATATGTATATAATGTATCTGTCTTCATTGGGATCATTTAAAAAAAAGGCTAAGTTTCGGAGGCAAATATATCACTTGTTGTATTTCGAGCAATGCCCAGCTCTGTTGGGAGATCATGGGAGATCATCAAACCCCGACCTTTGTCCGGGAGAAAAGGCTAGCACCTTGGAAGGCTACACCCTTCAAACGACACGTAGGCTGTCGACCCACGCCCGATGTTTGATCAAAACATGGGATTTATGGTTTATCATCCATCCCATAGGGCCATAGGAATCGTTACAATGGGTATATGACTAGCTCCCGAATGTGCTTGATTTATGACCACAAATAAGAAAATTGACCATAGCACACATGAAACTGCTAGCGTGCTTTTTTCAGCAACAAAAAACTAGAGAGTTCTGAAGGACGCCAGCTCCAACCCAGACAGAATGGTGTGCAAGCCAGGAAGCAATCAGAAGATAGGTCGTCATGTTGTGGCATACCAAAACCTCCAGGGTTGCAACGTGGCAACTCATACAACAACTTTGAAATCGTGCAAGACTTTGAAAATAAAGATGTTTTTTTTTTTTCGGTTTATTCAAAGAAAAATGTCCAAACCAAAGAGATTCAACATGACATTTAAAGCCCCTCCAGACTCAAAGGTTCCAATTGCCTGTCTGAAAACATCCCTGAACTCTGACAAACAGCTGAATCGCTCCTGGATGGAAACTGGAATATTCACACGGCGCCAGAAGCGATACCTTAGGAGTGACGTCAGGGACCACATGTGGGGTGTCGGAGACGTTAAAAAAACACTTTTGCTTGAGATGAACTTCCAATCAGATGGAAAATTGGTTGCATGTTTTTCAACACTTCTGCTGAAAATAAAAGATACGGCACCTTTGGACCAAATCGTACCTACAATCCATCAAATTGTACCGAGAAACCATCAAATTCTTCTCAGAAACCATTGAATTGTACCGAGAGACCATCAAATTGTACCGAGTTCCATCAAATTGTACCTAAAAACCATCAAAGTGAATTCTAATTGTACCAACAATAACATCAAATTGCGGACACTTTATCCAATTAAATTATTCTTACACATCTTAAAATTGGTTTCCTTTTTCTTTCTTCAAAAAAAAGGATGGGTTGTTATAACAAAAGAAGTCTTGTTTTCAAGGTTAAAGAAGAAAAAATGATTTTCAAGGCTAAGGTGTTCATTGTTCGTGGCTAAACCTATTTGCGTGGCTAAAAAAAACTTTTCAGGGCTAAAGTCTTTTTTTCGAGGCTAAAAATTGGTCCTGCATAAATATGTCAATTCACTTGCCATTCTCAAGAAAACGTGCTATGACTTGGAGTATTGATCTCCATCCATTTCAAACGATCCTGATGAAAAAGACTCTTTAGGAAGATACTGTGACGAGTCAAAACACAGACCCACAAGTGCTGTTCACTTCCATGAGACTTGAAGTGTGCTGAAACCAAACCCCAAATCTCATCATCATTTCTCAAATGAAAATGGCACATTTATTGGGACCTGTTCCCCAATCTTTTGGACAAGCCATGTCTCACTAAACCACCCAGTGAACCCAGTGGCTCCGGCGCGAAGATCATCATGAGCTCATCCTGGAGCTCTTGCGCCTTGCGGGAGCCTGCAATTTGGCTGCAATTTGGCTGCCAAGGGTCGTATACCAAGTGATGCCACTGGGTACAGGAACCCTGTGGGGTTTTTTGTTGCAGTGTATACATGTGTATACCGGGTATACCGGAAAAACCCAAGTGTTTGCAGGCGACTTAAAAAAGTCCTCAAAATTTCCCAGGTCGGTTGGGGAGAAATGTTTGGCCTCGATGGTTGTGAATAATCAGGCTACCCCGAAAGAAACAAATGGCCAGCGGAAAAAGAAAAGATATCTATGGACCGAAGAATGATCGACATCTGTTTCTGGCAGCTCCCAAATTCTGACCCCTCCCCAGTGAAAATTGCAACTGCCGCCTGAACTGCTCGAAAGGATTGGGTAAAGGAGGCAAACGGGCGACCAGGCGAAATACTGGGTGCCCACCTTTGGACAGCCGGCCCCAGGGGTCTGCGTAGGCTGGTGAACTGACAAGGGTCCTGACAATATGTACATCTAGAGATTGATTTCTGAAAGTCAAACCAGGGTGAGGAACCTAATGATGGGAATCAGGGATCAGTTGATAATGCCAACCCACCACAGCGAGCCTTCTTTTCTGGCTCATATCTCACTTGGAAAAAGAATCATGATTTTCTTTGCTACTGTTGCTGGATGTTTGGGGATTGCAATCATGCACCAAACTCCATGCGTCCAAGCCACATACACCTCCAGAAGGAAAAGTCCCACCACCGCATACAGCGCCAAATCACGTTCCGTCCATAGCCACATCTCACGGAAAAGGTAGCGAGCCTTGCGAATGCCGGAGGCATCGGAAGTCACGGTCACAAAACGGAGGGTCCAGGCAGCCTGGTGCCCGCTGTTGACCCTAATGAACCATAAAAGAGCTGGTACACTCTGGTAAACTAACATAACTATGGAAAATCACCATTTTCAATGGGTAAATCCACTATAAATGGCCATTTTCAATAGCTATGTTAAATTACCAGATGGTAACTGGTAGTTTTGATCCATCCTCAAATGACAATGCCGTGCTCCGTAGTTTTGTGAACCACTGGTAACCGCTTGCCACTGGTGAACCACGGAGCCCCACAACAAAAAGCCCACGGTTTTAGCGATGAGTCATGGCACCGGCCAGCCAATGATGTTGAGGATCTTATCCAAAGGCGTCTTTTTGGTTGAACGCCTTCAGTGACACTGTGCTTAGAGGGGGCAACCTGTTGAGACACAGGAAAATTTTAAAAGCTACCGTGGTGAACCGTCTTCACATGTTGCGAATGAGCCTTTTCACACCTCGGATTGCCTCCAGGGATTTGCAATGGATCTTCCTACGATCTCCCTCTATCTATCTGCTGCCATGACTTATGAAACCACTCTGCTGCAGCGTGACTCCATTTAGGAGGAGATATTGAAAAATAGACTGATTTTGACAGAAAGGAGATGATCGAAAGCAAGGCCAGCAATCATACAAGTTCAAAGATATCAGCCGCCTCGCATGTCATGGCTTCTGAAGAATTGATGGATTCCCTCTGGGATATTACCCTCTGGTACAGGAACATTGCTATTGAAAATTGCTAAATGATGAGTTCCAGGCTGCCAAACACTGCAATGGCGAAGTCTTCTTTCAGAGGCACTATTTTGGAAAAATGAGGGCTTTTACCATTTTTATCTGAGACACAAGTCGCATCACTCAGATTATTTTTGTGCTGTGGTCCCCAGTGAACAGCTTTCCCGAACTCAAGGTTTCGTCGACTTTTCTGGTGAAACCCCATCACCACAACTGGGGTATAGACTCTTTTCTGGACTTTGCTTTTGAAGCCTGTTCAGTGCCCAGTTTTGCCAGGTAAGGCACCATCATTGATGTCAGCAAAGATGTTGCAGGAACCCTCGGAAACTGAGCAAATGGTGGTTGTTGTTTGGGAAATCCAGATATCTTGGTGGTGATAAATCAAACCCCAGGAAATGAGAAATAGTAGAAGTGCAGTAGACATCCATCATTGCGGAGTTTGCGACTGTCAAATGGCCACAAACAAACAAAGCAATGTATGAGTTTGCTCCCATTATCCTTCCCATTTCAAAGCATTTGTGCCTTGATTCAGTGGGAATTTCAGGACCTCAAAATGGAGGTACTGTACCATGTAAGGTCATATTTTGTGGGGATATTCCCTTACATCGCCCTTACATAGGCCTTATAAATGGTAGGTACCTCCAGTTTAGGTTCCTCAAATGGCCGTTGATTGATGTTGCGACACAACAGTGATAAGTCACAACCTCAACATAAGTTCCAGTCCCACTCAAAGACACCCACTGAAAATCTTCCCAAAAATCATGGCGGGGATATTTTTCACAGCTTTGTCTTTACATCCCAACAAAAACATAGATCCCCATTAATGGCCCTAAATATGGTCATTCCAATCCCATCCAGCCCCCGCGGCGCCTCGCGGAGTTTTTTCAAGTTCTCTTCGGAGCCCGACTGTGCCATGCCCGCCAGGTCCGTGCTGGAACCAAAGGTCCCACTGCCTCGGCGGAAGGTCAGGATGCCGAGGGAACTTTTCGGTTGGCTAAGAATGACAGTGGGATTCAGACCTCGAACAGAAAAAAAAAATGTGGAAAAAAAAATGAGAAGAGTGAAAAGTGTGCGCATCTCCTCATAGCAGGTTCATCTCTTGCTTCATCAAAGGTCAGCACAACCGTTCAACAGTGGGGTAATGTGGGCTCCCGCACGAGCTCGTTGCAGCTCTTTGGACAGATTCTTTGAAAGTCTTTGCAACTTATACCTTGGCCCATCAAGGCACGACAGGATCACTGGATCCACTGGATCCCCTGAGTTTCTGCGACTGCGCTGAATCTGCTGAGGTGCATTGGAATCTGGTGGAGTGCAACCCCAAATTGCCAGTCCTCGCAGACTGCAGCGCTTCCCATCCCTCCAGGCTACAAAGCTTGCTGCTTGGCAAATGGCAGGCCTTGAAAGTAATCGAACAGTCTCCACACCCGTCACCCGTCCTCTTCGTCTTCTGGATCTCCACTTACCTACCATCGGACGATTGCCCGGCCATCTTGGAAGGGAACGGTGGTCGGTCACCACAGGGGATCATTTGGCGTGGTTTCACCAACAATCTCAGATTAAAAACCTTGCAATCCCCATCAAGAAACAGCTCCAAGGAGACCAGTTGGCGACTGCTCATTGTTCAATCACTAGATAATCCATGCTCAGAGCAAAAGTATGTTTCAAGTTTCATCCTCATAAAGATTATCTGAAGTATGGACAAAAAATAACACCTTCTACTCAAAATCTCAACTCCATGAATCACCTACTGTTTAGCACGCTTCAACCCCCAAAATTATTGCTGATACCCTCTGGTAATCAACGTGGCTTGCTGGAAAATCCACCATTTGGATTTCGGATGATTCTACCAGCTATAAACCTCTATATTTATGGGATTTTCATGGATTTTCCAGTGTCACCTTTGAGGTTTTCATCACCGGAAGGGAACCGTTCAGCCAGTGCCGCGCCTGGCGTCGGAACACCGAGGACTGATCCGCTTGCTGCGCCTCGACCAGGAGGTCACTGACTTGAGACGCCGTGGACCTCGGCCAGGGGTTTCACCATGGCCGGGGTTAGCACTGGAAGAGTACCAATGGTGATTCAATGGTGATTTAATGGGATTCAATGGGATTTTATAGTGATTCAATGGGATATTAATATATATTAATGGGATATACCCTCTGATAATGACTAACATATTGAAAATGACCATTGAAATAGTGGATTTAGCCAGCTAGGTGATTTTCCATAGTTATGTGGCTGTTTACCAGAGGGTACCAAGAAAACCAACAAACCTTTTGGAAAAACATCAGAAAAGGGAAGCTCTTTCAGAAAAAAAGATGATGGTCTCAAATGCTCGATTCCTGATCATTCGCGATCGATGACTTTGGTGCTTCCGGCAATTTTGGGAAGTACACACCAGGCACCTGGAAGCTTCTATAAGCACTACATGCAAGTGCTCATAACAGGGGTCCGCACTCCAGCTCCGGGAAAAGAAGTTCCAGCCTGAGAACGTGGGATTGGAGCAAACAAAATGTTCATGGAAGTTCCATGCATATATCTCCGGCAAAACCAGATGTCGTTTCTTTGAGATGTCCATGTCAGACATGGGTTGATCATAAAAAATTCCCCATTGAAATTAGTCATTAAAAACTTCGTGACGAGATGTTTTTCGGATACCCTCTGGTAAACAGCCACATAACTATGGAAAATCACCATTTTTAATGGGAAAATCCACTATAAATGGTATCCCCCATTTTTCCGAGAACCCCATATTTCCCGAGACGGCGATTGCCCAGTGGCGATGTCATTGAGGGCGACTTGCGCATCATCGAAGGCGACTTTCTCTCTTTCTTGGCAGCACTCTCCACCTATGACACACAACGGACGCAGGATGAAATCCGCCACCAGGAGGATTCCAATCCTCAGTGAATCACTAGTATTGGCAGTATTGGTCATTTAGTGTCACTGAGATTCTAGTTTTTTTCCATGCATTTCGAACTTAGAGGCGCTTCCGAAAGTCCCTTTCCAGATATTCCAGAACCCAAACCCCAAACCCGGTCACCAGGTTTCCTCGGTGCCTCCTTGCTGGTGGTGGAAAGTGTGGCGTGCATCACCAACAAAGGCAGGATAAAGAACTTCAGCAGCGCGCCAAAGCTCCAAACCTCACCCAAGCGTTGGCCCAGCACTGCATAGCACTGCTGTCCTGAATTCCTTGAAAAACCACCAAACATACTGGGACAGCAGTGCTGGATTTCAAGGACCAAGTAAGGATTCAAATTCAACAAACATAAGTGGATTTGCTGCTTTAGCAAGATGATGTGTAAAAGAACCCAATGCCATAAACCTCCAGTTGAGGATGTTTCTAGCAAAATTGTGGATTGTGGAATGCTGGGTGTGCCACTTTCATAGGGATTTCTTGTGGGGACAGAACTAATACACTCAGTCCAGATGGGGATCCGAGATAGGAATCCAGTACAAATCATTGGGATAAATTTGGCATCAAGATCAAAAAATGTGATATCACCTGGCCAACCAGCAACCATTGATTTGCATCCCACCAGGACAGAGGTCCTTCCCCCAAACGTATGGCATCATATAGGTGTTCTGCATGTCGTTTTGTCTCCAAACTACGGACACCTTTGGAATGGCCAGCCATGAACCCCTTTGTGAGGACTTGAGCAATGTCCAGTCCAAAACCTATCCGTACTGGAAACTCCCCAAAACAATGGTTCGACAGGATTCCCAAATTCACGAAAATCATGATAATCCTAAAATATCCAGGGTAGTATAAGGTCTAGTATAATCCACTATCACTATCATCACAAAACCATGGTTTTGAAACTGCTCAGCCCTTGATATCGGCCATCATGGTACCCACCTGGGTGACTGTTAAAAGCACCGCCACCGCCATGTGAAGCTCCCAACCTCAGAGATTTGGAAAATCCTCCCCCAGGGGTTTGCCATACCTATGTATATCAATTTACTGGAAGCTAATTTTCATAAGGGAATGCTCATCTTTGCAAAGAAACGGAGAAACTGACAGATGTTTTGCCAACATGATGGCCTTTTGGAAAAAAAAAAAAACGCAAGAAATCTTGCCGGACTGCAGGAGGGGAACATCTTGTACAAAGGTTCGCTGCGGTAGATGAAGTGTCATATTATGCTGTGCTTACAGTGAAAATCTAAACATAGTTTGGAACAAAGACATGTCGAAAATGTTAAT